CATAGATTTACGGTTTATCCTGTCGTTTTTTTTTTTAATTTAATACTATGGCAACTTTTTAATGAACCGTCTGAACTGAACTGTATTTTTCATGATGCAACTCCCACCGCTAATTGTGTCCCCAGAGGAATATTTGCGTCTTTTCCTTCAAAATGAACAGTGTGAAAATGTTCAGAATTCTGTGACTACAACCTATTTTACTAAGTGTTGAGCAATAAAAATCCAGGGGAATGGGGGATGGATATATAAACGATAGATGGCGAGCGGTTGAGGCTGAGTGACGTTTTATATGCCCACATTAATCCCCCCTCTATTTCTCGCTCATCCTCGCTCAGTATCTTTGCACTAATCTGAGATAATAGCTCAATTGCAGCCCTTCTTGATGATCACTTTGGGCGCGCTGGCTTTGAGGCACCCAGACGCAGGTCACTAGGCCAGTAGAGCGACCAAGCAAACAAACACAAACACACACACAGACACACACTCTGACACGGATGGGGAGTAGACAGCCGTATCAGAGCAATGGCCTCAGAGAGTTTGAGACACATGAAGTCAACAAATGCACGAAGCATCGAGTGCTTCCAGTGAACAAAGGTCTAGTCACCGTCTAGCGATCCGACTGGGAGATGATTTTAAAACGTAATTAATATGAATTAACTATTGACTCTTTACAAATTAAATGTACTGTTTAATTCATCTCAGTTGTAGTGCTTTGTTATGTGTGCTCTGCTATAATAAAGATATAATATCTATCCATTCCTCTTTGAAGTATCATTATAGTTTGTATTTACTTTGACAAAATATGAGAATTCAAATTTGTGTTTGAATTTCTCGACTGCTTAATATGCTCACAATAACAAAAGCTGCAGATATTAGATTAGAGGTCAATTGACTCAATATATAAATGAAACCATTTTTGCTTCGAAGACGTTGGACTTATTAAGACTCCATCGTGATCGCGGGAACTGCGAGCGAGTGAACGGCAGATAAATTGACCGCGGACCAAATGGAAAACTTGCCTCAGTGCGCGGCGAGATACAGGCGTAATCCTTCCTCGCTGTGTACGGCTGTAAACAGCCGTGGAGATTATGGAGGGAATTTGATATGAACACAAACAACCGTCCCGTCTCACCCTGCAGGCCAGATTCATTTCTATCACTTCAACTCCCCTCATTTTTAATCCCACGGTCTTTGTTTTTCCACCATCATCGACAACGACGACTCACTTCTACGCTGTCAAACACACACAAGCAGCAACAACTGCGGGGGAAATAAAAGGAAAAACACTGGAGTCTAAAACACATCAGGATGATGTATCGCCGCCCCCCCTTTCCTCCCAAAAGAGTAATGACACACAGCGCATTGCAGGTTACCGTATTATCATTATGCATTTAGAATTGCATCAGACCTTGCATGAAAAACAGAGACACGTTTCACTCATGAGTTTAGATAAAAGAGGGAGACAGAGACATAGTGGACGGTAGCTGTATTATAGACGGTAATGGGACAGAATTGCTTCCAAATAGATAGAAACGGTGATAATAGAAGACATACCCGTGGGAGCATTAATATGTCTGAAAGAGACTTCCGAGAGAAAATCCTTTCTGAAGGCAATCCAAACAAAGATGAACTCATCAAATGCAGAGGATAAGCAACACCGGAGGAAACCCCATCATTTAACCCCTCTTTCTTTCCGTCACCATTAAAGTCTCTCTGTATTCTGCCTTTGTATCCAAGGTAACACCTGTAGCATGATGAAGAAAATGGCAGGATTTCAGTGAGCAATCAGGACTCTAGTCAAGAGACGAGAAAGCATTCAGGGGGCCACGGGGCCGTTCAGGGGACACAAGCTCCTCCCAGAAACACCGGTGTGTGAAAAGACAGTTTCCTGAGAAAACATGAATCAAAAATACTGAATTCACGCTTGTGGTTAACCTCTCTCCTGAACTGGTGTCAGATAAGCTGAGCAGAAAGCAGCTGAGGTTTCTACACTGCTGAATAAAGCATTAAGCAGCAAAGGATGGAGGGAGACTAAAACCTGGTGTGTTGGCAGTACTTTGGTTATCCACCGAAAGGCGAAGAAATGAACTATGACCACAGCAGGTGTAGAGGAGCACCAGCAGTTTTTTCCTGTGAAGGTGGTTGAGCGGATTTATTAGGTAATAGAACACAAAAAGACGAGTTTGTTGCTGACTCTGCATCTCCAAAATAAAAGAATACTGAGTGGCTGTGAAAATGCTTCCCTGCAGGTATTGATGTTAAATTCATGAACGCGGATGGCGCGGATTGTCATCACATTCAAGGATGAGCAGGAAGTCGAGGCACGTGTGCTGGACTTCTACGGTGCTATAATCAGCGCAAGGATTAAACAGAGGCTCCATGCCACAGCACAAATCAGATTTTGAGAATTCATTTCAAAATTCTTTTGTTGCCTCCACTGCTGTCAACTCCAAACGAGACGAGAGGCAGAGAGGCTTCACGTCTCATCCTCCCCAGACAGGTTATGTAACCAGTCAACAAAATGCACATTTTTCTATTGTAGTTCATGTATACTCACTTTTACAATTCTCTTAAAAGGGTTAAGAGTTCATTGGTGTGCATTCATTTGTGTTTATGTCTGCATTAATGTGACAGGTCCCTACTCGTGTCCATGCATACTTATAAGTGCAATTATGCATGTATGTATGAATGAATGTATGGGTGCATGCATCGACTCCCTGGTCAGTGGGGAATAGAGTTTGGATGATGGGGGATGGTGATGTGATGCGCTCTGGGGGTGGACTGGTGGGGGGATGGGGGCTAACAGGAGCAGGGTGGAGGAGGATCGTGGTGCATGAAGGGTATGAGCAAAGGCAGTGTTTCAAGATATTCACACCTGTTCTTTGAGCTTCAACTACAAGCAGCAGGCATGTTGGATATGAAGGTGACACGGGTGTAACAAATAAGGAGCTGCGGCAAAGGCTTCCTGCTGCATTTTTCATAACCATGGTCTGTTGCACACATTCGGTGACTACATTCTTTGACTTGTAGAGGTAGAATAAAGCATGAGACCATCCATTCAACCATTGAGAACCATCAGGCGAATGCATACACAATTAACAAGAAACAAATTCCTGCACCGGATCTGCTGTGTGTACAAACTAAATCCTTAGTGTGCCGCATATGTTTCGCTGGTTTACACTTCACTGCGCACACTACAACTTCTGTCCCTCTGTCTTTAAGCCTGCTCAGATGTGGAAATAGAAAGAGTTTACAGAAGCAACCCCTGGGAATGAACTGCAATAGTAACACAATTTAATATTGCAAGGGCTTCACAGTGTGCCTGGGAAGCGCTTCTCCAAATCAAAACAGGGTAAAAGTTGAACAACTACTATGCTTAGCCAATCAGCGGTCCAACGCCTCAAGGATGCCGGTGCAGAGGAAGGATCCCCCTCAGCCTCATCCGCCTCACAAGAGGAAAATAAACGAGACGGTGTGAAGGCCGCTCTCTGACATAATGGCAGGTAATGCCGGGCTGTCATAACCGTCAGACGGTGGGTTGAAGGTAGTCTCAGCTTAAAGTGCTTTCGGGTTTCTTTCAAACCTTAAATGTCTTAGAAGCACTGCCTAATGGAAAACACACACGGGGGAATTAAACTTACTTGTCAATTTCCTGTGTCATTCATCAAGAAAAGGTAAGTAATGATTTTCTCTAAACGTCAGGGTTAGGGGTGTGAGAGTGTATGTGTGTGTGTGTGTGTGTGTGTGTGTGTGTGTGTGTGTGTGTGTGTGTGTGTGTGTGTGAGGGAGTGAGAGGCAGAGAGATGAGGAGACACATGAATGTTTTAGAAGCAAAGATGCTCCAAATGATGTTCTTTCTTTGCCATGCCTCAGGACTCGTACTGCTGCCCCCAGGAGCAGGGCAACAATGGCAACACAGAATAACACATAGAGGACCCATTACGTACGACGGGTTTATGTGCGTGGAAAAAGAGTGCGTAGTAAAACAGAGCGTGTACTGTGTGGGGAGGTGCAGGAATTCCTGCAGGGCCACAATTAACCTAGACACAAGAAAACATGGCCGCATGGCAAACATGCAGGGCTTGGATTCAGCTTTGGCAAAACTTCGCTCGTTTCTGCCCGAGCAGTCGTCCAAAATATAGGCCACAGGCTGGCATTCAGAAAGGGAACTGGAATTCTATTATTTCCGCGCAAAAAAACAAATCCAAGACAGGTGTCAGAGCTTTTCGCCGAGCGCAAAACCGAAAACGCAATATGTCTCCCTGCTGGACAGCGTCTTCTTTTTTTAAAGATTGGAAAATGGTTCCACTCAATTAACCGTCATTTTAAAAGAAATGACAGACATTTAAAACAACCTGCACACCATCTTGGTCTAATGTACACTCGCACACGCCTGATCCTCACTCAGAAGGAGATTTTATTTGTCACTGAAAGCTTTGAATGTTCATTAAAAATAAGACCCGCATCATGATGATGAGTAAAAGACAAATAGGATAGCAAATCGACCATATTAATGACTAAATTATGAAAGGGCAGATACCCACGGGAGATATGGGAGCATTTTCAGGTTCAAAGCGTTTAACATTATGAGCTTCAATACACATTCCAGTCATGAACATGCTATTAAGGCTTACATGGGTAACTGATGGGAGACGTTCCAACTATTATCTCTTGATGAAATTAATGACATAAAGAAATAGGGTTTTTTTTGGAGTGTTTTTCACAGATTAAAAAAATAATACGCAGTAAGGGCCAGAGAATACAATAGGAGTCTTCTCCTACACGTTTCAGTCAATTGCTCTTGGTGGTTGGCATTGAAAAGGGGGGAATGAAAGGGGGGGGTGACCTAATTAAGTCTGTTTTTTCTTTTTTGATATTATTGGCACAGTTCATTACCATTGTTGGCGATATTTGCACAACACCCCAATAATCCCAGTCCCCCACCCCCCTCAGTTAACATGGTTTACGTGGTTTTATTTCTCCACAGTTCGGACACTTACGGCAGTTTTCTTCATCGCTGTTGTCGGAGCAGTCGTCATCGTCGTCGCACCTCCAGATGGTCGGTATACACCTTTTGTTGTTGCACTGAAACTGTCCATCCTCACACTCATCCGTTGCTGGTAAGAGACGAAAGAAAGAAGAGACCCAGACATTATGGGACAACGGCAAACCAGATGGAGCAGCAACAAACGGATGCAGTGGAATAGTGACCGCGTGTAGTGTAATTTGCAAATGAATGCCTGATTGATATTCAGCGTTCATGCGGGTCAATTGACTGACGCGCGGGGAGCGTCGTGCTCCGGGTTTCCTTTCAGTTTTTGTTGGATCTACTTTACGGCGATTTTTTTTTAAAGCTGTCGCAGGGAGGAGAGAGGCCCCCCGGTTGTGCCGGGCATCATCCTCCACACCATAAAGACAAAGATTCAGTCCGGGCTACTACAGCTGCTGCATCCGATGCAGGATGGAGGCGCACAGCCGGGAGACACGTGACAGATAATGAGCCCTCAAGACATTCAACACCAAACATTATTGCTGTTATAATTGTGGTTTTACATAAAAGAGAAGTATTAGGGTACAGGGAGCGCTTCCAGTTTCTCACCTTCACAGCCCCCCATCACACACACACACACACACACACAGACGGTTTATATTTACGTACACGTCTCACGCGCTTAAGGGATAATAAATAAAATAAAAACACTGACCTTCTGAGAAATGAACCCTCAGGACAAACGCATGAAAAAGTATCAACGTCCTTATGTCCGTCCACATTTCCGAAGGAGTTGATGGAGCTCATTCACGTCCACAAAACAAAGCCCGAGAGCCGCTCTCGTTGTGACGCTGCGACGCTGCCGCCCGCCTGTCCGCTCTGACCACGCCCCCCCCCCTCGTGACGTGATAGGCGCGGGGCGGGGACAAGAGTGCAATGGAGAAGAGAATAGTTGTAGTATTTCTATTTTAGATTGAACGTTCATCCTTAAGACTTTCCCTGAGCTTTCGATGAGTGTGATGGACCTTGATTTTAAGTGTTTTGTCGAGTGCTCAGAATAATAATGTTTTGATATTCTTAATCTAATGTAATAATATCAAATCTCTAAATATTCATATAGACAGGCTTAAATAAAAACATGTTCTGTGTTAGAGTGTAATTTTGTTATTGGAAGCTGCAGTGGGAAAAAAACTACAGAAAAAAACAACGTTGACAGCTTCTACCAAAGAGTACCCTTCAGACATGAAACATCATAATGTTAAACTCTGACAGCATGAAGACATCCTTCATTTTTTATTTGAAGCCAGCCATCATCTATCAGCACATTCAAAACCACAGTTAAAGACGATATAACCTTGCAAGACACTAGCAATGAAGGCAACACTGATGTAAATAGTGTGTGCAGTATAATCAGCAGGAGACTTTCAATGTCGACGTTAGACTGCAGATGTACTGAATCTTACATTCAAGGAGATCTGTTCAACAGCAAATCAAGTGACACAGGAATGTGAAAGCGTTGAAGTCTTTTCCACCAGTGTAGGATATTAGAAATAAACTGACGGCCCGGTTCATAAAATTAACAAAATGCATATAGTGTACACCAGAATACAGCCATGATTCTGAAACTGTGTAATCAATAAAGTAATGAAAATATTGTAAAACCACTGTAATAGAATAATACCAATGTACAGTTATGATTGTATTTAATGTAATGTAATCAACTGGAATGCATGCATGTAATACTTGCATAACAACTATTGACTGAGGGCCATTCGAAATCCGAGTTACATTGAACTCACCAGAAGACCACTCCCAGAGGTGTGGACACTAACTTTCACACCTTTGCGGATCGGTATAAATACCTGTAGGAACCATTGTCCTCGAGTTCGCTGGTGGAGGCAGCAGACGGGCACTATGGGGGGTCAAAGGGCGGCCCTGGGGCCTGTTGGTTACAGAGACCAGCGGCTCCTCAGCTGAGATGTTCTTTTTACCACAATACAATCTCTTTTATTAAATACGTTTGATTTTAACTTTTCGATCTGTGATGACCTCTGTCCGCCCGGCGTTTCTTCATTTTTGAACACCAACAGGAGAAAGGGAGCTGCTATCCATCCAAAGCCTGTAGTCAGTCCGTCCAGCTGGTACACAGGAAACCGCTGTGTGTTCCAAAGCCCAAACTGCCACACCTTTGAGTCCCAGTACATGGTATGTCAAATCCCCTTAACAGTCGATACATAACAAATAGGGGCAATGTCCAAAGTTAAATGTTTTGAGGAAGTGCAATTCCAATTGCATGCGTATGTCCAATCCCAACGTCCACATTCACCGATGTGTTGACTTTTAGGTGCATTTCCGAGAGTCTTTTGTGGCGGTTTAGCGCGCTGTTCCGCTAGCAAATTGTGTTTACGAGCTCTCTCAAAGACAGTTTGAGCACTTTGAGCATACTTTTAAATCTGCAATACTGCAGACTTTGCCACAGGGATTATGCACAACTCATAGCGTTCTTAAGGTTAACCCAGGAGATGGACATAAAACATGAGTCCTCAGCCTGGCAACGTTACACAGAAAGATTAATGATTTAGGATGATAAATAAAAAAAGAAGAAGGCAGAGTAATGCGAGCATATAAGCTATATGAGACACCTGGTTCATTCATCAACCATTCCTTATAACTTTGCTCTTTGGAGGCGTTTTGAATTAAAAACAGTAAATACATTTGACCATTACCTATTGTATCTAAGCTAAAAGGCATGAATACATTTTAATTCAGGTATTTAAAAAATATACATGTATATTTGAACTGCTATGCAATAATATTTCTTTAATATTTACATCTAGCTGTCTCTCTGCAGCAAATGTACAATTAATGTTAGCCGGAGGAAGAATTGTGTCCCCTTTGACCAACAAGCAAACGCATCACACATCCCTAGACACGGGGCATCGGGGTATTTACCAACTAGCCAATATAAGTGTAATTCTCAATCAAAGTATTTGTCTAGACAATGAGTTTAGGTTACTAATATTCATCAGAAAAGCACAACTGTGAGGAAAGCTCGGCCAACATGTGTGTGAACAAGTGTGAGGAAAGGAGTAAGCGGGTCCTGTGGTTGTCCATGTCACTTCCTCTGAGCCAGTGAAATCAATTTTGGATCATGACGGACTGGTAATAGTCGTACAGCGCTGTGGACCGGCAGGAGCCGATGTGAAGGGATCAGGAGGTCAAGCAATTTGGTGTCCCTGTGGTGTTTTGTGTTGAGTTTGGCTGGAATGATTTAGAAAAGTGGCTTGCTGCAAGTCTACTCGGGGACTTGGCATCCACACACATCAAATCCTAAATCCGCCACGAATGTAAACAAGAGATGGACAGAAAGCAGAGAGGAGGGAGTGAAAGTCATGGAACAATGTATCTTCAGTGGGGCAGAAACCAGCCTTCTGGGCTCCACCTGTTTTAGCATCGACACAAGTATCTTGTACAGTACGGTATCCTGTTCAACAAACCCATTATTAACATACCCGCTGTGCAATAATGTAATGTGATTCTCATTTATATGCAAATGATGGTAAGGTGAACCACCGGCAGCAGCAACAGTAAAAGGACCCCCCCCCCCTCCACCTCTTCCATTAACCAAACTCCAGCGGTATTGCTCTTACTTCAATGAGGCAACAGTCGCCTGCAGATTTTTTAAAAAGCGCATCGGTTGTATTTACAAGGTCTACTGGCCTCAAGCAGAGTAAACAAAGCTGTCTTTCAAATCTAGGCCACGACCATTGCTGACGGCATAATCAGTCATTTTAATGGAGATAAGCTGAAGGATAACCTAATCCTCCTCGCAACCACAACATATAGCACTCACACACACACACACACACACACACACATACATTGTGGTCTATTCACTGCCAATAAAGCCATGACACCGTGAAGAGAAAAAGATAGTTGGGAGCCTGTTGTCATGGTTGCATGGCAACCATTCAGCAAGAATGAAGCAGTGGCAGCAGTCAGAATTTTTAAAAAGTGTCTGTTGAACAGGTGTTTGTCACAAAATATGGTCATTAGACATATAATGTGATATTTGCTGGTTTCCAGACCCGTCTCGGAGAAACGTTGATTGTCATCTAGGACCAGGTGTACAGGAAAATAAGCAATACAGATATCTACCATGTTCTGTAGATATATTCCCGCAGCACTAAAATGTTTCCGTCAAATGAATAATAATGAGTTTTTAGTGTGTCTGTCTCCTAAGGGTGTGTAATCCCCCAACAACATGTTCAGTCTAGCTATTTATTGTAATAACTCACCTACTGAGGACTTTGCATCTAAAAAGTAAAACATAAAACTTGCAGTATGCGTTATCATTTGCGCCCTCTCAACCTTGCTTGTGTGAAAATGAAAGCAAAGTATAGTTGATTGATGTTTTCGGTTTGGTTGCCATCTGATTCTCACCCGTCAGAGAACACGTACCAAATTTAATTTGCACTCAATTTGCTTGGAGTAGTCGGTCATGAGAAATGCTTTTAGCACACTGAGGATTAAGGAGGTGGCAGGTTGATGTGAACGAGAGGGTCAATTAACTAAAATATGCAAATACTAGAAAATGTATACGAGAGCAGATTGTGCTCTAATTTCAGTGCCCAGTCAATATTTTGCAGGTACAAATTTGATTATATAACTTATAAGCACTAGCCTTTGAGTATCCAGGATCATCAACTCTGTCTCAATCTATCCAGAGGGAAACATAAACGAGTGCAACAGTGTTCAAGGCCACTCGTCCAATAGTCATAGAGCTCTCAAAACCACATGTCAACCCAACACAAGAAGAAGAGTCACGAGAGCACCACCTCGGTGGGATTGGGGACTAACTTTCAATCAATATTATATATATATATATATATATATATATATATTATTAACTGTTAGAGGCAACTCTTGCAGTTTTTGTGAGAGTTTTGTGAGACATGCAATTCAACGTCTACTTCCTCACAAAATGATGCACTGCAGGAGAAATATGCTGTAGCTTATCATGTACAGCACGTCGCATCAAAATCCTTCATCACTCGAGGCTTTTTTTTACAGATCAAAGACATTACTGATATGAGGTCACTTTGTGCCACACAGCAGCCTGAGTGACATCTTGATAAACTAAAGCTATGAGAAAATGCAGGATTGGTGGGGTTTGACTGTGTTTTGCGTGTCCATCTCGTCACCGGCCTCAGAAATTGGCAGCGAGTCCTCTCCATTTGTCACACTATCCGGTCTGGATGATGTGCCACATTTTCACGTTCTGAATTTCAGCGAGGCTGCCACCAAGCTCACGCAGAGTCACATCAATCACGGAAATCAGCGGCTCCTTTTACACGTGAGCGGCACAGCGGGAAATACTGTGACTTCTGTATATATTCTGGCCACATTTCTTATTTAATTTAACCTTTCGGGAACATTTGCTGAGCGTGCAGTCTGTTTCCTCACGAGCAGCTGTTCTCCTCTTTGCATACACAGCTGCAGTCACAGAGCAGCTACCCAGCCATGGCCTCCAAGCACTGAAGCAATCAGGTTTGTGTACCTTGTTCAAGAACAACTCAACCGCTGCTTTTGAGGGATGAGGGAGCCACGTTTGTTTCCTCTTCCACGAGCTGGTTGAGGGGAAACTAGAGTGGCGACAAGCCCTGTTTGTCTAACCCAGAGGTCTGCTGCTATACAATTAGTTCATCCTCTCTGGTTGATGTTGCACCTTTCAAGTGTGGCACCAGAATGAGAAACTGCTCATATGAGACAGTGATGGACACCAGTTTGTCACAAAGCAAAGAGCAAACTGCTGCAGGTGTGTAGAGGATGCTGTTTTTACTTCATTAGGCCATTCACAAGGACATTTAATTCACTCATTGAGGAAAATATCTTTTATTGTTTTTTCTACATTTGACCACATCTGGGTGTTAGTTTCATTTTGTTAACTGCATCCTTTAGTTAAAAAAAAGATCTGTGCACTTCTGTGTGTACTATACAGCTTTGTAGGTTGCAGTCCAAACTAGGATGCTGCTGCCCTCTACAGGTTCATCTGGTTCACCGACCCTCTTATTTCTATAGGAATACTGATGTTTCAATAACTGTACCTTTGAGGCATATTAAGGGGAGAAGTTCCATATGTTGTCAAAATATATTTAATAGATACCTTCCCCAAATACATATATAGGGCCAATCTTCTTTTACTCCACAAATATGTGTCTTTTGGTCAAGCACGCTTAAATATTTCCCATTTTTGTTGATGTGGCTCTATATTCTGTATGTATATAATGAATCAGTGACTATGACTATGAGTTTTAAGGGTGTACTGCATTGTCCTTTTTAAAATAAACAGTCCAGATGCTTGGAGAGTAGACGGTTGTACAGTGACAATGGATAGAAAAAGAAACGGGTCACTTGTCCAAACACATTAAACATTTGTTCATTCATTTGTTCATTCTACATCCAGCGAGCCCTTCTCAAGCCCCTTCCAGAATGCAACAGGCAGCGACAAGGCTAAGAGCAAGACAATTACAGAGGACCACCTCTGTACTGCTGGAGTTACCTGGCAACTGATGGTGAAGCACAGGTTAGGACAATAACTTGGATAACAAGTATTATATCACAAATATGAGTAATTTTATGTGATTTCCAAATATGTCCTTCCTCGTGTCTTGACGTCAGTGCACATTATTAATGGGGTCAAAATAACCTTGTTACTGTTGCCATCATGTGGTTGCTACGGGTAACAGTAACCGGCGTTGGATTCACTCATTTCCTTTCTTATAAAAAGGAACAACAAAAAATAAGAAAATGTAAATGGAGAAAAGAAAATGTGATGATGGTTGTTGTTTTAGTTGTATCTGCGATTGAAGAGAGATAACCATTGTTATATTTAAAAAAAAAATACAGCTTGGCTTTCTCTGAGAAGATTGATGAGTTATAAACCAAATCCAATTGTAGACATCTGGCTTTTTGATCAATTATGGGAATGAAATGTGTTAAGTAAAGAAAGCTGCAAGTCATGATTAGTTATTAAATGTCCAATTACAAATTTGGAGCATTGTTAAAGCCACAAACAACTCTTTACCTTCCTGATTCTATTCACTGCTTAATAAAACATTTGTAACATATAGGTCAGCTATTTCTGCACTGGGCGCAGTGACTTCCTGGTGCTTATTGTGGTTGCCAAGAAATAATCTGGTGCTTAAATGTCCATAATTCCACAATTTGCCATTGACAAATATAAGAGTGGTATCAATCCTTTCATACAATTCTCATCCAGAAAGCAAAAAAAAATCCAAAATTGTTTAACTAATCCTTAAAGTTCAAAGCAAATTATTTTAAGAATATTTCTTCAGCTTTGGCGGTTTTATTATTTCTTTTCAATGTATTCACAAAACCCTATTATCACAAAATCGCCTCAGAGGGCTTTGCGATACAACATAGGAGAGAAACATCATAGCCTACTGGGAGAGACAGTTCAGCCGGCCTGTGAGCGTCTCATCGAGGACGTGCAGCGTTCACTGTGGCTCAACACAGCGTGTGAATGACGCTATCGCTGGGATCACAGAAACACCATTATCACCAGTCGCTGACATCACTCAGCCTCCCACAACAGCAACAGCCCTCCACCGCTCACACACACACACCACCCCCCGCCTCCTGCAGCGCAGTCATTGTGACCGCTGGGTCGGCCCATTGTCCATGTGGGGGAATGGAAGGACAATGTCGCCAATCTCTGTCCAACCCATGATCCAACACTGCTATTGTGACCTGTCCTTTTCTCCCTTGACCAAACAAGACGGTGTTCCCGTGTGATGATGCAGGGAGGGTGGGTGGGGGGCTGGGTGGGGGGGTCCCCTGTTCTGCCTGGCACTGTGGAAGATTAGCAAATTGTGACGCTATTACAGTCACTGTGGTGGTCGTGAGTGGACACGTGGACGCGCTACTTTCGCAATGCCCAGTCTGGGATGTCGACGCCATCATCGCTTCTCTGCTTGCAGTGAGTGAGACAGTGGAATTCCCCACTTCTCTGCGGCTGTTTTTCTTTGTCTCCAGCATGAAGTCAAGATAATTCTACCATCTACTCTGAGGAGAGTGTCATACCAGAGCATCGCTTGAGCAAAGTTTATTCTTTAACCATTGGGAATCTTTAGTTGAAGCTGGATTATTTCTACGTCAAACACCATCAAGCAACAACTCATGGATCTTTGAAACCAATTATTGGGATTTTTGAGGAAATTGTGTGATGGGATGCAGAGATGGACCCCAAGATCTGACACTCGTACGACGTCGAGGGAGTTTTCACAGAAGGAGAGATCACACAGCTTTGGATCATTAAAAAAAAAATCATCATTTCGGTGTCAGTCTGGTGTTGGCGGGCTGAGCCGCGACCATGCACACCTTCTACCAGCCTCGCCACGCCATCCGCCACCCTCCCGGTCTCTACCTGGACCCCGCTCGGATGCAGCGACGTGTCCTGGAAGACCAAGTGGAGCTGTGGTGGTCCAGAGAGCCGCGCCGCTCCCTGTTGTGCTACTGTGCCTCTGTGGCCCTCATACTGGGCCTGGGCCTCGGCGGCGTGGGCCTCCTCTCCACCACCAACAGCCTGTCCGGGGAGTGGCGCCTCGGCGTGGGCACCACCCTCTGCCTCTTGGCCCTGGCTGTCCTGCTCAAGCAGCTTCTCAGCTCTGCCGTCCAGGACATGAACTGCGTGCGCAGCTGGCACCGCATTGGCCAGCTGAAGAGCGGCGGCGGGGCCGACCCGGCGCTGATGTTGGCCGTGGGGCTGGCGGTGACGCTCTGCGGGACGGTGCTGCTCTGTGTGGCCACCGTCGGCAGCCGCGGTCACGACGGCAAGGAGATGTTGGTGTCCAGCCTGGTGCTGATGGCCGCCGGGGGGGGCATGTCTCTGGCCGTAGGGGGCTACGGCTTGGTCATCTATTATAAAAAGAGAAGGGAGCAGAGGAGGCGGATGGCGCTGAGAGTGAGCAGAGCGAGGAGGCCGGGGGGTCGAACTGTCAGGGTGTTCAGCGTCTCCGAAGGACAGATGAGTCAGGCCAGGAGGGAGACGTCCTCCAGCAGGACCAGCCTTATCTGAACGGACCAAATGAGCCCCCCACCCCTCAGAGGAAAAGTATCAAAGAGGTCTGTGAAATGAAACGTTTTTATGAAATTTGTCTAGCAGCTGTAAAAAATGTAAAACTAATATATTAATTAAGATAAGATCATTTTAGGAGAGTCTAATTAGTGTTGCACTCTACAGCTATTTTGCAGTCTTTTTATTTGCATAAAAAGGACTACTGTTAATCATCAAGCAAAGAGTCATTCAAAAAAGACTAATTGCTGCACCGTATATTTTCAACAATAACAAACCTTTTTTTTGATACATCTGAATAATTATGGTTGAAAATAAAGACTTAGAAGGTTATGTTTTCTTAAAAGGTAACTGTTCAAAAAAGATATTCTTCTGGCAGAAGGTTAAATGAGGTAGAGCTGCATTTGCTGTTACATGCATGAATTACATGTCTGATTCAAGGTGGATGAGCACTTCAAATCTTTTCATTTCTTTCAAAGCATCACTGTGAATAGTGGTCGTAGACAATGTACGGCTTAAAAATAAATTGGAATTTTAAATAACTTGCTCATAAAGTAAATATCCAATTAAATGATTTCTGTCTATACATCAACATGCACATTTATACGTTTTACGTGACACACAATGGTTGCTTCCTCCAACACAGTTTGGGCACTTTTAAGCTGAAATCAGTAACTTTCTAGACATTCGGACAATAAACAATATTATAAAGTCTTTATTGTTGATTTGCACTCAAATAAAATCAACCAAACACTTGAATATGAACATTTTAATTAATAAATTAATTAAAAATACCATTAGCACACTACAAAAAGGGAACAATTCATCCTCTTTGGTATAATGCACACAAAAGAATTCAAACAAGAAGTCTGATGAAGAAGTAAAGTCAAAACGTTGACGTTTTAGGAGATTCAATCAGATAATTCCTTCTGTTCATTCACTGAATCTGTTATTCTGTAACGAGCCTCAGAACAGCTGCAACTGTGATCCTGCAGTGAGATGGAGTCAAAGAGAAGCAGTAACATACATCAACAACTCGATTCTCATCTTAACTCGGCTCGTTCGTGAATCATTGTCGTAACTTCAGACTCTAGTTCCTTTTAAATGTGAAGCTTCTTCAGGGGAACTTACTCTTAACAGTTCACAGATGTTTACAGTGCTTAATTTTATAAGTGTACAACCATAACAACTTGAAATCAAAGCCTTTCCGTCGACTGTCAATCACCATCTCACTCTTTAGCCTACTTTGTTTTTTTCTGCAGCTGCTCCTGATGAAATCCCCGTGAATCTAATCACCCTATAGTGAACTGAAGATCGTCGTCGCTGTCTTCCTCCTCCTCCTCCTCCTCCTCGTCTTCTTCGCCTCTCTCCCTCTCTGCCCTTTCTTTCTCACTGGCCTGGATGTAGTTGTCCTCGATGAAGCCGTCGTCGTCGTCGTCCAGCTCCCTGTGAGTGCCTCCCATTCTGCCCAGCGCGCTGTCAGGAAAGGGCGGCTCGTCCCGGCCGTACTGGCTGACCCCGTCGGCCTCCTGCAGCAGAGAGTGACGGTAGCTGGCCAGGAAGCGGTGGAGGAGACGAAACTTGACGGCCATCACGATGAGGAGGGAGACGGCGAGGAGCGTGCCCAGTCCTGCAGCCAGATACGACCACTCCACCAACTTTCGGCTCCCGTCCGGATCGTCTGCCTCTGGCACACGGCAGTAAAAAACAGACTTTATTGTCATCATGAAGCTGTGGAGACGGAGAATTCACGTGGTTTCCTGTCAATGAGCTGTTATGGAGTTCAGAGTTCCTTCAGCACAGCTGGCTGTAAACGCTCAGATGATGGCAAAGTGTGTTACTTACTTTTAATTGCAGAATCGTTACTGCTGGTGTGATCTAATTCCATCAGAAGACGCGTCTCAGCGCTTTTGTCTCCCCCAACATCTGGTGTAGTAGCCTGATGTGCTTCTCTGATAAAAGCTCCACAAAGAAAAAACTCCGCGAGGAGGATGCAGCTCCACCGGCACATCTCCGCCTCCTGAGGGGAAATCAAATCATGAGCTTTTGTGATGTTAGATCAGCAAACATTATGTAAGGAAATGCAAAAACAATACGGAAATATATGCACTGAAATGGCCATAAGTGAGACTCACTTGGTTTGAATTAGAGAGGATATTTTGGCAGCTATTTTGCAGAAAAGGAACAGAGCAAACAACCATTCTTTTCATGTAGATTGCCAGTATTGTTTTGAGACAGACATTCAAGTAGTCTTATCGGAATGGTAAAGTGTGGCTGATACGACATCCTGACACCTGCAGTAAGGATGATATATTTCAAATTTCATGGCCAATAAACATTTAACCAGGTCCTTGCGTCTAACAATGTATTTAAAACTGACGCTGGAGTATTAACGGATTAAAATGATCTTTACGCTTATTGCACGTCCTGATTGATTTCATTGGAAAAATTGGAGATTTATATTGTTAGATGGTCTTTTCTGTTGTATATTTACTTTCCTGAAGTTCGATTCCATTTACACTGTTTAATACATATAATTAATTTGAAAGATTTGATTAGACTTTATTTTCCTTCTACATCATGGGAGAAAAAAACCTTTTCAATTGTGGAGATTAAGGAGTAACAGCATAAACAACACTACAAGTAAATCTGTGGTATTAATTCATTAACAGGCCACTGTCTAATATGACAGTTGTTGATTTGTGTGGTAATTCAAACCCGTTGTTCTTTTAACAGTAAATTAGTGCATAGTGAGCGAAAAGGGTTGAAATATTACGATGCTGTTTGTAGATCTGTAAATAAGTCCCATTAAAACAACCAGATATTGCAAAATACTGATATTAGTTTCAGTTCAAACGCCTGCTGCTTAAAAGATTATAATGAAAATGCGAGTATAAGATGAATCCATATGTTTCTTTTTTCAGATGTAGCAAGCAGAGTTGGTTTCTGAGAGCTTAAGAGGGAAAAAGGTTCTAGTTTGTTTACCCCCAACTATTTAGAAATGGGCAGCAGTGGTTTGACCTACATCATGATACACCATCATTGATTCTCAGCCCTTAGTTTTGGGAAATCATAACCCTGAAATATCAGGACAAGAGCAGCAGTTTTCAAAAAGTAGATGAATCCAGAATCCATGGCAACTGGCAACTAAAACAGATGAACATCAACAACAACGTCAATCTTTGTCTTTGTGAATTACCCGTTCAAACAGCAGTTGTCACATGATTTCAGGGAGCTGACTTTTCAGGTCTGGTGCAATATCCATGATTACAATCCTGAAGTGTTTACTAATTAACTTTACACATAGCCTCCACAGAGATGTTGCACAGATGATAATCCCAAAGTACACTATATCCATACTGTGTAGTTTGGCTAAATATATTTCATTTGAAGCAGCAGTAAACTGGTCAAATAAAGACCCAATAATGTGTCAACTACATCACAAACGCACTCACTCACTGTCAATTTACACAATCTAAAACCACAACACACACACACACGCACACACACAAAAAAAGTCTAAAATGACTTACCTGTATCACAAGACCTACTTACAGAGCGGCTCACCAGAGTAACGTCGACCTGACTTTTAACAGCTTTTGTCTTCCTCTTCTGAAAATACCACGAAACCTACTGAGCAAAGGTTGCTGAACAGACCATAATACCCGCCTGCCTGTAACATGCCCTTAAGACAAAGACGTTAATGAGTTACTTTATTAAGTTTTTCCTCCATCTCTCCTCCCAAATCCTTTTTTCACAGTCGTGAATGTAATTCACTCTTTCAAAAAAGGGATCATTCGCTACAGGTAAAATTCAGCCACATGGACAAATGAATTCTTTGGCTAAATCAGTGTTGTACCTGTTGCACTATTTGTTGTAGTTACTAGTTGTGTTGTCAGGCTTGCCCGGGCAAGTGAGGCAGAATGCTTCAACTGCAATGTTACACAAAGTTGATCTTTGTTCAATGTCCCTCAGTCTCCAGCTCCTCAAATAGTTTTTGATGCATTCATTTGCCATTCAGCCCCAATCACATTTAAAAAATAAAGGGAAATGTATTTGCAGTCTCTTCATAGTTAGATACTTTACCATCACAATGAGATTTAAAGTTTTAGTCACTCTATCCAGCGTCAGTTTTTTCATTTTTAATAAAAATAAAACACCTGCCTGTGTGGGAGTTTGGTCATTTTATACAGAGCTTATTTTAATATAATTTGAAAGATCTTGTTATAACCTGTTTTAATTCCTTGAAATTATGATGGACACAGCCGTTGTGTCAAGAATGAAAATGCTCATTACTAATAACTGGGAAAAGTGATGTTGTAGCAATGGACAGTTTTGGGGATTTGACACGCTCATATTGCTTAAATTAGAACACCAGCAGGTTAAACTACTCCAGCCATGAAGACATCTGTAACGAGCTTATTGCATAGTATTAATGTGCACATTACTTTTCACATGACAGTTCTCATCTAAGACCTTAACATAGCTTATTAATAATACATATTTGCAACAATCTTCTTACTACTTTACATTTTCAAAAAAGACCCTGCTGGCTTTGCAAAGCTCTGGCTTTATGCAGAGAAAGGTCAAGAAACCAAAACTAGAGACACATGTGAACTTGGCCCGGCTAATCGCTTCCTTTTTAACTATTTAACTAACATAATCGCTTGGAAGTGGAAGGAAAAAGACAGAAAAAAGCCTTAACACGGAGGCTCAGCTGCGTGTGTTTAATACAAACAAAACAAGCACAGTGGAGAAACCTTCAGATCAACAAATTATTTAAAGAATAGTGTCAGTATGCACATACTTTACTTTAGTAACCATTACACGTTTCTATGGTTACATGTAGACAACATTGGGGTCCTTGTGCATTAAAATCACATCTGCACATAATAATCAAAAAGCATCCTGTGATTGAGATTGTATTGATGCTCTTTCCAGCACGGTATTAATAAATCACTGTGTACATTCCTGGACTGCGTTTGAAAAACACTTGGACAACAATATGAAAATAATACGAAATCTGAAGTCTATTTTTTTCTCTTACATCCATTGAAATATAATGTATATGTGCAGGCTGAACACAGCTCGGTGCCAATATGTACGAATGAATCAATCACACAAAAAGAATCCCTCCGGACTTGTAATATGCCAGCAGATGATGTTTTGTAAAACAGTGTTGGAAAAAGTCTTGACATTAAACAGTCAGGACAGTTGGTGATGGTTTTTCCACAATAATTGAACAGGGTAAAGTGTGGATGAATGCATGGATTCATAAACGCTCAAGCTACTCTTACAAAAAAACAAAAGGCCACTTGAAAGTGTCGAGAAGGAATCTAGTATCCCGCAGGTTTGTAGAATAGTGGGCTCACACATAGGCAGCTTTGTGATCTCCAGTTTGCCTTCTAAGTAGCACAGTTAAGCAACAAGAGTTCCGCAGACAAAAGCGAGAATGACGTTGCACAGTTATAGAGTGCAATACCACAAATTACCATGAGACGTGTTTGGATGGAGACGTACTAAACGTTCCTTAAAAACAACTTTCCTCCTCATATGCAAATACACACCGAATAAAGAATTGGCCAGAACTTGCAACAACTGCATCAGCCGATTGGGATGAGATGGTTAATTCTTTATCAACGATCACGATCACCTTTACCCAAGTAGTATTTTACACTATTATATTAGTATTTTGGTTGTGTTTCTGGCTGAAATTGGCCATAGTTGTAAGAAACTACCTCTGATAATAAGAACCACGTGTTTAAGTTTAAGTCTCGTATGATAAAAATGTAAAAATGGTTCTTGTTAAAGTTTTGAACAAATACAAGAGTTTTTCTTCTCATCACTCTGTGGATCTTGTTAGTTCCAGAGTAAAATGTAGTAGATTTGGCATTCAGTTTACAGCACCCTACTCTACTACCAGGGTGTATGTTTAAACTGATTCAAAGCACTATGCCCCCCCGGTTGCACTAATGTAGCCTCTCGTCTGCCTGGATGGTGGATAATTACTGTAATGTCCCTCCACTTCCTTGATGACTGCTGCACAGTCACGAGGAGGAGAATATTTAGTGAGGAAAGAAATGCATGTATGACTTTTCAGAGCTCGGCACTTTGGAGTTAATATGGTTTCTGCTACTTCTCCTCCATGCGTCGCGCCGCGTCAACGTTGTCCACCTGCAGATTCCCCCGACTGTCCTCCATCTCCGGCGCGACGGCCCGTCTCTACCAAGAGGCCTATTAAGGATTTCCCTCTTTCATGGCCGGAGTTGTGAAGCACCTCTGGAACATGATCTCGGGATCTGGCGGCTGGTTGTCGCAATCCAACTTCCTGCTCATGAAGTGCTTTCTGAATCCCTGCGGACCGGAGGCACAGGCCGCTCTCACAGCACCGGAACCCTCGCTCGGATTTCCCGCCGCTAAAAACAAAAGACAATCGCACCGACAATCGTTATCTGAATTGAAAGAACTTCAGTAAAACACGTTTAATTGCAATGCAATTTATTCCAATATTGCATATTGAGCGGAGCGGAATGTGGTTGTAGAAGAATACACCGACCTGGCGCTCTGAGGGGGAGGCCGTTGTCAAGAGGCCTCGGTTTGGATGCAATAAAGAGGTAGCAGAGGACGCATACGGTGATGAGGAAGGCGAGAAGGACCACTGCTGCAATGGATAGACCAACCAGAGCGCCGACACTAATGGGAGAGGAGGCGAGGAGAGAAGTGAAGAGGACAAGGACATGAGGATAGAGGAAAATAGGAAAGGAGAGTAGTGGAATAGAGGACACCGGAGTGAAAAGAGGGAAGGAAAATGAGAGGAGAGGACAGTCGATGTAGATGGAAAAGTCGAGTAGCAAGAAGCAAAATCGACTATATGCAAATAACTGTAATCGTTATGGCCACTTCATGCATGCATTTAAATCCACAAATGGCATTAATCAAATACGTACGGAGTAACTGATCCTTTCATCAAGATAATGCTTTGAGAGGATTTAGTGTGCAGCTTAATCGCAACAGGTGCTGCAGCTGCTGGCACAATACAGTTAACTATGTTAACAACACACCCGAGTGCACAGCGCGTCCGTTCATTACATTTCAGAGATCGCAAGTTGTCCCTCACCTCAGCCACCACATGTATCTGTACTCATAGGGGAAAAAGCTGTTGGGATCGTCGCAGCAATACTTGACATCGTTGAATCCGCAGCAGAACAGAGCGTCGATCGCGTTGCCCGGTCTGGGGCACGAGAAACCCTCCACGAGCGCGCCGTCCGCGCCGAGGTAGCTGCTGCACGCCGCGCTCATCCTGCCAGCTGCTGCGGGACCAGCTTCTGGTCTGGAGATCGAGGGGCGAAGGAGGAGAAGGAGAAGGAGGAGGAGGAGGAGGAGGACCAGAGAGCCTCGGTGAGAAAGGGACTGCTCCTCCCTCGGCACCAGCAGCGGGACGGCGGCGCTGATTTCTGAAGAAAACCGGAGCTAGTTTGCGCGCGCTCGATCTTTCTCTCTCTCTCTGTCTGACTTGCTCTCTCTATCTATATATATAGCTAGAGAGAGATTTATTTATTTATTTATACCTGGGCAGTGGCTCCTTCAATCAATAGCATAATTTAGAGTTCAGTTCAGGGTTCAGTCTGCTTCGTGAGCTGATATATTTAATTAGTATGACTCACAAATTGAACAAAACAAAACATACTGGTAGCACAGTAAAAACACTACATTTGTGTTATAGTTTGCCTCATACTAAATAGCACTGAGCGTTTGAGAGGCCGAGTGAGAATGGAATAAAGCCTTAATGAATATCCTCTCTCGTTTTTTCATCCACTGAAAAGACAAAAAATAGTTTTCATAATCCATTTTTCTAAGGGGTGAGATGCAGTACCACGAGGTCAACAGATGCTCGGCCCCCGCATGAAAAGCCTCTGCGTCATTTGTCCGAGTCTTCCAGATTGCCTCTGATAAACAAACATGAAGCACCAGATACGCAAGGAAATATGAATCTGTGAAGATTTCCATTCCTGCTTGAAAGGAGAAGACGAGGTTTGTCTGAACACAGTGACAGCAGGGACTGTGAGCTGCAGACCACTTACAAGGTCGGAAGAAGACTTTTGTAAAAATGTTTATGATCATAAAGTTGATCAACCGATCCTCAAACTGACTTAGTTGACAAGACACATTTCAAACACATCAAATGATCTTTAAAGGGCTTTGCAAGCGATCGAAGAAAAAAAAGGGTTTGCATGCCAAAAAAAAACAAAATACAATAAAATAAACTTGGATTCTTAGCGGTTAATACGGAAGTAAAATAGATGAGACTATAGATAAAAATGATGATATAGAATTAAGAAAAATGAATAACATCCCAAAGATGGTATACTTCATAACAAATAACAAGAATTAGACCCTGAAGCGCTGACAGATACTAGAAAGAATGATGGACAGATTGAAGGTTTGTCCCTGTGGACGTCCAAAGGTTTATTTGTAGTAATAGTTCAGAGAGAAAGAAAGAATTAACAGGAATAATAGGAATAATCGGCCCAGAGGTTATTTACTGTTTAGACCCTGAGCTATATTTAGTGGACCCTTATTCTCAATCTGCTCTCTGCTTCTCTAAATCCTTCATTCCCTCTGCTATCAGGCTACTAAATGCAACTAATCCTATAGTGACCATTTAGAGTACATGAGGGAAAGATTTGAACGAATAGGAAGTATCACAGTACAAAGTACTACGTTGCAACCGGAAAGTACGCAAAATGTCCTTGATCTCATATCACAGTAAAAAACGTGATTTAAGGTACCGTGTGTGTGACGCCTTCGATGTCACATATTTGTACCAAATTGAGGCAAATCAAACACGGTCATAAAGGCAACGCTAACATGGTGTAACAACAACAACAACAACAACAACACTGTGTTACACCTTCACTGTTTCAGATCATCAAACAAAAATCATGTTGAGAAAAATAAATAAGAATTCAGGAAGGGGGCCAAGTCTTTAAAGGTACTGTTGATAGATAAATGGACAGCGTGTGTGTGTGTGTGCATGTGTGAGTGTGTGCGTGTGTGCATGTGTGAGTGTGTGCGTGTGTGCGTGTGTGCGTGTGTGTGTGTGTGTGTGTGCATGTGTGCCTGTGTGCGTGTGTGTGTGTGTGTGTGTGTGTGCGTGTGTGCGTGTGTGCGTGTGTGCGTGTGTGTGTGTGTGTGCGTGTGTGCGTGTGTGTGTGTGTGTGTGTGTGTGTGAGAGGGATTTCTAATTAGTAACTAATCTAATTAATAAGAGACATTTTTGGCTCCAGAATCCCAATAACAAGGCATAAGGGAACATCTCGGCTTCACATTACACTTGTAATCATAGGTGAGAAATGTCTCAGGGAGACTCACACAACATTTCTCACCAACAGAGAGTGATTCAATAATTGAATCCTTTGAAATGAACAAATAGAGGTAATGACAGCCAGAAAAGAATCGTGATCTGAGGAAACGAGGCGATTGTTGCTGGTGAGACAAAAGGCCTCAGCAGGAAGTCACATTCGTCCTCCAGATTCGTTGAATTGGGGATTCAAAGGCACGAGCTGCTGAAACAAACTTGCCACAAAATTCATCCCTAGTTTTTCTTTCCTGCACGTCTGTACGTCTGATCACGGGCTTTACAAAATTGGTGTCGGAAAGGAAAAACGGACAACAGGAGTCCCATCAGTCAGACATTCTGCTGGATTTGTTACCAGAAAGACTTGGAATGGAACAGTTGGTCAATGAAAATAATCTTTCCTGACGTCAGATACAATGTCATCCAACATTACAGTACAAAGTAACGGAGGAGAACAAAAAGAACACGTAGGAGTTAGAAAGAGAGAAGGTCACTCAGACGCCTGTCAATCACATGAATCTGGCTGGTCTGTCAGGACCACGTTCAGGATGGAGGCGACTGCACTGCTGCGGCCCAACAAGCCACAACCAAACTCTTTCTTTCTATAAAATCTGGTATGCAAAGCACCCAAATCTTCTCAAATTCTCAAAATTGACACGACCTGTGGATGTTGAACCTGTCCGGCCTCTCTAAATGAATGAGGAGCACACCAGCCCCGACTGCTCACCCTAATCCCAGATTATCTCTGCCAGTCCAATCCAGAAAAAAATTGGCAGAGGAAAAGGGATTATTTGACAGTTGTGGGGGATTGTGGCGGTTAGAACACACACCTCGTCGCTCGTAAGCGACACTCGCACCCGTCGCACACACGGACACACATGAAAGACACATTACATTCACAAATGCGGTTTCATATTTAGTGCAATCCCGTCTCATTCTGATTTACGTTCTCCCATCAATTGTCCGCCCATGTTTCGCGTTGATGGAACAGGGGAACAGGCAACACAACGCTTAGTTGGTTGCTTTTCATAGCATCAGGAAATATGTATTATTATTATTCATTTTGCTCTACGTTAAATCGCAACATATGACTTTTACAATCCATTATTACAGGTGCAAATTTGAAAAAGGACGCTATCTCTAGAGGCATCCGCGCCTAATCAAGTTTCTCCATCACAAAATTGTATAAAGCAAAATTATGCATCATATAAATGTATTGTGTGTTGCAGACACAAAATTATTTGTGGTGAATTTTAAACAACCTTCCACTGGAACTTTGTTCTGAGGAATTCATAGACATGCGTACCTCTTTCTACTAAAGTATAACTCTTCTATTGCTTTGCATGTTAAGATAAACCCTCTTTCATCAGCAACTGATTTCAAATCTTCTTCATTTAAATTGAATTCTCTGACATGGAAAGCTAAAGGACAAGATGGGAACACATGGGAACCACCAATATGCATCCCAGTGTATAAAGCTCCGATCGGACTTCTCTTACAGCATTTTGACTTTGAGTGAGGGGATTTGGTTGAGGGGCCTGCGGACGGCTCTTTTTAAATTACATTTTCTGCAGGGACCAAAAGTGGCAGCAGCGATTAGCCACAGACGTCACATCCTGCAGCCCAGTCGGAGATTACAGAGCAGCAGATGTGGCATCTGGGATTACAATTAGAGTAATATCACCCATGTTAACATAAGAGGAGAGTCTCTGGTCTTGTGCCACACGCAGGGCATTGTTGTTAATGATGAACTACGCTGTTAGCACTGTGAAGGACTTTGATGTAATCAGCGTGATGGAAGTCTCCGGGTGCACTGCGGCCTCCTTTTTTTGCTTTTATTTAAATATTATTTTTGTCTCTCCTTCATTATTTCCAAAAAACGACTTTGGGCCTATTTTCACTCTGCTGTGTTTTTTTTAACAACCCCACATTTTCATTTGAATCAAAACAGAAGATGGAGATGTTTAAAGAGGAAGTGTAATAGAATCTGCAATTTCCAGTCTCACAATACACAACTTGTTAATTATTTAACCCAATCAAAAGCCGGAACGGACTGCGGCCATTATTGACACTGATTAAGTGCCATGCGATGAAACTCAAGTGCTGCTTATCCTTCCAAACACCCACAGCTAATCCTATCAACACAGCAACAACATTAACGATACAATGAACCCAGAAGATATGGTGACCTGTGTGGGATTTCATTTCATTTGGATACACATATTTCTATATTGCATTGGCTCTAACACCATGAATGTGTTTTAGCCATTTGTGCATAAGGAGAGTTCTCTGGGTTTGTCAAGAAACGGAAGAGATGTTTAATGTTGGTCAAAGTGTTTGTCCTATTGTCTTAAGGTAATTATAAATGGTTGAATTTGTCCAAAGATAAGCGTCAAACATGAAAGGATTTTGATGTAGGAGGTAAAATGTAAAATGATAGTTAGATAGATAGAAGCAACATTTACTAAACCAATTTTAATATAATTTCATCTTTTATTTGTTAATGAATGGTGTGATTTATTACAATTTTAGTCCAAAAATTTCATTATGTGTGTAAAATGCCTGCTGTGTGGATGTGTTGGTCTGTTGGGCCGGGGAACATGAGTTATTGGGCCACATACTGTGTGTCTAAGTGCTTATTTCTTTGTGCGCCTTCAATTGTGTCAAGTCCCTGTTTTTTTAATCTTGGGTAGATAATTACTTCCTGTCACTTGAGCAATTTTTTTGTCCTTTTTTAAAAAAAATTTAACAATCCGCTGTCCAATTGTTCAGAGAGCTCTTTAATCCAGCTCTAAGTCTTAGTCCGCACAGCCTAATAGGATCGTAGTATTAACCCTGATGACAACACCACCAGCTGTCGCAGAGCCCTCTGTTGGCCACCGGCAGGAACTTACTGAGGGGGTTTAGCTGGACATGGGGGGGGGAGGCGGCTGTTAGAGAGAGACAGACGCACAGCGACGGAGAGAGTGAGCGGTGCGCTTGGTCTCATGTGGAATAATCAAGGAAACCGTTCGGAGGAGGAACGCGGGAGCTCATGACGTCCTTTGCTTTTGGATGATGACCTCTTTCGATTCATTTTCATCCCCTTCCCTCCTTCCCTCCTGTTAACCGAGGCCCAACTTTCTTTTTCTTCCTTTAGAGTTTTTTTTTTTAATCTTTTTTTTTTCCATTCTGTTTATCCTCTCAATCCCACCGGCTCCCTCAGCATATTGCACCCACCCGCCTCGGCCCACTCGCCCCCATCAACACTTCCATTTCTTCCGGCGTGGAGGTGGCTGTCGGCCCTGTGTTGCTGGCTCCACATGGCTGAATAAGTGTTAAAAAGCGGGGCTCGCTCTGGTGGTCTTCTCTCCGTGGGGGGGAGGGAGGAGGGGAGTGGGGGGGGGGGGGGGGGGGGGAGGAGGAGGATGGCAGTGGCTCTGGATGAAGTGTGGGGGCGGGTGAAGAATGTCTGCAAGCAGAACGGACTGCTCATCCTCTCCGTGCTGGCCGTGGTCATCGGCTGCCTGCTGGGCTTCTTCCTGAGAGGCAAGCAGCTCTCCGAGCAGGTCAGTCTGTGAGAAAATGCCTGGTGAAGATTGTGAGGCCCGGTTTCCCACCTACACACACGCACACACACACACACACACACACATGCTACGCACCTGCCCACCCGCCTGCCTTCCTTATCTCCCCCTCTCTGGTGTCCGTGTGTGACCTCCCCCTGTGTGCTCCTCATCAAAAGCCGGGATGCATTTGGACACCACAACTCCGAGGCCAAGCGGTTCACCGTTCCCTGCATCCGCCCTCTCTGCCTCCACGGCACGCTTAAAGTTATTAGAGTCTTCGTGGGCGCTTTATTTTGACTGGCGTTCACTCTCTTCAGGCTCCATCGTGACTTTCACGCAGCACCCTTAAGTCTTTATCTCATCTTTATTAAACCAGCCTCTTTTTCTTCTTATTCAAGCGCATCTAATTCTACCAAAGTTTAGGTTTCATCACCCTAGTCAGCCGCAATAGGACCGTTCATTGCAGTCTTTACCTTGTTCCCACTGGAATTGCAAAACAAATACAGCATTAGCAAGTTTTTTCCCTGAATAGGCTTGAATTGGCTCATCAAAAAGTGAATTGGTCTACTGCGATAGGCACAAGGATAACGATAATGTAGCATAATCAGTCGCTCAGACAGCTTTTAAGTTGGACTCCAACATCCAAGGAAAATAATTGCCAGTGGGGAGATTAGTTGTCAATCACTCACTGAGACACGGAGTCATAGAGTATAGTTCACACATGAATAAACGGGAAATATAATTAAATAGCTGGAATTCAGAGGATAATTAAAGGCTGCATTTGAACAGATTAATGAACATTTTGAAGATATTTAAGTGGATGATTATTTCTCAGAGCACTTTGACAATGACTGAATGACAAAAAATGTCAACAAATGTTTGATTGTTGGAGAAACCAGAACGCAAAATCAAGGTCGACTGAGAAGCTGCTGCTGAAAGAATGGAAAGGTTTTTTAATTGGGGGGGTTGTTGGAGCTTGTGGGTGTTGGTCTAGGTGGGATTATGATGTAACATAATCATAGGTATTGCCATTCATATTTTAGCCTGCCTGTGCAGTCAAATTAATTAAATACAGAGATGTGGGCTTTTCGGATGAGTCAAATCTGCCTGTAGCCTGTTTGTTTTCACAGGTCAAGCACGTCAATGTGCACGGGAGAAAACTCCCACACGCTTTATAGAGTGAACGTCGTAGCCTAGTTACTGATTCAGCTCACTCGTCATTGCAGGTGAGGTGAACATGGGGGTAAAACAGAGCTGTGCTTTTCCCATCGTTGGTGAGGAGCTCAGACGTAAACCAAGACCCTGAAGACCCTCATTTTGATTTAAGCAAAATAATTAAGTTGAGTATAAGAAAACACTACACTCCAGAATGAATTGGTTACATTTTTAGTGAAGACTGGAGAAGCTGGAAGGGGATTAGAGTTAAATGTGTGTCAGTCAGCAGTTACAATAATGACTTATTTAAAACTCTCCACAAGTCACTATTACAACAAAAACGTAAGATGTCAGGTTAAATAAAAAGCTCTTAATTTAGCCTAAATGATGGCACGTATTTTAAAAAGAGGCCCTATAACTTGACATCGCAAGAGCATTTAAAAGATGGCTTGTTTGTTAAATGACCAGTTTCATGTTGCTGTACCATCTTGAAGAATACTTTGGGGTTAAAAAAGCTTTTTTTCTGGCTCAGATCTGTCTCTCTGCTACAACAATATCCTGACATTTATTTGTCATAACCCAATGAGCATGTGTGTGCATGTGTGTGTGTGCATGTGTGTCTTCCTTTTCTCTCCGTGACTTGTCGTCATGATATATTTGTATTCATTCTTAAATATTTGTTCCAATCCATCCTCACCAACTTCACACTTCTATAACAAGTGTGTTAAGTTACAGACTCAATGCATTTCAAAATCATACCTGTCATTAGACAAAAACGCATTGCCGAGTGTCTGCAGACGTTTTTTTTCTTGTTTGAAAATACTTTTTAAAATTTCTTTCAGGATTCAATATATCAACGCCTTCAAAGTTCTCAAGCAACCTCTCACAATAATCTCACACTGCAACTGAGGTTTCTGGTTTAACGGAAGCTGTTGGAAGTCTCAGAACTCGGAGGTTATATTTTTAGAAGTATTATGCAAACAGGCCTGGCAGGAGCTAAAACTAATTATTTACAGTTTGTCACTAGCAACTGTAACTCAGTGAAGTTAATGTTAAACCTCCAATGCCTCTGAAGAGGGACGTTCGTTTTGAAAAGAAACTATGCAAGTAACAAATGTAAACTGACTAAACCCTGATACTAGACGGGTGTCATAGTCCGAAGCTCAGTGCCACTAACCAGGCGTCGGGGGGGATTATGTGGAGGGGGGTTGTCTGGAACGCAGTATAAGTTTAGACTAGTCTAGTAATGAAGTGAGCCTCAGTAAACCGCTTCTCATCAGCTACTAGTAAACCCTAAAAATACACTCGCTCATTCACTTACTCGTTCTGAAATCAAGTCTATAATAGACTGACGTGAAGACACATATATCGCAGATTATGAAATTCAGCCATCGGCTTCTTTGAGAAGTTACAAAATTGCAATGATATAATCTGAACAAGTGTCCTTATTTGTAACCACAGTCATTACATTTAAAGTCGTAAATAATTCGATATAGTTGACGTTGCGTCTAGTTAAAGTGCAAATAGTTGGATAGCTGCTCCATTTCTAATTCTAGTGATTATTAGACTGAGACTTATTCTGTTTATTCATCTTTGATTGAGTCACTAATTAGCTACACCCGCCTCTAGCAGGCAACTTGTGTACGATAAGTAATGTTCATTAGGTAAAAGATTAACGCAGTACGTGTTTGACGTAGTGTTGGTTTTTGGGCACTAGATGTCTGGTATTCTTATTAATCCTCCCGATGGAGAAGCAATAGACTAAAAATAATGAGAACCTTTTCTCAACCACTCACACAGACACATAAAATACGTGTTGACAACAGGGAAAAGATAAATTCATGGATTATTTTGGAAAAAAGAACCGCATCAGTCTGTAATACAAGAAAGAACTTGAACTTGAAAGAGTTTGAGACCTTGAATTTACGGCGGGGAGCCAGGTGACCAAAGAGCTCGGTGGGTTTTCCGTGGACGGAACAGTTGTTTAATAGAAGGGTCATTTGTGCTTTATATGAGGTCAAAATAATCTAAAAGTAATTTCTCCACTGGTAGCCATTGCACAATGTGTTCTCTCTCTTTTCTCAGCTCCTTTCAGCCTCCACAGCTGCACAAGTTACACAAAACAAGCGGATCTCTGGTTTTGAACGAAGCTTGATATTTTGGCAATATTGCAACAGTTTATCTTTCACTAAATGTCAGGATGACCTTTAGTGTGAATATGCACAGAATCGAATTGAATGCAAAAATCTGTCCAAACCTTTGACTGTTACTTTATATGAAATCAATGTGTTAAATATGTATTATTACTGTGGCACGAGCACATTATATAACAGACACCTAACTAACCAAAATCATGAATTATGCATGTGATCATAGTAAACGAGATACTCACATATATACACACATATTTTGCTTGTATAACTCATAACTGTGTATAACTGTGTGTTCTGCTCTGGTTCTTCCAGGAAGTGAAGTACTTCCAGTTTCCCGGTGAACTGCTGATGAGGATGTTGAAAATGTTAATTTTGCCCCTCGTCGTATCCAGGTAAGAGCAACACACGCACATAAAAACACGCAAATGCCTGCAGCCTGTGTAAGCCTGATTGCCTGATTACACAATTATTTAGACGGTTTTGATTTTCAGTGCTCAAGAAAGGAGTCAGCTTTTAGTAAAGAATTATAAGCAGAAACATAAATTATAAAAAAAGAAATACTTATAGTTTTTTGCACTCTCCGCTGCTGTTAACGTTGTGCGGTTTTATTTTAATATATGAACCAAGTGAAACAAAAGTGAAGTGATCTACAAAGTAGCCATATCTGTAGTCACCGGTATCCCTCTGAGGTGTGATGCATTATTTAGTCGAATCATTTGCCCGTTGCAGCCCTTAGAATTATTTTGCAAATGTACCATTTGAGAAATCCAGGTTGCTGATTGATTCTTTTGTAGAAATGGGGGAAAAAAACCTAGGAGCAAATTGAAAATGCTGCTGAGGGCATTGAGACCGCAGCAGAATGAAACGATTTACTTTGTGGTGATGTCAGAAAAGACGTATAAATGTACTAATGAATGTTTGACCTTACATTTGAAGCCCTGTTCTTCTCTGAACAGCAGGTCAGTGCAGCTTTTTGAGAAATTAGAGTCCATAAAAAATGAATTCCTGACATTTATTTTATATGATATAATTATTAGTGCATTTTACATTTCCTCAGAGATGCTTTGCAACACTGTTTGTAGTGCTTGTTGACATAAACTGTTCACAGACCATCTGGTGACCTCCTGGTGCTTTGCACTGAACTTCTGCACTAACTGTGGGTGTCGTTGTGGTGCAGGGGTAGAGAGGGTGCACCGGGAACGCCAAGGTTGGTGGCCCAGATGCCCCACGTTGAAGTGTCCCTGAGCAAGACACCTAACCCCTAATTGCTCCCTGGGCAAAAATGTAAAAAGCCATGGGTTAAAAATGCATTGTAAATCGCTTTGGATTAAAGCGTCAGCTAAATGACCGGTAGTGTAATGCAGTGTAACTGGATGAAATGAATAAAAAAACGCTTATATTATAACCCGGGACCTGCCTAACTACCACAGCACTTGGCCATTTTATTCAATCAATATGTGCCATTTTTTAATTTATAATATACATATTTTCCTTACTATATATATACAACACGTGGCCATCTCATTGCTGTTTCAGTAAAGTTGTGACACTCAAAACAATTTATCCACGTTCAACAGCCACGACTTTAGTGACACAGTAGGTTCAACTACAAAATGTAAACAGCAGGCTAAAGCTCTCATGTGTGCTCAGGATGACGGGCACACAGCAAGGGGCCGGCAAGGAGACAGATGGAGCTGGACGGCTCGTAAACATGGATATCTGATGATTAGTGTAGATGAAAAGCATAACCTTGATGAGATTTATTTTTCGCTGCACACGATTACCTTTTTTAATATCAAGGATTAGAGGTCAACGTGTATATGAAAGTGAACCTGTTTGCCCTTTTATAGCTTCTGGTGCATTCTTAGAAGCGTACAGTCTGCCAGATTTAACCGTGACTATTTTAAGCCCAAAGCTCATAGTTGCCTGCATGCGATCAGTGGTGTCCACCACACACACAAAAACTCCCAAAACAAATCATGCAAACGCACCGGTTACATGGTGGGTGCTTTGTGCAATAAGCTACTTACATTCTATGCAACAGCAAAGACTGGATGAGAAGTTAATCCTCCCTCCGTCACCCTGTCCGTCTCTCTCTGTTTGTCTATATCCTCCAGTGCCCCTGTGGCTCTTGCCTCTATGTCTTTCTGTCTTAATCAAACATGTTTAAACAAAAGACGAAGGGCAATAAGACTCCTTATTTGTGCATTTATTCATGCAAATGCCAGACCCGGTTTTACAGTTTCAGAGAAGGTTTCCTGCCAAACGCAAGGCGCGCAAAGACACGCAAAGATAATTGCATCTAATTTGAAACATGCATGTAGGCAGGGCGCCAAATCCAGCCAGGTTAAACGTCCTTTCAGCACATGGGAGTGTAAAAGCAATCAGGTCGAGCTTTCCACAGGCTACTGGAGCTCCTGTTAGTCAGAACGTTCCATCTAGAGATGAGTTGGGGCATATCTGCATATATCTCGGTCAATACCTGCCGTTCTCTCTCTGTCTTTCTCTTCCCTTTATACCAAATAATGCCAGCAGAGAGTATCTAGTATTTGGGATGCAAAGAGCGGCTGGTTGACATGGTGCATGGTACAGTAGGGCTTATCTAGTGGTGCATATCCACCCTATAGCCTGCCTTTCCCTAGTCCACCCCCCCCCCCCCTCTCACCATCTGCCTTCCAGCCAAAGCGGAAACCAGATTATCCCATGTACACGTCAGGCAGAATCAACGCCCACGCCGTCTACCGCCTTCTTTTGTTAAGTAGAACTAGTTTTTAAAAAGAACATATTTTTGTTGTAGTTTTTTTTGTTGTTTGGGGCTTTTTAGACCCTCTTGTTTACCACATCTTGGACTGAGATCTGACAGTCGGAATGAACAGCAGTTTAATGATGTGCAGCAGCCGCACAAACATGTGGCTGAGCCAAACCGACTCCAGAGTGCTCATCAACTGATGTTTCTACGGTTGTAATAATATAAAAAAATGATGACTACGATTAACAGCGTTACGTTATAATCATCGTTGTAACAGAACTATAAGAACTCTGGCAAACCACGGAATGTAACTTTAATACGTCATTGAACTGAAGCATGTTGCTTTACATGTAAGCAGGACCCTGTCTGAGCCTCTAACTCACAAACTACTAAATATACACGGTGTGATAAGCGTCGAGCTTCTCTCTGTGTGGCTTTGAGCTGAATGTTCATCACTAATGCTGCAGGATTTTTTTTGCATTTCCCGGTAGCAGAAAGGCTCATGCAGCAGACAAAGATGAATAAGAAGTTTATAGAGAATTGGTTTTCTTAATCTCGGCATGCAGACGTCACACAAGGCAATGTGTTGCGAGGCACAAATGATTTCTCTGATCCTGACTCTCTCCGTCTGAATAACCTAAACAATGAGCACAAAGCTCAAGTGACAAAGCAATGAATTGTTGTTAATAATTAGATCATGTCTGTTTCGTGTTTTATTGTTTTGCATTCGGGAATGGCAAAACCCCCCCACCTCTGTTGCTATTTCCACATATCTCCAAAGGACAGAATCAGTACACGAATAATGACACACGTCATAAGCCTTGACCTTCATTTGAACTGCTTGCATAAGTTCTCATGGACACTGATTCGTACCGATCAACTTGCATTGACGAGTTCAGTCTCTTTGCATTCCAAGTGGGTCGTGGAGAACTTCCCTTGGCTACACTTTACCAGTGACTAATCCAATATATCAATGATTAGTTAGGTCACGTGTCCAACAAAATCTCTTCTGATGGTCGTTTAAATTCACAGAAAGGATCGATTGATTAGGGAAGAAGTCTTTTGTCTTCCACTTACAAGCAGCATATCCCTGGTTTCAAACAACAAACAAACAGTAAAAGTACGTATTATTTGATGCATATGTGTGCATTAAAATATCATCCTTCCAGTTCATAAGGATGTGTGAATGAACGTGCGTCAGTGGACTTAATGTTCCAAACGAGACACTCTTACTAGTGAACGCAATACAGAACCCATTAAAAACATAGCACTTAATTCAATTTAAAACTTCTAGTAATCTGCTAATGAGTCTGCAAGTGATTTGAATAAAACACGTCTGTTTAAAAAATAGTTGTCAATTCAATTAATTTTAATTTGGAACATTGTTCATTTCATTTTATTTGTGCATTGTTATTCATTCAATAATGTTTTTATCAGTTTTTATTAAATTCATAGTTTCATGCCGCAAACTCAAATGACGACACAGTAAAAATCTGGGAGGTTTTGACTGTGATATAATTGTCACAAATACATGAACAGAGTAAGGAGTTGGAACAGGTGGCCACGTGGTGAATCCCTGCACGGGCAGGTTTGGTCCTCCTAGTTGCAGTGTCTGACTTTCACAAGAGCTCCAGTAAAAACTCCACATCAAACATCTGGACATGTAAATCAGTGGGAACAGTTTGTCTGCCCAGAAGGCTGATGTTGTCACACACTGGAAGGTGTGTAATTGTAATTCCAGTCACATCACTGGGTTCAGGAAACATACACACGGACATGTGCATTGGTGTTGTTTGCCTCGTGGATAATCACACACACCTTCCTTCAGGTCCGAATAGTTTGCCACATAATTGCCCAATTTATAAAGCACATATATAAATTCAACCATGCCACACACGTTTATTCATTGACGTGCTCTGAAGAGCAACGTCGGCTGTGCACGGATGCATCATAAGGGCAGATGTTCTTTTGAGATTTGGGTCACAGATGCAATCCAAAGAGGAGCAATCCAACCGCAGCTGCATCATGGGCCTAACTGGTATTCAAGAACGAGAGCTGGTTTCCTGGAGTGCAAAAATAATAAACCTTAAAGTGGTGTCCTTCTTCCCTCCAAACCCTCAGCACGACAGTATAATATACTGGAAAGGATTTCCCACACACATGTAATACCTGTTGCCACGTTTCAGTGAAACTTTCAATTTATTAATTTGGAACAGACCGTAGCTTACATGTGTACATTTTTGCTTCCTTGCTGCACATTTGGTTTTATTACCGTCAGCTTCAGTCAGGCAGGTTAACATACTAACGTTGTCGTCCCAGCGTCCAAACCTGTGCACGAGATGTGGCTGCAGTGCAGTGAAAACATCTACTACTCTGCTTAATGTGAGCAGCCTTCACATGCAGAAAACCACTGCTGGTTTGCTGAAACAAATATTAAACTTGTTATTTGGGCTGACATCACACGCATTTTGACATTATGGCGACCCCACTTTGCGCATCATTGCGTTGTGCATCACAACCGCGTAAGCAGGCTGGAAAATGGACTCATTTTAAACGTTGAGCACTCATCCCCAATGTGACCTGTTGAACAGGGAGAAGTTATTATCACTCCAGCTCAAGAGGCCGTGTTAATCTCTCTCTCGCTCTTTCCTTTTACTTTCATTGGCTTCACCTTCCTGCCACATCTGCATCTAAAGACCTTCCCCACAAATGACATCTGCTGCATTTATTCCTCATCTGTGCAGCAAGTAGTATTGTATAAATGCTTCTTCTTTTGAAATTGAACCGCAATTTCCACCACATCTGTTCAGCAAAAATGAATCTCAACAGGAAGACAACTCAATGAAGCCCATTCATATTCATTCATATTCAGAACTATCTTCCGTTTGTTATGTTTATTATCACATGCTTTCTGTGACAGAAAAGCTCTGAATGGCATGATCTCACAGACACAGGAGGGAAGCAAATGACAAGGAGACGTCATTGGATTTGATGCTTTCTTCTCTTTGTTTCTTTGCTATACAGTATAAATACTTTGAGCGCAGTCAAGCGTTAAATTAAGTAGCTGAGTATCTGCAATGGCATTCCAATGGACCAAGATTTGCATCCAGTCCTCTGCAAAATCACCCCCAAATACTGAAGCAAAACGAACCTCAGAACCACGAACGAAACAAATTAATTCCTTATCAATGGTTCTACAAAGTCCTTGTTGATTTCAAACACCAACGTCTGCCTCCATGTCTGTTCTTCCCGCTGCCTCTGTCCGTGACTCCGTGTACCTCTGCTTGCTTCCCGTTTCAGTCTGATGTCCGGTCTGGCTGCCTTGGACGCCAAGTGCTCGAGCCGCCTGGGCATCATGACCATCTCCTACTACCTGTGGACCACCTTTGTTGCCGTGGTGGTGGGCATTGTCATGGTGTACATGATCCACCCTGGTGGAGCCGCTCAGAAGGAGGCGTCTGAGGAGGGCAAGAAGCCAATGACCAGCTCCGCCGATGCTCTGCTGGATCTCATTCGGTAAGAGGCTGTCATGTGTCACCTACTACACGTTAGCACCTGATAGGAAAGTGTCAAATGAAATTGAAGGATTTCCATGGTTTTAAAGAAAGAAACGTAAGAAAGTGACTTATTTATTTTTTATTTGTTAGATATGTACAAAAACAATGACTAAATGTTCTCTGGTATTGATCTCCAAGCCGCAGAACCACAAAATAAATGTTACTTTAAATGAAAAGGTTGATCAAATTTAAGAAAATTGTAAAAAAAAATAAAAAATAAAAAAAGATTAGTTATAACATGGTCTTTTGAAAAAATATTCTCTTTATTCGCCCCAACTTTTGTCAGGTTTCCAACAAATTCACATGAGATCCTTTCAATGAGAAGGAAAAAGAAACACTGGGAAATGTGTAAATGTGTAAATGAAGAAAGAGGCATCGACTGCCGCACAAATGAAAGCAGAGTAAAGGGAAAATGTGTGAAAAGCCCTGAGATTATATATAGTTTCTTGCTCATAACCTTAAACCTGCGCGGCACCTCATTTAAGACTGTTTTATAACGCCGCGGCTGTGACATGTACAGTTCTGGATCAGTGCTCTGCTTCACGTGGACTAAATGCTCGAGGTCACAGCGCAAAGCCTGCAGCCTCGTGTGCCAATGGGTTATTGTGCTAAGCTAGTTAGCGCTGTTTGGAAGGCGGTAGAGGGTGTGTGTTTGTGGTGAACCTGCGTGAGTGTGAGAGTCGGTCATGGGGGGCTTAAAGTCAACGTGGTGAAACGCAAGGAGATCCCGAGCGGTTGGACTCAAAAATACCTGGCGCCATATATCTCATATGCTCAATGAACTGCTAAATATTTGAAACACAATTCATGTTTCACTTCGAAGCTCTGTAGATTCGTGTGTGTGTGTGTGTGTTTTACAGAGCACAGCTGTGCTTTGGATTTATCACGCAAAGCTTCTTTACGGCCTTCATCTATCATACGTGGCAGAGTGTATATCGGTGCGCTCCCAACTGTGTGCCGTCGTGTTTGTGTGTGTGTGTGTGTGTGTGTGTGTGTGTGTGTGTGTGTGTGTGTGTGTGTGGGAGAGAGTAGTCCTAATGAACACAGTATGCACAAGACACACGAGAGGCTGCTGAGCTGTAAACACAAAACGCCTTTTAATGACTCGGCGTCTGAAACGGGTGATCGGTACCTTTGTTGTGATTCAAGGCCGGTACTCATGTCGCGCTCAGTCCATTCAGTCATCTGAGACTCCAGATGCAGACCCATGTGTATACTGTATATATATATATATATATATATATATATATATATATATCCCCCTTTTACACAGTTTCCAGAATCCACCTGCTCCTCCATCTTCGGCTTTCGTCCTTCCTGCTCGTCAATCAATGAGTTTTTCTCGTCTGCAGTGGACCTTGGCCGGCACTTAAAATGCTTTTGCTTGGCTGAGATGTGCCAACTGAAGTGTGGGGGGGGAGCTGTCAATGTGGAAGATAGTAAAGATTTGAAAGATCTTCATTAGTCAAGATCAATGAAGAAAAACCTACTCATACTTTCTTTCATGTGGATCATTAATGAGTTGAGTTGTTGTTCCTTAATGATGAAGCAACGTCCCAGGGTAAACTGCGACAATGATTGCGTCCGTTGTTTGGTTTTATCAAGTTTTCATTCCCATTGCTTATTTTAAACTGTACTTTGAAAATACCTACAGTATATATGCAGTGGTTTCTTAGGGAATTCAGACTAAAATCCAACAATTCTCTTCCCCAGCAACATGTTTCCAGCCAATCTGGTTCAAGCAACTTTCCAACAGGTAAGTAAAAATGTTGACGGCAAAGACACACTAAAATAATAAAAATTCCCAAAAGATGCATAAACAGGAGAAACAATAATTCATGTGAAATCTAGCTGATTCACTAGTTCCGGCTCATTTCATGGCGTCTGCTGCTGCCATCGATGCGCCGCTGACTTTGGGGCTCGTGCTGTGTTTTGGTTTCAAGTATCGAACCGCAAGAGTCGCAGAGCTCATCCCCAAGCCGACGGTGGCCCAGCTCCTGGACGAGATCACCACACGGAGGGTCTACATCTACGGCATTCAAGACGACAACGGCACCGATGTCCAGAACTTCTCCCTGGATCTCACGCCGCCACCTGATGTCATCATGAAGACCTCCCCCGGTACCAGCGAAGGCATGAATGTGCTGGGGATTGTCATTTTTTCCGCTACCATGGGTAAGCGGTTGCCATGGATCCTGCACACACTCATTTCCACAGAGTGAAATGCACAGTGCACATGCATAGATGTGTAGATTTGTGTCTTTGACTAGATTCATTTAGAATCTGTTGCGCTCCCCAGAGGAAGGCAGCGAGCGGTGATGTCATCGCTCCATTTGCACAGCCGTCAGCGTAGTTTGTAGGTGTACGATTGATGCATTTCTAAATACATGGATGCAACAAATGTGGTATTTGTTTGTTTTTTCCAACCCAGGAATAATGTTAGGCAGAATGGGACCCAATGGAAGCGCGCTGGTCAACTTCTGCCAGAGTGTGAATGAGGCGGTTTTGAAGATTGTCGCCATCGTCATCTGGTAAGAGTTGTATCATTGAAGTAAAGAGCGTCAAAATAAATTAACGCCAATGTGAACGGTTTTGATGATACAATTTTAGCTGAAACAACATTAGGAATTTCTCATTCTAAGCTTTGGGTGTTTGGTCAATAAAGGCTGGCTTTTCCTCTCGAGCCAAGTCTTGTTTCAGAGTAAATGCATGACCGTTGAAATGTGTTTTACGATTAGTCTGATTTGAATAAAAACATGTATTCATTTTATTAACATGCGCCTCCCTCACAGGTATTTCCCTTTCGGGATTGTGTTCCTGGTTGCCGGTAAGATCTTGGAGATGGATGACCCTTCAGCCATGGGCAAGAAGCTGGGTTTTTACGCCATTACGGTGGTAATGGGCTTAGTGCTGCATGGTCTATTCATTCTCCCGGCCATGTACTTCTTCATCACTAAGAAGAGCCCCATCGTTTACATCAGAGGCATTCTGCAGGCCCTCCTCATCTCCTTGGCCACCTCCTCAAGGTGGGCGTGCTTTGTTTATTGCCAATGTACAACATGCAATCCATAAATCCTGTGAGCTCTGCTGGTGTTCTTAAAGGCTTCCTCAAGGACCAGAAAAATGAACGCTTTTACTTAACAATGGGAACAAAAGCTAACTGTAAAGTTAAATAGAAATAATCTTCAATTGAAGGTTTACCAGATAATGAGTGCCGAGGTCAGAGTGTCTATGTGCTTTTAAACCATACTGACACTGTAAATGGAGTGGATGATGGACTTGTCCTCGAAAATAAAGGGGTTTGACTGTGAGCTTTTTGACCACGTGTGCCATATCGAGGCTGTTTTTTATGTTAACATTGGCAACGTGTTTAATGTTTTTAACAACACTACACTTTGCGGCCTTTCAAATACGTGAACACCGTTACTGAGAAGTGTCAGTGTTCACCTCGGCCTCTCAAAACATCCTCGAATATCCAGATGTTTTGGTCCAGTGAAGGTCCCTGCAAATAACACATTATAAAACTAGTCTATTAATGTCATTATGTGTCAAAGCTAACTGGAGTTGGAACAAAATCCATTTTTTGGTTCTTGGCCAACAGTTTTATAGAACTTTGAATGTTTGCATATTTCCCCAACAGAACACTATGTTTGTTGTTTCAGTTACATCAAAAACATTTCTGTCGCACTTTTTGTTTTTTGTTCTAATATCAGCTTTCAAAGGAAATCAATCCAGTAAATAAACTAATAGACAACACTGTGTGTAATGTAAACCCGTGAGACACATTTTGGATATTATTCAATTGATTCTTATCATGATTATCTCGCTGCAGCTCCGCCACTCTGCCTATCACCTTCAAGTGCCTCCTGGAGAACAACCACATCGACAGACGCATCATCCGCTTCGTGCTGCCCGTCGGGGCCACCATCAACATGGACGGCACGGCGCTCTACGAGGCCGTGGCGGCCATCTTCATCGCCCAAGTGAATAATTATGAGCTCGACTTCGGACAGATCATCACGATCAGGTGAGGCCAACCGGCTGAATTTAGACCGTCATCCGATATCAGAGAGCAAACTGCTGAATCTGTTTTGACAGCAGTTTATATGATTTAATGCTTTTTGTTGGATGACTCACAGAAAAAGAATTGCGGTATAAAAATAAAAAAAGGCAAATGGCTTAAAAGGGCCACTCCACCTAATCGTGGCCGCGGTTTATTCCTGTCAAACATATTCTGACGTCAAGCCTGATGACGCCAGTGGAAAAAAGGCGTCATCCATGAACAAGATTTGTCCTCCTCTGTGACAGTAAACACAACATGAACCCACAGATATTTTTTTTCAGGCTGACCAACGGTACCAGATGCCAACAAGCAGGAATACAGACATGCACTTACATATTCAGTGACGCGTTTGGATGAAAACATTGAAACCACTTAGTTTCTTATTCATCTACTGACCCGCAGAGATGATTAGCTGTCATTGAAGCGGGTTACGTGACGCAACTATTTCAGAAGCTTAGTTGACCAACTGCTACCTCTAAATTTCTGTCCACTATGCAGAGACGTGAGTGTCTATCCCATAAGCAAAACATTTGGCAACGTGGTGTCAAACATATTCCTTCAAGATTAAATTGTACTCACAAAGTGTGACAATATTTGCACAATATCTGGTTCAAAAATAGAGGTGCAGGCGTAGTTGTGCGTTTTTGCAACGTGAACTAATCTAACGTCACGTATTTAGTTTAATTCTGAATTTAGAAAAAATACTATGGGATTTTCCAGATACACATATATGTAAATGTCACACAGATTACGCCTCATTTGAGCTTCTTAGTCTGATCTGATTTCTGCTAAATCAGTCTGGAAGCACTGGGGACACAGACAGACAAAAACACCGACGGTACCAACGTCCCCGGCGCATAACTTCTGACCCACCGATAAACGAGGCCGCGCGCGTCGAGACAAATTCTCAAGTCTATTCAGGTCGATTCCTCCTCTGACTTTATGACATGTCCTCGTGTAATAACATCAAGCAGACCTCTCCTCATGGCGTCAGTCTGTGCCATCCCCTCATAATCCCTTTGGCGGTAAAACCCATATGACCTGTATTGCTCATCTCTCTCGTCACGCCAGAATTATAATAATATTTTTCCCCTCTCTCTGCGTCCTGATCTGCATGCTGAACTAACCCCTCTCCCAAAGGGACCGTTCGTCCCAGAGGTCCTGGTCTCGAACGAACCACTGGCCTGATCATTCTCTCCACAAAGTGGTGGAGGAAGTAATGAAATACTTTACCTGACAACAGCTCGTCCTGCCAAGATGTTAAAATACTGTGTTACATGTAAAAGTCCTGCATCGAGAGCTCGACTAACGCACATATCAACTTAGAGGTATCGTCATCAAGATGTACTGCACGCAATATTATCTGCTTTCAGAGCAACAAAACTAATCCTGATTTAGAAACTAGTTACTTCTTTGACACTCAATAAACATGGCTCTATTGCTCGTTTATGTGTGCATCCTATTTATTTTTTCTTTGGTTATTTTGTTAGAATTTCCTGTTATAATCTTTGAGCAAACTCCTTCAGGATTAATACGTTTCCATCTTGTTTTTTCTTGTATGTTATAAAAATGAATGCACTCTGTTCCTCTGCCTGTTCTCTCAGCATCACTGCCACCGCTGCCAGTATCGGGGCAGCAGGAATCCCACAGGCTGGACTCGTTACCATGGTGATTGTCCTTACCTCTGTGGGTCTGCCCACTGATGACATCACTCTCATCATTGCTGTTGATTGGGCATTGTAAGTAGTGGTTAATCGTTCTACCATTAGACGATATACTGATTATCTTTTGATGTCTATCTCTATATTCTGTTAGCAGGAGTTTTTTTTTTCTTTTTTTGTTGAAACATGTATAAGAGCGTGCTTTTCTAAGCGGACAACCTTTTCATTTTGTCATCCAGGGACCGATTCAGGACCATGGTCAATGTGATGGGCGATGCCCTGGCTACGGGCATCATGGCTCATATCTGCAGAAAAGATTTTGTCAAAGAAGGGGAGCAGGTGAGAACCTGCCAAGGCAAATAAACCACCTGCGTTGTCCTCTTATGGCTGAATAGACCTGTGTGCATGAAAACGTATCTCAGTTTAGATGTGTAAAAGTTGTTCATGGTGGATGTTTATAATGAAGTCACTAAGGGAAAAGACTTATTCTGTGTGTTTAAATTTCAACGCTCCCAAGGAACTCCATTTATTTGCGTTATAACTATTTCTAAAGAAAGAAACACTGATCTCCATAGTAATTCATATATAATGTTGCACAAATAGTGAACTCTGTCAATGTTCTCGCCTCAGGCTGAATGTAGAATTGTAAGAAATGCATCCTGGCAAGTTTTTACCCATTATTACATCCAATGATAATTCGAAGGCTTCACATTTTCTCATGCATCAGTTGGAGGTCAGATACAAAAAGAAATCTGGTAAGTGGGAGGAGACCACATTTCGTCTTCATGGTCACAAGCTTGGCATCGTGCCATTTAATCTGTCAGTGGGACAGCAGTGTATAATCGCACATGGGAGACGTTTGCTTTTAGGGCTTTCTGCCAAAACAAACCTACTTGTTAAGGTTTAGGAAAAGATTGTGGTTAGTGCCGAAATAAACCTTTTCTGGCACAACGGTATAATTGATGCGTTAACCACCTCAGAATCATTCTCCAACCTTTTTGTATTAAAAAAAAAAGACATTTAAATCGCAAACTGTAATTCTGATTCTGATACTTCTCCGTCACCGCTGCGTCCACCAGGTGCCTCTGATCTGTGAGACCAAGCCCATGATAAGCATCCAGCAGATGATGACCTACCAGAATCAGAAGAATGGCTGCTACCAGCCGCCTCCAGCAGGCAGCAGGCAGGGCAACCTCGCCCCGGACGTGGCCCGCCTGATGAAGCTGGAGGAAGGCCTCCGGCCACACGAGAGGAAGAAGCACGCTCACTCGTCTCACCACAAAAGAGAGCACCGGGACAAGGACCACTGTTCCATCGACATGAACGGGCTGGAGACGAACGTATGAAGGCGGGATGCAGGAGCTGCAGGAGAGGAAGGTTGTAATGAAGATCGATGGGATTAGGCCCACGTGCACCTCCCTTCCCGAGAAGGAGAGCGGCCCCAAAAAAAAGACGATTTTTCTTTTTCTACATAACTTAAATAACAACCCACGTTTGTGTATGTTTGCGCGTCTGTACATATTCAACACATATGTGTTATTTGGTACAAGTAATTTCAAACGAGAGATCTCGTGGATCTTTGAGTCAACCCATCTCAGTGGAGCGGAAATGAAGAATGCCGATACCAGATATCATCCATGTCACCCATCCCTCTGTGGACAGAAAACATCCACTCAAATCCTTTATTCATTCTGATCTGGTTCCCTTTGTTTAATACCGGCTGATGTTTTTTTGTTTTTTTGCATACTCAAAAGTTTGGCTCACATTTGGAAACATCCTGATTGCGACAGAGGGATTGAAAAGGGGATTGTTTAAATTGTATCAAGTTTTCCCAGCCATCTCTCCCTACGTTTATCTTCTCTGCCTCGTTGTCCTGAGTCTAAGTGGGTATTCTGCCTCATACCTGCAGTACTGTAGGGTCACTGACAGAATAAAGACAAAAAGATGGTGACGGTCACAAGGAAAATCAAAGTTGTGCGTTGGACCTTGTGTTGAAATCGCTGGAAGTTGTCTAAGTACCCCATCGCATTTCCTCTTTGCCTTAAACGATCAAAGGAGAAGCACGCGGGACTTGTGCGCTGATGAAAACATCTGAGACAGACCAACACAAACCGACCATCGCAGGTTTCACTCTGAGCGCTGTCCATGTGTGTGTGATATAATGTACATGCATGTATATTAAAAGTTTAGATATTATTCAAACGTCAGTGTTTTCCAAGAGCTGCCATTCTGTATTTGTAAGAAGAAACATTTCACTGTAGACCTCAATTTATAAAAAATTGTATCAACCCTGTAAAGAAGAAAACACCAAGAAATGAAAAATATTAATAATGTACAGGTTTGAGTTACAACACATGCAATAAAGGTTTGAATATATGACATTTCAAGTGTAACTGCAATAGAAACTGTACAGGCTGGATCTGCTCTCTTAAGAAGCATAAACACAAGCTGCTGTTTCATAATGACATCATGCTCAAACAAATCAACTGAGCCGAGTAAAGAGAAAATATTTAAAAGTGTGCTGGTTCAAGTACTTGGGTGCAAGGACGGTTTCCTCAAATATCAATAATGGTGTTCTAGTTAGGAACATGTCAATAAATTACTAAAAGAACACACACTGCACACAACATCAAAACACCATTAGCAGCTGTGCGTCTAATTACAGACCAAATAAGCAGATTGTTTGAAAGGAGTCTTGAATGAAGAGGTATACTTCTTAGTTATACACGGTTGCTTTGGTTACATGAGTTTCTTTTATTGTGATCATTATCAATAAGACAGATGTTTGCAGTCCTTTGTAAATGCGACCACTAGATCCATTTCAGCTCAGAACAAGCAAATGTCAAAGGCCTTGGTCTTATTAATGATTCATTCATTCAAGGAAGCAAAAGTTGATTTAAGGCCGACGCAGCCTGCCCGTCCCACCACAGGGTTTGTTACCACACATCCCCTAAAGACCCATCAGTCCACTGCTTGTGGTTGCTGAGGCCGACCCGCCGTGCAGCCTGTGCAACATCTGGACAGAGCACCATTTGGCCAGCTGGCCACCGGGCAAAGGGACGAGATGAGGAAAGGGCTAAAGGGACGCTGGCCGGATCCGAGCAATTAGGAACGCGGGCAGAAGGTGCCCTGTTGTGGGTGGAGGGCAGCGGGGTGGGGAGAGGCCAAGAGGGATAAATTAATACACAAATGGAGGGGAAATGTAGAAAGCGGAAGTAGGGCAAAAAAAAAGACTAACAAATGAAATCCCTTTGTTTGAATCTGGACTGTATGAGCCCAAGTGGTGATATTGGTTACATAATCCTCTTTTCAAACAGAGCTGAAACTATTATATGAACATGTATTTCATAATTGGGATGCAGGGTTTAGTAAAACAAAAACATTATGGACTTATCAAAAGCTGTGTTTTACTTAATGTCAGTGGAAAGTCCAGCGCAGCAGGGGAGGCTTCTCTGTTGTAAAAGAGACATGCGTTGTTTACTGCTCAACTCTACCTCTAAGTGCAGCTAATGTCAATCAGCTCAGGCTTTATTTAACGCAGGCGAGAACACGCAGGTCAAGTCATTAGAGATCCATAACAGCGATACATCCAGGACATTTTGAGATGCACTCAGCAGTAGTAAATATAAAAGTAGATTAATGTTAACATCCTTTGCTCTGTTTATGTCGGCCTGTAAAACAGCAACATTATATTATACACAACATATTATGATGTGTTTTTAAGAGTAATCCTTCATTGCACAACTATAGCAGTAACGGCACACAGCGGGATTTTATTATAAAAACGTGTAATTTGCTGTCAAATTTAAGAGCCTGGTGAGAGCCCGCCGTTTCCCATCATGCCCTTGGCCGCCTCACTCTCAACATGAAGTTATTGTTGCCCACATGTGCACAACGCCATCCAACCGCCGTGCAGAACACCTGAACTTTATCCAGAGAAACGTACGGAAGTTCAAGCTCAAACACAGGAAATGGAACGCGTTGGTACAGAAAGAATAAAAGTCACAGAAAGTCACCGTCCATATCCAATTATTCATTCAGGCCACATAGATGCAGTTATTTTTAAAGAAGATAAACTTTACTTTAAGAAGAACAAAACACAGTTTTAGTTTTTTTAATTCTCGTTTTAATTAATATAATAATATTTGCTAGGATTTACAGACTTGTATTAAATACAAAATGATCTATCAAAAGGGTCGAGACCACAATCGGCTTTGAACCACAATCTTAATTCCACAGAGGGAAATTAAGGCACATTAAGGACGATTAATAAAAAAGCATATTAGAGACTATGGATGTTTCAGAAATGATAGAAGACTTTAAGAGAACTGAAGCAACATAACATGATATTTAACTGTATTTAAAGTCATCTGCTTTAATTAAAACATTATAGATCTCCTCTAAAGATCAGATGACCGTTTTCCTTGTGCTTGTCGATGACCAAATGCAAACGGAGGAATTAAGTATTCCGACAAACGTGTCGTTGAAGTGCTGCAGAGACGACACAAGGTGCGCTCAGGGTCTCACAGCTTGGCCTTCCCCGGAGTAACCTGCAGGTTCTGCAGCTTCATGGCCAAGCCCATGTTCCCAGTGATCTTCAGTTTCCCTTTGAAGAAAGCCTGCAGACAGCAGTTAAAAAAAAGCAATTGGATTAACAACTCAGATTACAATTTTAATAAAAACATTAGATAAATCTAACGGATTTTGGAAATATGTGTTTTTAAATGAGCCGCTATGAAATGCCAAAAATTGCGTCTCAAGGGAAGACGCCTTTTTGGCGCGTTAAGCTGTCCACTGAATCAGTGCTCACATCCTCCTGCAGTGTCTCTGATCTGGGCGGCAGAAAATAGATCAGAGCAGAGGCTAAAGCTTTGGACTTAACAGTTAATTTCCCTGTGTTGACATTCTTTACTGCTCTTTATCCACAAGCTCTGAGCCTCTAGATTTCGGTCGGAAAATATACCACAACATGTATTTTCATGTATATATTCATCATCACTATCACGTTGATGTAAGCAGCGTTTCATCTATACACCCATTTATGTTTTTTCCTGCACCGGCACCTAATTGCCAGTTGTTCCTAGATGGATCCCGTCCCGTACATTTTTCTTATTATCATTACTAAATGAACCTCTGGCGAGCACAGATGGTGGTGGTTAATTTGTTACTACATACCATTTGTGGGTTCAACTTTCCCGTCATCAGTTCCAGAAGATCCTGGTCACTCATGGTTAAAGTGCAGTCTGCTTTTTTGCCTACAACAAAAATAAATTTAAAAAAGGCTTTTCCACCACCGCAAAATGTCAAATGAGTCCCAAATTTTTTTTTTAAATCATACTGTTCCAAAATACAAAAAATAACCGTTTAAGGAAGAGAGACACAGGAGGAGAAGGTTAGTCATCATTGTAACGATGGAATATAAAAGCACTTAAGACTACACTTCTCATTTGGATGAAACTTCCATTTGTATAAAAATATCTTGCGAGCTCCACTTCAAGTCCATTTCTTCTACTGAAGAAACAACCCAAAGAGCAATGTGATGAGTGGCCTTGTTCTGAGGCCTTTGGGAAACAAAAGTGTATGAATCAAGCTCTCAGCTCGTAGCAGCAGCGGCGTACAGCAGTCACCATGGCGCCCGAGGCAGAAAAGCTGCATGTTTGAGCGATGATGGTTATGTAGCAATACGCTTGTGGCCTCTGAAAGTGTAATTAGGTGAACACATGGATTTTTTTTATCCTTGCAGAAACCACATGTGTATTTGTGGTACGGACAGCTTATCGTCCATGCAAACCTCAGTCAAACAGCCCATAGAATACATTAAATAAATGCCGACACCAGGTTCAGGTGACCTCGTTACCTCGGCCAGCCAAGGTTTTGCTAGTTGGTTTGTCTGCAGCATTACAGGAAAACTAGAGAGCTGCTTTTCACGGAGCCTGGTGGTTGGGTGCAGAATGGTCCGAGAAGAAACCGTTAGCGGTTCCCAATCTCATTTATCACTTGTGTAAACAAGTGTGTGTGTGTGTGTGTGTAAATTCCTAAAGTGTTAATAACAAAAAGTCTCATTCGGCATGACTCTGGCATATAGACAATTCATCAAAAAGCTTCACGCGTCAGAGAGATTAAAAGTAAGATTGGGCTTTTATGGGTGGTACTCTTTTTTTAAATCTAATTATATTCAGGTTTTGATGTCTTCTGCAGCCGTTTTAAAAGTCTTTAGATCCAAAGACATTCAAACAGATCATTTTTGTGAGGGAAATTAGGTTGAAAATGTCAACTGCTTTGAATCCTTCACTGGCGAGTGTTACTGGACTGTGGAGTTGCAGCTCTTTTAAAAAAATCAAAGCAACCTCTCACATCTTAACCCAAGCACCAAATCAATAGCAACCTTTCAGTTGTATTTTTAAACCATGATTTATCTGAGGGGATTGAACAGATTTCCTTTTTTGAACTTCAAAGACAAAGTGTCAAATGAAGAAAGTGGTACAATCCGATTTCTTTTTACACAAACCATCTATGAGAGACAACATACATGAATAGTGTAGATTCTATACACTATTCATGTATGATGTCTCTTTAAGGAACAAATTCATGTTCGTTTACAAAGGCAGATTTTAGCCCACATGTGAGAACTAACACATATTTAATCTTGACAACACCTCCGCCGACATACACACCTGGGTCCGTGGTGACGGAACCTTTGCCATTTTTTACATCGACAACCCAAGTCCCCTCTTTCCCTTCCGGTCCATCCTTCACTTTGAAGGCAAACACTCCACCAATCTTCTTAACAAGCTGCTCTCCTTCCTGCAGGGAATTTACAAAGTCAGGATCAGTCAGATTAAAACTATATATTGATTGTGTCGAACGGCTGCTTGTCCACAATGCAATGCAGCCAATTGTGTACAGCGTTATAAAATATTCTCAACATGCTTTCAGACTTGTTTTACGCAATAAAGTATGCCGGGCTTTCTGGATCTGCTCGAACAATATTATCATTCTGAAATATGCTCCTTATTGGGGCAAAACTTGTCTGTCACATATGACTGAAATGTGACAGAAAAAAAGGCTGTCAAAAACACCAAAATCTCCAATCTATTCCAGACACCGTCGCTAAATGTTGCAAAACCACCCACATGTAAGACTACTGCGGGTAACAGCGTCCCAAAGGTCGCATGAGGTCACCTCAGCTCCTGATGAATCTGACCAACGCTTGCAAACACCAATCGAACTAATCCTTTGTTTTTGTTCACAGCCACGGATTCTAATAATCCCCCAGTGAGCAGAGCAACGATTACTCAACGCAACACTGGAAATTGCGAGATTGGACTGAGGTTTGGAGATGCCGAACCAAGAGCATTAGCAAAAGGTCAAACCAATGTTATCTAGTTAGTTAGTTCAAGGTGTGAGGGTGCTTTGGGTTGTAACCGGGTGCCATTATACCTCCTGTAGACGTTTTTCCATCTCTTTAAATACAGGATACGCCTTGAATCCCTCCAGACTGGCTGAGCTGGTGGGAACTGCACCTACGCGGGAACTGTGGAAAGCAGAAAAAAGAAAATCGTTTAAACTGTTCTGTAAGTTTCTATCTATATGTTATATTGCAGAATGAGAGCCGCGGATGAAGCAGCACAGTGCCTCTACAACCGAAATCACAAATTTCGCGCTGTAATTGTTAAATAATATAGAAGCGGATGTGCAAAGCCTTCTGCCTCCGGCGTACTAACCAGTAGCGGCAGATCATCGCTCTGTTTGACACTGCAAAAATGAATTCCGCCAAATGAATAGTACATAATAAAATGAATCAAAAATAATAAAATCGCTGGAAACTACTTCCTGACCTGGACTGCTGAGGAAATCCCAGCCTGTAGAGAGCAACGACGACGGCGCCTCCTAAGCCAATGTTGTGTTGCAAGGCCACCTTTGCCCCCGGGACCTGCCTCCTGTCAGCCTGCCCGCGGAGCTGCCAGCACAGCTCTGCACACTGGGCCAGACCTGATGACAAGGAGGCACAGAAGGTAATTTGACTCAGTGAGCGAGCTCTGGTGTCAACGGACATTGCCGCTGTGGGTGATTGAAGCTGTAAACGGGTGAAAACGTGTCATCACAAGCCAAATGGAGAGGATTTAGACTCTGAAATGTAATTACTGGAAAGAAAATGCATTAGTGGGGGTATTGCAATTTATTTCATGACGTATTTGCTGGAAAACATAAATATCAATTTTACTATTTGACTACAAAGGAAGCAAAGTGCTGTCTCAAAGCAGGTGTGTGACTGGCGAGGCTGATTCCTTCACATGCCACATCTCATTGCGGGCAATTCACTTTTGCCACTGGATACCGACGACTCAGAATATCGAGTTGCTGTAAATTCATTTCTCTCTTGAGAACGATGCTAAAAGACAAACAATACGGACACAATCCGCATCATGTCTCGGACCCCCCGTGAAGTGACACTAGAGCATTCTAATAAGCATCTTTACTGAGAGGGTTGACAAGTTGACTTGTCATCTAACAATTCCTTAATCTCAGGAGGACAGCTCCTGCGCAAGCGTTACAGCTTAGCATTTCATCCCTTCGCTTAATGAGCTTTTGCATTTCTCGATTATGCAAATAAGCTAAAGGGCTAAAGGGTAAAGACTTCTTCACGGTTCATCTCTTACATTCAGCGGCACTCTTAATCCTCTTCACCCGGATTTGTTAATGCTGCTGCCAAATGGAGAATATATCGCATGCTTGGCTATTTAGCTAAATAAAAAGGGCCTCTGTATCCTCCCTTACAGATTCCTTATACATGAAGAAAAGGCAAGTTCAGAAAGATTCATCCAGAAAATTGTCCTAAAGAAAGGAAACAAGCCTTTTAACTTGGTGGTAATTTACCATATACATATATGTCCTTGCATGTCATTTCGACATGTGAAAGGAGGAAGTTGGGTCTTTGCACCAGTGAGTGAATCCGCACCGTGTGTCTCCCGAGGTGAGAGGTGACAATGAAGATTAGGAGCAACACCATGGATCAGAGGGAGCTTAGCGCTGATTGGGGCACTCGCACACGGGGGGGGGGGTGACCCGTTATATAGAGGGAGTATCAATGAGATGGAAGGTAATGCGGAAATAAAGAGGTAGAGGGAGTGGTGCTTGAGATCATGAGGTATGAGGAATGGGGCCAAAGAGAGAGCGATCAATTTTAATTTGAAATGAAAGACAAGAGGAGAATAGAGCTGCGTTGTGGCCCAGTGTCAGTGTGTGCATATTTTAGAGCACACAAACTTCTTAAGCATGCAACAGAATGTGTAAGACAAATGTTGGAGCGTCCGCTGCAGTATTTAGAGTTTAACATGAGAGATTAGCGTGAAGGCTTGCCTAAGCCACACTCGGCTGCCCTCTCACATGCAGGCTGCATCACTGAGTGACACACGCCACCTAGTGGCCACGGTGGGTTGTTTGACAAAGTCTAATCCCAATCAACACAACTTTTTATACTTTGTGCATGTTAATCCGCTGCGCCAGCAAAAGATAGAAATAAACATTTGCTCAAAAAGCTTTGCTCCAAATCTGGCATCTTCACTCCCTGCGTCATGTTTTGTCCTCCTTTATGGCAACAGTCTTTCGTCAAGAGGCATCAGCTTGATTTACCTGTGGCACCGAGAGGATGTCCTTTAGAGATTAGACCTCCACTGGGGTTGACCACGAACTTGCCTCCGTACGTGTTGTCCCCTCTGTCAATCAGCTGTCCTGCTTTACCTGGTTGTAAAAGAAAACATAGTAAAACAGTGTGAAATTCACAATACGTGTTAATATGATATAAAAAATCCATGCATTGTATTACCAACTAACAAACCTTTGTTTAAATGTAGTATTGTGAAAAATGGGAATTGGTGCATACAATCATAAGTGAAGACAAAGGTTTCAGAGCGGCGGTCTCACCCTCTGCACACAGTCCCAGAGCCTCATACGTGATGAGCTCGTTGGCTGAGAAACAGTCGTGCAGCTCAACCACATCGACGTCACTGGGCGTCAGACCTGAAGCTTCGTAACACTTCTTGGCCGCCGCCCGTGACATGTCATAACCCACCTAAAGCGAGGGGACAAAATAAAACATTTTAGGAACAAAGCTAAGGATGCATCAAGGGTTTTCTTTCAGGTCCACATAATGATTGTTGAAGCAATTGATTTACTGATGGAATTTAGAATGTATTCATAAGGAGTATTGTTTAATTATTTAGATTAGATTGTATGATATAGTAAGCGTTTTCTATTGAAATAGTATGTTTGGTTTAATCTTACTTAAATCTTACTTGGTTTGTTTGTTTTTTGCTAACTAGTAGGGTAATACTGTGGACACCTGGAGGTTATTTATGAGAGCAGTTTTACGACCAAGATGTACCAGGGTGTTTTTTTCTACTTGTGTTTGCTTCAGCAACACTATCAAAATAATTTTTGCTTAGTATTCAAAAATGCAATATTTTATATTTTACCCCATCGTTGGCTCTAACGCAGCTAAATCTGTTGTCCACCTTAAGAAAGTACAATTCAACTTTAAAAATGTAGTCAAATGTAGATCCAGACAAGGGGGGGAACGTCAGAGACGGTGTGTCGTCGTGAGACACTTTGCTAATGATTCCTACCATCTTAATGCAGCTGTTCTCCTCAAACGTGGAAGCGAGGTCAGTCACCATCTCTTGGGCCACGATCTCCACCGCCTGCTTCTCCAGGTGGTGTTTCCTGACGAAGGCCTCGCTGGCCAGCACCGCTGCTCCGGCGCCGTCTGATGTCGGGCTGATGAGAGGAGAAGAAGAGTGGGACAAGTTGACGAGTTAATGTGAGGAGCAACAACTCTTTGATCAAATGTACGAAGCTGCTGTTTTGACAGTTACACTCCAGTCGGGATGATACATTTTATTATCAAGAGATAACGACATTAACTGTAAATCAGCGACGCTCTTACCAACACTGCAGTAGAGTGAGGAAGTCAAAGACTTTCCGGGAGTTAATCACCTGCTCCAGGCTGTACTCATCCCGGAACTGGGAGTACCTGCATGAAAGTACACACACACACAAATTAACTAGACATTCAAGGACCGTTTTGATGCAAAAATAGTTCTTCAGGTTAACCTTGTCTTACGGGTTGTTGGTGGAATGCTTGTGGTTTTTCCAGGCAATTTTGGCAAAATGTTCCGGTTTTGTGCCTGTGGGAAATTCAAACATAGACACAAACGTTTACTGTGTATGATATGTTAAAACCATGGATTCAACGCCGTATACATCCAGCGTGAGATGTTGTTGTAGCGTGTACCATATTTCTCCATGTGCTCCCTGCCGGCGTTACCGAACATCTGTGCTGCTGCTGGAGCTGCCACCATCCCGTAGCGGTTGATCATCACCTCCATGTGCTTGTCCATTGGATTGGTCCTGTCCATAAACTAAAAGAAAGTACTTCTCAAATAACGTTTTAATTGGATTTTTTTTTTTTAAGTAGAGAATTATGGTAAAATCTGGAGAAGATTTGCATTAATACACCAACAAGCCTCAACTTCTAGAATGTTTAGAAATTACAGTATGCAAAAAGACAAATAGGCCAAAAACATCTGCCATGAACTGGCCCATCAATACTGGAAATATATTTAAATAACTTATGTTCCTGTTAATGAGCCAAGAAGCTAATTTTCATTCATCCATGGCCAGATTTTACAATGCACTGCAGCTACAGCTATATTTGTTGAGTCTGCTGTAATATTGTTTTTATTATTATTATTATGTATTAATGACTATGATATCGGGACGTGTGTTTGTTTTTTTAAATCTCTAATAATCTATTTTCTACATCTGATGCAACAACACAATGCACATGTTTTTTTTCAATACCTTTGCAGACAAAGAGCCCTTCTCCATCCTCTCAAACCCGAGGGCAAGGGCACATTCAGCAAGACCTGCAAGACGAGATGGGAAGTGCAGAGTTTAAAGTTTCAGTTTTATACTTCATAATGGACAAACGCTGCATAAATTGGTAAAAGACGTTTCTGTGGATATTGCAATGCTTTTCTCCTGGTGTGAACACGAGTAATTAGACTACAATGAAACCATGTGACCTCTCTACAGCCTCCTTATTAGAAGTATGGGTTTTGGGTGGTTTATCGCTTTCAAGGCATCCTGCTGTGCTCACCTCCCCTGACCAGCTGGCGAGCCATGAAGAGAGCCGTAGAGCCCGTGGAGCAGTTGTTGTTCACGTTGATGATGGGGATCCCGGTCAGGCCGAGGCCGTGGTAAATTGCCCTCTGCCCACACGTGGAGTCGCCTGAGGGATGGAGATAGAATAAATTATGTTATTTCGTATGTGTTTAACTGGGTGGTTGATGTTTTGTTTTTTTTAAGTTGATAACTTAAGAGACGCATTGATTTTATTTCATGAACAAAAGTATGTTCCTTTAAATTGTATTTTAAAGTACATAGGACGATACAAGAGTGTACTGACAAAATTAGTAGTATTGTGATGTAAAAAAATTGTTCTTGGAGAACATGAAAAATGTAAACAATAAGGGTCTAGTTTTACCATAGACGTATCCAACACAGGCTTGTTCAATGGCAGAATATGGGACTCCTGCGTCTGCTAGAGCCTTTTGACCTAAAATAGGATGTAGACATACAGTAATAAACTCATTTTGTTACATGGTTTGCACCAGGTTCCATTTCCCAGATATGGTATCTTTTGATTGTCTGAACAAGGTCCATAATCCAAAGGATAAGCACCTGCTTCCTTGGCCATATCAGGATAATCATAGTTGCCTCCTGGCTTTTCAAACTGCAGCAAAGTACAGAAAAGTATGTAAATCAACATATAAATTCACATCCATGTTCTTATTAAAGTATAGTATACATGCAACAGAATAGTCACAGTGAAAATCGGCATAAGATGAAACGTCAGTGAGTCACACTAATCAATAGGTATTTCAAAAGTTGTGATAAACGTAACATGAAAAATAGAGGTCTTCACCATTAAGTCATGGTCAATTGATAAAACCACAAAAAACATCTGCAGATTAAATTATTTTCTTATTTAGGGGGAGGGGGGGCATATATTTGTATAATGTATTTTACATTTTTATTATAATCAATATTTCCTTTTTGAGAACTTAAATATAGACCTATAAAAAAGGCCATAAAGCACTGAAGCAAAACTGTTCACATTAAGAATCCCAGTGAAACTAAACAAACCGAATCGTTTTAATGTAAACATTGTAAAAAAAATCCAGCTCCCTTCATGCATTGACTAAATCTTACTAAATTATTAGTTACGAGGGAGGCAAATTATGATCCGTATTTCCCTGCTTCCGATTGGCTTTCTAGCTCACTACGGTTGGCTTGTGAGCCAATCAGATGTTGAGGGGGGCGTGTCCCAACATCACCATCCTACGAAATAAATCGGTGACCCTTTGCACAGTTTGTAACTGTTGGCCATGAACTATGGACTTGAAATAGGGACATTAGATAGGGTGCAAAGTTGAGCAGTCAACGCAGACAAGTTGCTACCTAACGTATCTCAAGAAAAGCAACAATTACACAAGAAGCGTAAAGCTAAATAACCTACATTTCCAATTAAACTGCAACTGTGCAACAGTGTTTGGGCTAATCTAGCTAATGCTAGCTAATATTAACTTTGTGTCAGTTGTGACACCAAGACACGAGACTAATTGAAACGCTATGTGCACAATTAAATGTTCACTACGCGGTGGTCTGTTGGATAACATTCACAAAAACATGTTAAAAGGGGAACATGTCCAATGCACTTAAATCTGCAGTTAGCCAACTATGCTAGCCTAACTATGCTAGCCTCAAGTCTCGCTGTACATTTGGGTCATTCGCGTTCGTCTCACCCACTGACACACTACGAGTGTTAACTAACTAACGTTGAGACTACCTTGGTCATGCCCACGCCGATGACGAACACCCGGTTCATCTTTGAAGGTGCCATGATGGTCTCTTCTGCTCAGCTGGTCCACACTGAGGCAGACAGGTCCGTGCAGAGGGGGGGAGGACACCCCGCAGATCCGCCTCTGTAGCAAAGATCGTCTGTAGACATCAGACGACACCCTCGGATGAATAAAAAAAAATAAAAATGATCATCTGGTCACGGTGAGGCGATAAATCTTACTCGACACGGGTGTGAAATCATTAAACATTTAATTAAATTAAACGTCATAATGACATTTATTGAATCGTACTCGCGAGCAGGAGACACATTGACACACGTGCGAAGTCATGGATCGAGGCTGCTTAAAGGTCTTTGAATATAAACATACTAAAACCGGGGGGGGTCCTCTGGGAAAAATCCAACTTTGATAATAAACATTGACGCACAATCCTCTGGGTTATCAGATGACCCAGAACACAATGTGCCTTTGAGTGAGAGAACACAGACCGTCTGTCGTATAACTGATATTGACTAAGGTGAAACATTATTGCAGCTTTTACAAACAATCCACTTATTTATAATTAATTGCAGTAAGGTTTGGATTGCAGAGGTTTTGTGAAAACAATTTAGCAGTCCGTGGCAGGGATTTATTTTGTCATTTTTCATAAGCACTTGCACATATACATATATGATACTGGTGTACTATAGACGAGCCAATTAAAGGTGCAATATGTTGTAGTATTTAGAACACTCAAACAAATGGTCAAACAAATGGTTAACAGTAATTTGATTACAGTGTGGTCGTCAACTAATAGTGTCCTAAAGTGCAGTGTTGCATTTTTAATTCAATTTTATTGAGGTAAAGTCTATTATGTGATACCATCCACTCCCCATTGCTGTATTTTGACAGCAATTTCTAGACAGTTTGCAACACTTTGAAATGCTGACAGAGTGAGAGATCGTACATATCTCATCCTTTGTCTCTTTGATTGACAGCTGAAACCTGTCAATCATCTCGCGGTGCACCCGGGACATCATTGCTCAGTCCAGCTTCATTGAGTGGATTTTGGTTTACTGTCAAACACACCTGTAATAAATGGTTCTGGACGTAGTTTAATCCTCTCACAGGTTGGTGTGGTGCTTTGAAAGAACCCGAGTCAAAATGTTCTCCTTTCGATTTTATTGAGTCAGTGAAAAAATCCTCGAACATATTGATTAATTCATGACTTGTATGAACAACTTGTGGTTTTTAGTCCACACCCGTTAAAAGTTTATCATCATTCCTAACCTCACCACCTCACCATCTGATGCATCCTTGACTTTGGCGAGAAACAAGGACGCTTGCCACTAGTGTTTATTCGTCCGCCTCTGAAGCTCATCACATAACGACAATCAGCACTTGATGAACTGGTGTGTGACCTCAAATATTCCCACAGACTCCTTGACTTCCTCATCGTAGTCTGTCCAGTCCTGAAATTTACAAAATGTGGGTCAGTCAAGTAAGTAAGTAACTACTGGTATTACACTTGATACAAAAAAATGATTTACAACGGTGCAGTATAAAAGGAAGCCGGCAAAGGCTGAGTGACAAGTTCTTCCATTTTAAATAGACAAGTCTAACAAATGTATAGAATTCAGGTAGGCAGGTAGCAGGATACACATGTACCCAAATAATACACACACACAATATATTTAAAATATCAACGTTCATAAATGTAATAAGATAATTAGTGCGGTACATTTTGGTGTAAAAGGCAAACCGTCCTTCAGTGTATCTTCTAAATATATTTGTTATATTATATAATCAATATAAAAATATCCAATTCTAAATATTGATGAATTTGAGTCAACTCTAGGGAAGGTTCAAAATATTTTACTTTAATAAAAACGTTATTCTTGATTTCTGAGAGAACGTGTGTGTGTGTGTATATATATATATATATATATATATATATAATATATATATACATATATACACACACACACACACACACACACACACACACACACTTTTTTTTAAATAAGCAGAATGTTTGGTACGTGAGTCTGGAACCCACATGAACTATTGTAGCTGAGCAATTTATCAAAAGGGTGTAAAATGAACAAATACATCATTGCCATATGAACAATTAAAAGAGATCGTAAACAAAAGACACAGAAAGATGGGAGACTAAATCAAACCTACGTGTCGAATAAGCAGAGATACACAACGACATAATGAATGGAAATATTTGATTTACTGGAAAGATCTGAAAACAATACCTAATGCCGGATAGCTGTACTGCAGATTATCACATTTGTATATTTTGAATTGTCACCCGTCGCCTGAATTTTGTGTTTCCTTGACATAAATGCTCTTTCACGAACAGCGCGTACATCGTTTTTTCCTCAGAATGCAGGACATTAAGCGTATGAAGCACACTGCTTTTTAAACCTTGACTTCTGCCCCGTCCAATACACTTACTTTTTCTTGCAGGTTAATTTCAGGAAACTGTGTTCCAGACTCTGCTCCTTGTGCAGAGAAGCCGGCCTGTGGTGGGATTAAAGACAATTTGAGGGGAGTCACATGGTAATTTTATATTGTGCCATATGAGGAGTTTGGTATGTCTGATTAAGGAGCGTATCTACTTCTTTCAACAGCAAATACCTCGACTTGGCTGGAAGAACAGCAGAATCTAATCAACGGAATCGGTTCATCCTATTAGGTGCATCGATTACGGTAAATGCACTGGTGAGTCACTGAGTCGCTAAGAATCCCTGAATGGAACATAGCAATTGTATTTGGCAGCCCTAAGTGTAAAAAAGGTATACATTCGATGTCAATACATTTTACGGCTGAATTGAATTGACCCGCTTCATTTCCAGGCTCCTGATGTGATGACGTCATTGTTGATGTTATTAGTAAAACCTCGGCTTCCTTTACCAGTTAAAACGATGGTGACGAAATGAAAACTCGCATGCGCTCAAAGACTCACTTGCGGTTGGAAGTCAATGGGCTCCAGACCCCGACACTCAAACTGCACCATTGTCTTGAAGCTTTCGCTGTCCTCTGCCTTCAACGCAGCGACGGGTGAAAACCGTAGTAGAAAAAGAAACAAAGTTCATAGTTTATGAGACAGCTGGACGATTTTAAAAATGTTTTCAAATTGTCAGTCAATAACCTGTATAAATATCGAAACAGGCTTGGCCTTCTTTAATCATTCAGCCTCTTTTGTTCATAGTCCAAGTCAGAATACTAGTGTGCATTAAGGTTGTACTGCAGAATGAGTGATGAAGTTACATGTTGACATACGAGAAGTTTGCTTACATTATACGGTTTGATTGTGTCTCCCAGGATATCTGTGAGAAACGGTTTAACACGTTAATACTTCCACCAGGTCTTTTAGCTCATTAGAAGTAGAAAGTGAGTGAAATGGTGCGACACTCGTACCAATAGAATTTTCCCTGGAACAAAGTTTACACTTCTGCACCATGCTGGCGCTGCTTCTTCCTCCTTTCAGTGGCACACTCTCCTATGGGACGGATTAAAACGTTTAAAAAAAGGTCGTACACTGTGTTATTGACAATGTTGGCAAAATGTTCCAAACTGCACTTGACACAAATGTTTTTTTTTACCTCAAGGTTTACATACTGCCATTTATCTGGGATCTCTCCACAGTTTCCACACTTCAGCTTCAAGTTGAGGAGAAATTATGGAGAAGGAAAAAAAAGCATTGCTTGTGTAAATGAGACGGAAGGTGAGAGAGGCTGTAACGCATCGTGAGCACGGCTGAACCGTGGGGAGTGAGTTTATTCTTAATTAGTTATTACGTTTCCATGGGGCAACGGGTATGAAACAGTTATGAGCGCTCCACATGACTGCAGGGCTAAACAGCTAGCATGCTAGCATCGACACGCATCCTACCTTCAGGAACCAGCGGAAATCGTCGCCCGATGGTCTGACATTAGTGACATTTTCCAGAGTGGCTTTAAACTGAAGTCCGAATTTCTAAAAGAATAAGAGAAGTCATAATTCCTCGGAATTACCAAAACATGCATTACTATTTACATCGGAAACACACGGCAGGGACACGTACCACCATCTTGACGCGTCACCGCTGACGTTCCCTGCGGCCTTCAGGTACTCCTCGTAAAATATAGCTTCTAACTCTTAAACGACTTTTTATTCAACTTTGTAGAAATCTAGACGCACAGCTTTGCTTTGGTAATAATGTTGATGGGAATGAATTTTGGGAACAAGTAGATCGTGCTTAGAATATACACAATAGTAGCTTGATATTTTTATGAAGCATTCATGGTAGGTCTTCATGCCGTTTAACAGAGCCGTTATCGCTTCAGGGGATCAGTTGTGAAAACAATAACACAAATTGAATGACTATCGGTGCCCCCGTGCATTTTTTTTACAGTGAGAAACCACTACGGATATATTCAAATAATGAGTCACAGTAAAGCATTTATTAAAGAAATAACAAACCAGTCTTCTGACAAGAACACTCGGCTGCAGCAGTTTACTCACCATTAAGCAATTGCAACAGCGTTATAAATCATTCCACAGCCCACAGTACAAATCTCCTCGTAGAAATCAGTCATTCAATTTCTCACTACACAATAAATACAGCAAGTGGAATACAAAATTGATTTCGATAGTTCATTATGCCGTTAAACTTCAAACAATGGAAACTGGCTCGTAGTGTGGATACTTACTGTACAGGTTAACCTGAGGCACCTTTGCAGAGGCATTGTGGTGGGTCTTGGCGGTTAATGGCCACACCTGGGATCACTAATATTGCTAAGGCATTTAACACCTTCATTACAACTTTTTCCTGGCATTTGTCACCGAATCGGTTGTCCAGCCTGAGTATACGTTTCATATCTTTCTGTTGTTTAACAGGACAATTTCTCTCAGGAATGCTAGTCTGACCTTTAAAAAAAAAAGGAATATTTAAGTAAAACAAATATCCAAATTAGAATAAGCATTGCTTAATAACTTAAAAGACTGCCTGTATAAATCGGTTTTAATTGGGACAGTCACCAGCTTTGTATTTATCCCCAAGTGTAAGCACACTGGTCAGCTGAACCTCACAGCCTTTGGCTTCATTGATGTGGTCGTCTCATCATTCTGCACGTGACAATCAGTACTGAAGAATCGTGTAGCGTGTCACGCAGCAGCAGACACTATACAGTTATTGAGGTGGACTTTTGTACAAAACATAACTTTTAAATCCCCAACGAACAATAACAAAAAAAAAACTCAAATATTCCCAAAAAATAAATAAAATTAGGGTTGGTATCACTCCAAAGATTGTCAGTACAAAGATAGGAGTGCAATCTAAGTTTCTTTTAACTTGTGTTGTATTTCGCATCCTCTCCTTTAGGACCCAAGCAAACTTGGGTGAGGCTCCCCGGTCATCAGAGGGTTCAAGTTTTATCAGATATTGCAATAAAGAAAAAAGGCTCCCCTCTTTTATTCATAAGCAGCATGATTTACCATGGAGCAGCAGGGGATACATAAACACAAAATGCAATTTGGGAGGAAAACGCATGGGGTCAATTTTAAACCCACGGTCTCATCATAAGAATAAGACCTTTTTTTTTAAACTGGGGGGGAAAAAAAATCCTAAATCTCAAGTTTAATAACTAGCGAAGTACCCAATAGAGTAGTTACAATAAAAGGCATTTCAATTATTTTTGCATCACCCCCCCCCCCCCCTCTCTTAAATACGTGAATGCCAAGCGGCATTATTTACAACGTAACCTCTCCGCACCGCTCTCCGGCCTGTGAAGAGAGGTGTGGCGAGGTCAATGAGGCCGGCTGCTGGACTCAGAGGTCCGCCGCTGACGTGGGGTGCTGTGGCCGTTCGTGCAGCCGTTGTGACGCTTGCTTGGTCCGCCGTTCAGAATGTCTTGGATGTGCTGCACTATCAAGTTGATGGCCACTGCAGAAAAAAGGAGGAACACAGATGTTTACACAGAGTGCCCCACCGATTCTCCAATGCACTCCTAGAACATTGTCCAGGGATGGATAGAAAAATCAATGCAGCAGAACCAAGGACAACGTTTTTCTATTCCACGCACACTTTGCAATATGTGGTGCTTTCATTACCCACAATGCAGCACTCAGGTCAAAAGTTCAGTCAGACAGCTTGAGGATTTATTGCAAATAGCAACTAAAATGTAACAATCAATCTGCTCAGTCGCCAATAAGCTCACATCATGGCAACTTCACCTCCCCAGATTCTTCTCATTTTAAAAGTTGTAGTTCTTAAACTTCTAGACTTTGAGTCCGTAAACCGACAGATCTGTTGAATCCTTCTTTAACAATATTCCCAGCCCGACCAACAAAGACGCAACGTCGGCATAGCGTATAACAAGTGTCCATACCAAGGTTATCTGCTCCCCGTGGAATGATCACATCTGCATACTTCTTTGTCTAGTAAAAAGAGTAAAGTCAAAGTTACTAAACATTATACATCCCCAACGCCGCCCGTGCCGTATATCTGTTGGACTCTAATGCACAACCACAGATGCTTCTACGGTAGGAACACTTACTGGTAAACAGAACTCCTCAAAGGCCGGTTTCACAAAAGTGATGTATTGAGCCAGAACTTGTTCCAGCTCTCTCCCCCGCTCACCAATGTCTCGAAGAACTGAAAAAAAAAAAAAAAAAAAAAAGAAGAAGAAAAATACCCACTCATTAAAAACACTGATAGGTTAGCAGGTGCAAGGCTCTGAACGCTTTATATTAACCGAACCCTCCCTACACACCTCGGCGTGAGAGTCGCGTGTCTGGATCCGTGTCGACAAACAGCTTCATCTGGAACAAATCTCGAATCTCCTGCGAGTAGAACATGAGGATGCCCTCGAACAGGACCACATCAGCCGGGTACACCGTAATAAACTCCTCTTTCCTGAAACACAGATTCCCTCCTCCATGTCAGCGATTACATTCAGACGTGTGGTGTGCACACAATTACAGCAGCTAGTTCGTCCGAACTGGTTCAACGCGATCATTTCATCTATTCCGCTAGAATGAGGGGTGCCGAACGGCAAGCGTTAAAGAAATCTGCTCACCTGGAATGAGTGACAAAGTCATAAACCGGAATCTGGACTGTCTCGCCCTGCAAGATTTGCCTGAGTGTTTGCTTTATCAGCTCATTGTCAAAGGCATCTGAGGAAAAGAGAAGGACCAACACTTAAGTCTGGATCTTTGAGAGACCTCATTCAACCGGCGCAGTGTGCGCCCACGTGTGATCCCACGCTGCACGTTTGGTAACCCAGGAATCCATTTCCTGTAACACGTGTTGGTTTCAGCCTCTGAGCCTTGGAGCAGCTGCCTCTGTGAAAGGCCTGCTGACTGTGGGGATTTAAAATCAGCCGAGAAAGGAAGCAGGAACTACAGTGTGCAAAGTCAGACTCCAAAAATGGAGTCTATGCTTCTGCCAAGGCACACTGGAGGACATGATTAACATGGCAGTAATTTGTGCTGCTGAACACAAGCCTGATTTAAATGTTTTCGATCATCTTGGTGAATCGCTTGTTGAGACGTGCATGTTATTGTGATAATAACTCCTCCTCCTAAACCTCAGCATTTAATTAATCTATTTTTATACAAATTAATTTGTGTTGGACAAGGTAGGTGAGAATTTAAAAACTACAATGAAACTCCACTTGCAAAATGAGGTTTCATAGCATATAAAAACATATACTTAAACTGGGGCAAATAAATCTGTGATATGAACGGCACACATGTGCCTACTAAAAACATGCAGGGGGATACATATCCCATACAACGCATTCTGTAGACAGCTAGTAGTAGATAGCTGTGCCACTATCTACTTAGAATGTGCATACCTGGGTGATCAAAGTTGAACTGGCCCTTCAGTGCTTTGGCCTTTTGTTCTGCAGTTAGCACCTTGTAGAAGCTGTCCTGGCTGAGGATCACCACCTGCCGCTGGTGGTGGTCGATCTTGTTTTGGCCCAGCAGCTCCATGATCTTCTCACACACAGATGACTGAGGAGACAGAAATAAAGAAACATGAAAAAGGGTATGCCACGAGACGGAAAGAGCTGAGGTAACAGCTCTGGCAGTCTACATGCATGAGGTCAGAAAAACTTAATCTGCAGGAACACTTACGCAAATATGACTGAAAGCATGAGTTTAAATTCAGTTCAATTAGTGCCGCCCACGGTCACATTTAACTAGAAATGGGGTGCATGGGGAATTTCCCCACTTAGAGCGAGGTCGACTAACAGGTGAAACGCCGAGCGGCCCACCACGTTTGTCCCCACTGACCTTCAACCAAACGAATCTCACACCCACAGCTGACTGGGCGTTCTGCAGCGACCACAGGCTCTGTTGCCTTTGTGTATATTAAAGTGCGTTACAATGAAATTGGACCACACAGGCGTTGTGTCAAACAGGGATTGTTGGGTTAATTGATGCTTAGAACTTTGGTTTTCCATTACTGATGGAACGAATGGAGGCTTTTCTGTATTAAAAGAACTGCCGGTCTATCGTTTGAACCTCAGCGGTGCTTTTGCTGCAGTCAGACCGCAGTGCCAAGATGCATCTTCCAATCCCTTGCGATTTAGGACGGGTGTTGTCCGACTTCAACAATACGGACCACCCCGGATAAAGTTGGGAGGGGAGGGGGCAAACAAGGAGAACGGAAGAGTGTTTCCCCTTTCCCCCTCGGATCTAATCCTGTGAGTCAAACAACGTGCCCGAAACCATTTAGAGTGATATTTGGAGATTTATTTTTTACAGCACGGCTCAATTACTGTAGGCAGATCCAAAAAAAACCGTATGTATTCGCATCCTGTCCTTCGATGTGGTCTACAAGACCAGTGGAAGGGCTCACAATAAGCACGCCGCTTCATAACAAAGACAAATGACGTCATATAAACGACATCCGAGGTCGCAGCGGGATGTGGGTGTCAGAGCATCCTGGGCTAACGTTTACAAAGCTTAAAATAAATGTTATACGTCACATGCTTATTACTAACGTTAGCGTACACCCGGTAAACACTTTACGTCCATGCCGTTACGTGTGCGGAACAAAAGGAAGTCGTAATTTCCCACCGGTGCCCACGTCGGTTCCGAACATTACTTGGAACAAATAGGCCAAGTTAACTAAACGCCCTTTAAACTTGTGTTAGCGGTCATTCCCCCGTCAGTCAAACACACGTCCACTGCTGCCCAGACGGATAATCGTCTTTTATTACGAGTACGTGATGCAGGTTTGATCAAAGGAGACTTGTCTAGCTGCCGTTAGCACACCGGCACATCTCGGACGTGATGGAATTTAGCCGGGCAGCTAGCTTGAAAGAAATAAGCCAAGCGAATGCCATTGTTCTTCGCGTAATTGTCGTCTGTTAATTAAAGAAACCGTTTCCCCCGTAATCATCCGGGGTGGACCAAAGAATAAACTGGAAAGACGTGTAATGGATTGACGTTCACGACAGGCGGTTTTAAATCGGGACCAAGTAAAGCTCGGTGCTGACAAAGAGCCGGATGGTTAAAGAGAAAGATGAGAACACCGACTCAAAACCTAACGTTGGGACCGTGGCATGGGGGGGTGGGGGGGAGGAGTGAGGGGGGGGGTCCCTGAAGCCACGCGGTCAACCGGCAAACCGCTGACGAGAAAGACCTTCGACATGATTTTGTTGAACATTTTTTAAATAAAATAAAATAAAACGGGACCATTCGCGAGAACCGCCAAAAGTGCTAGCCGGAGTGCCAACCTTGCCGCTAGCGGTGCCTCCGGAGACACCGATGAGGAAAGGTTGTCGGACAACGTCGGTGTTGTCGCCGCGGTCCCTTAGGTGCGTTTCGCTGTCCCCGGCCATGCTTGCAGTGTGTCGTCACAGCTGCCGCGCTGGAGGATAAAGGAGGCGGAGCTCCGCCCACCGCGCCGACGCTCCTTTCAGCCACTCGTTTTTATTCCATTTTTTAATTTACGTAGACGTATTTTTTCAGTATAGGTCAACTCCGACACATTTGACGGTCTTATTTGAATAAATTAGTAATTTGTAGATTTTCGTGATGGACAGTGAGGATAAGAAATCGTCCGTTACGCGATGACGTCACCCGTGATACATTACTTGGCCCACCTCCTGTAGTGGTGAACAGGTTTTTTTTACGTTAGATCTATCATCTTAAAATACGCAACAATTGTGAAGAAGCCTAAAAGTAAGTTGTTATAGAGTTAAAAGCAATGGTTACACCCGACAAATGACATGGCCGGGGAAAGGAGGTGCGCTTGTTTACAGTTGCACACACTTGTTGTTGCGTCAGCTGACTCTAAATCGTTGTGGGGAAATTCTTCTTCGACGTTTTTTAACGTTAATGTTGCTGGTTTTGTCCAAATGAACGGACGGCTTGGCATAACGTCTAACAGCAGAAATGTGTGTTTCTACGCTAGCGACCAGCTAAACCTCGGGAGAAACGAGTCATTTGGAGGAACGTCATGCTCCAGAGGCTCCGTGGGTCCCTGCTGCGGCGGCCCGCTGCGACTCCTCCAGCGGCCGCGATACGATGCCTCTCCTCGGGCTCCGCGGACGTCAGGGTCCCGCTGAACTTCTGGGCTGGGAAGAGACAGACGAGCTCACGTAAATGTAACAAGGAAAACGTTTACGAACCCGCAACAGGTAAGGCACATGCATTATCGCGTGCGTGTGTTTCCTAACTGGACTTTGACCAGCACTTTGGGGAAAGGTCTGTCTGGTGATATTCTGGCTTATGAGCACAATACAATGTGTTGTGTTATGTCTGCTTGACTTTTCTGCCTCACACATTTTGCAGATATGGCTTTTACTCGTGCAAAGAAACTGTGCAAACAAACATGCATGTCCATATATCCCTGTCCCCACAAGGCCCCTTTCTTGTGCAACCACCGATGGCCCCGGACCAGCTCCAGTGGGCTTTTAGGGCCACTCTCTAGCTATTATAGCTGTTGTGGTACACTGCAGATTTCTTTTTATTGATCTTAATGGCCGAGGCACCGTTCTCTGGGCTGGTTGAAGTTGTAAGAAGCTGAATCAGGTGCCAGTCAGCTTGAGGTCAGCAGATGTGCAAGGGAAAGCCTTTGCTCGTGCAATCCGAGAGACATTTTCAACAGTACTGTGACTTCATGAAAGTCAAAATAGTGCTTATAATTTGTGAGGTTTTCTTGCGGTTTCTAGTTTTATTGCGCATGAGCTGGCACACAACCTATGTGCATCCCACTCTTTGGACAGAATGATGCGTCTTATTTAATCACTCACCCCGTCATTGGAAAAATGACGTACTGCTTTTGGCATTTTAAAGGCCTCGACTTAATCTCCTTCTGTTATTAAAGGCCAACTTCGAACCAGTAAAAACCAAAGGGATGATCGTGCCAAACTGAGCAACTTTTTCTTTTTATATTTAACCCGTGTACTTCAGTGTTGTCGCCATCCCATATTTGTGCAGGGCGAGTCTTGTGCCTTCTGGACCCGTGTGGTGCTGCAGAGGTAGATCAGGCTGTGTCTGCCGCCACGTCAGCGTTTGCCCACTGGAGCAAAATGTCTGGGATGGAGAGGGCGAGGATCATGATAGAAGCTGCCCGTATCATTGAGGTGTTTTGTGTGTGTGTGTCTGTAATCTGGTGGAGCCCCTTTCATGCTATTAGGAACAATACCCTACTTTAATTAAGTGTATTTAAGGGGGGGGTGCTTTCTATTTGCAGTGTAGCATCGGAGATCAAACCAAATGTATTACACTTACTTTCATGTTCAGAGGAGGCGAGAGGAGATAGCGGAAATGGAGGTGGTCAACAACGGGAAGTCCATCACAGAAGCCCGTCTGGATGTGGACTCTGGCAGACTGTGTGTCGAGTACTATGCAGCGCTCGCTAGCACTCTAGCAGGTTGGTGCAGAACAACTCTGACTCATCAGCTGTATCATTTCCCACCTGCCCAGAAGCCGTGAAGCAGGAGGCAAAAACAAAGCACTGATACGGGCATGACAGGTTTCAGTTTCACCAACCATATATTCTGCAATCATATTAATTACAATGTTTAGTGGGATATTGATGATGATTGTGCATTTTGCTAATCTTAAGATGGTCTGCATTGCTCCGTGCAACGTATTAATTTAAAGTGACACTGTCTACGCTCTGCCTTCTTTGTGTCCAGGCCAGCATGTCCAGTTGCCGGGGGGATCCTTTGCCTACACCCGCAGGGAGCCTCTGGGAGTGTGTGTGGGCATCGGCGCTTGGAATTATCCTTTCCAGATAGCTGCCTGGAAATCCGCTCCGGCTCTGGCCTGTGGTACGGGGATCATTAGCTTTTAGTGCACACAAGTGGTTTCAGGTTAGAGTTTAAATCAAACAAAATATCTAACATCACAATGTCAAAATGTATTAAGCATTCATATAGCTCTTCAAAAGTAAGGCTTTAACGTAGGGAACGTTTTCAAGGGTTTCTCCATTTCAGTCTTAAAAGACTGTCCACACAAATATCTCCAACAAATTTGAATCTTTCCCAAATTTAGTACACAGCATATTCGACAAGTCAATATGTTTTATATGTTTTTCTTTCTTTTTTTCTTTTCTTTCTTGAACTGGTTTCTTTTTTTCTTTTCTTTCTTGAACTGGTTGGCTTATTGGACATACATACAACTGCTACAACTCACCCACTCATCGTCCAATAGCAGCCAAAATGCTCAGCAAACTTATTGTCCCTGAACCCCAGCTGATGTGTGTCATTGACCCGTGACATGGGTCGGATCTTTTAAACCGCACGAGTCAAACAATGAGTGTTACTCATCGGATACAGGGAACTCCATGGTGTTCAAGCCGTCCCCAGTGACGCCCGTGACGGCGGTCATGCTGGCGGAGATCTACGGCGAGGCCGGAGCCCCAGAGGGGCTGCTCAACGTGGTGCAGGGCGGCCAGGAGACCGGCAGCTTGCTCTGCCGCCACCCAGACGTCGCTAAGGTGTCCTTCACCGGCAGTGTGCCCACGGGCAAGAAGGTCGGGGCTTTTTACTCGCTAGAATTAAAAATGTGAAAAGTTATATTTTTCGATGCTAGATGTGAATCCATGTGACTTTGACCCACAGGTTATGGAGATGGCCTCCGAGGGGGTGAAACCTGTGACTCTGGAGCTCGGTGGCAAGTCTCCGCTGATCATCTTTCAGGACAGCGATCTGCAGAACGCCGTGAGCGGAGCTCTTATGGCCAACTTCCTGTCCCAGGGCCAGGTAGATGTTGTGGTTTGACTTTTTAGAGGCTGACTCAACACGGGACCAATCTACAAATGGAATTATTTTATACTTGATCAAATGTAACACAGGTCTGCAGCAATGGTACACGGGTGTTCGTTCAGAAGGATATTCTGCCGAAGTTTGTGGAGGAGGTGGTGAGGAGGACAAGGGCGATTGAGATAGGAGACCCGCTGTTGGAGAGCACACGAATGGGAGCACTGGTCAACCACCCACACCTGGAAAAAGTCCTGTCCTTTGTTGACCAGGCAAAGAAGGAGGTAAGACTAGTGCCGACATCTTCTTTGGCCTTCAACAGGCTCTTGTGCGGCAATTTTAACTTGACCTTTGTTAATCGTTCTGTTTCTAGGGAGCTACAGTGTTGTGCGGTGGGGAAGCTTTTGTTCCATCAGATCCCAAACTCCGAGGTGGATACTACATGACTCCATGTGTACTGGGTGAGACTTCCATAAACTCCTCCATGAATCCTATTCCTCTCCTTTTCTAATTCTGGCGGCCACATCTCACACAGTTAAGAGTGGAAGGGGATTCCTCTCTGCCCGACTGCAGTTTAGAGAGGCGACATTAAGGTCAAGTGTTTGTCCTTTCCTGCTCCTCTTCGCTCAGGTGGCTGCACGGATACGATGACCTGTGTGAAGGAGGAGATCTTCGGGCCTGTCATGTCTGTGTTGTCCTTTGAAACCGAAGAGGAGGTGCTGCGCAGAGCCAATGACACCACCATGGGTCTGGCTGCGGGAGTTTTCACCAGGTGGGTTTGGGGCGAGACGTCCAGGGCGACCTCACACACACACACAAGATTTGGAGCGTTGTCTTTGAACTTGAAAAAGCTCAAATTAAAGCAATCCAACCAATCCAGTAAAGTAGAATAATTGATTGATCAATATGTGTACAGTTTATTCAAATGAACACACAACCTCCTTAGGGATGTGAAGCGAGCTCATCGTGTGGTGGAACACCTCAAAGCTGGTTCCTGTTTCATCAACAACTACAACATCACTCCGGTGGAGGTGCCCTTTGGAGGCTTCAAAATGTCAGGTACAGATCAGGAGCCAGATGCCATTTTGCCTGTTTGTTCATCATTTTAATAATGTATTATGATACGGTATTATCATTAAAACACAACGGCAGGTAATCCGAGCACCTCCTTTCTTTCCTTTTGTGATCTCTACATTCACCAGGCATTGGCCGCGAGAACGGCCAGGTGACGGTGGAATATTACTCCCAGCTCAAGACGGTGTTTGTGGAGATGGGAGACGTGGACAGCCTCTTTTAGGAGGCGCACACACAGGAGGATGCAGCTGCGGCGGTGACCTAGATGACATGTAATGTGACCCAGAGACTAAAACAGAGGAACACCACCTCAGGGAAAGAACATCAAAGGTGATGAGTGACGAGCCTGTACTGAAAATATGGTCCGTTTCCTAAATGTTAAACAATGAAGTCTGAAGCAACTCGCTGTGTAGAATATCAGAAGTCTTTAAACACATTTGAATTTACGTACACTGTGTTAAAGGGATACAATTCAATTACGTTTATCTTTATTTGCTGAACTTTGATCCATTTCAGCTCCTAGACATTAGACGAGTCACCTGCTGTTATTTGCACTGTATGTTTCTTGCTTGATATATTGTGTTGGCCATGTGCGAATTAACGAAAAAGGGGGTTTACAAGTCAAGCTTTATTTCTTCATCAATGTATTTTATACACATACAAAAGAAATAGGCACCTTGAATGTTGGATTGATTGACCTAATCTAGATTGTACAGTTAATTTATGCTTTTTGTACACCGTTAGAATTAGACAGTAACATTCTGCCTGGTGGGTAAATATAATTATGTAAGAAACCAGTTTGGACACATTTTCATGTCAAATAAATTGTGACATAACAAAGCTGTGTTTAACATTTCAACAGAAAAAGTTTGTGTTCACATTGCTGTCCGTTTTTGCTTTGTGTATTGTTGTGGCTAAATTCTTCTTCTCTTCCTTGACAGTTTTTTAGCAACTCCATTTCTCTGAAAAAAGTGTTTTAAACAGCTGTACTTTATTTTGAAAGTCAACTAAATTCAAAAAAATCGGTCTATTTTGTCTATGTTTAAAATGATCAACTGGATGATAAAAAAAGACTTATTGTGCACTATATTTGAAAGATTATGACAATTTAAGAGACGTGATGCATATAGGAAGTCTCCACTGTATAATAATTCCTCTAGTACAACTATACCTTTGCCATGGGTCTTTTAGGTTTCTTGAACTGTGCAGACTCTGTTAAGAAGAAAGTTTACAAGTGTCACCATTTTGATATATTTTGCACATCAGTTTTGTAACAATAGCAGCGCAGACTTACCATCTTCAGAAGGTAGATCGTCTTCGTTGTATGTCTTCGTACAAGAATCCTACAGCCAGACAATTATGATAAACTTATATAGAACTGCACCAGCTAAAAAACAACGCTCTTACATGGGATAACTAACAAGATTTATCAGGAATGAGACTTTCGAGCCAATTTTGAAAGGGAATTTTGAGCTTGCTTACAGTACAGCAAAACTAAATCTGAGATCCAGCATTTTAATAACCCCCTTCTGCACCCACCATCATCATTCCCGTCTCTGGAGGATTGCTCTGAGCAACGTGCTTGCTCTCCCTCAGGTGGTCCCCTCCTTGAAGCTTCTCCAGACGGCCTTGTTCTGCTGACACGCGCACTCTCAACGCGTGAAATGGTGTCTGCACTTCGCCCACCTTGAAGTGCACTGCCATGCCTTCGAACCAGAGGCTATCACATTCACCCTCCTTGAAGCCTGGAGGTTGGTAGTCATCTGGAGTGACTTTGAAAGAGCAGGAGATGTTTACAGTGTGCTACCCAAGAAATTACCCTTCATTTAGTACCGCATGCAGAGACATTAATACTTACTGTCGTCATAATAGTAGAGCTTCATGCTGAGGTATACGTTGTTTGGGAGGACATCCAGGTTCTGCATAAGCAGGAAGAGCTTCCTGATGAGCAGCACTGAGGCTCTCTTGGTGTCCTCCAATGTCACCTGCACCCCCACATCGTTGTTTCTGTGATTTCAGAGGTCGTATCATCATCACATATGGATGGGTGGATCCAATTCATCTAAGCAAACAGAAGGCCTATACAAACCTCAGCACGTTCATCTCTGGTCCCTTCTCAGTGTATTTGAATTTGAACTGGTATGACTCAATAATGCACTGCAAAGGCAGAAATGTTTATTTACATTATTAGACTCCACATTGGAATTACAATTTTACAAAATAGTACGTTTCTATTCCAAATTGTTCAGAATCTTACTGTATTTTCAGGGGTAACTTACGTTTGGTTCATCTGGATTGGTGTACACCTGGATTTCAAATGCAATGATCAATGTAATAAATGTGATCCGTTTCATGTAATCAATGTGTTAACCATACGTGTTGCTGTACCAACTTGATCTGCTTACCCCAATGAATACAATCTGGAGCTGTTAAAAAGACAACATTGAAGAAGGATGGAAAAGTAGCATTATGGAATAAAAAGTCAGACCAGGCAAAACATTACAAATTCTAATTATTGACGGAAGCACTTACATATTGCTTCTCTAACGCATCAAAGCAGCCCATCATCCTGGAACATTGAAGATTGAACAAGACGAAGACATCCATTAGGAAAGAAAATTACCTTCAGCCACTTAGTGCTGATTATCTACTCCGAGTGTTCAGCTGGCCGCTCTGGCCAGCAGAGCAAATTACTACTGTATATTCTGGAAGTGTTTCAGCAGCATAATCACCATTTAACAACCTTGCTGGATCCTGGAGTGTTACAGTCGTCACGCAAAACTTTGATGCACAAATCTGGGGAAAACCCAAATAACAAAAGTAAGAAAAACACAGCATAGATGTATTTCTCTTGGATATTAAGCAACAACACCCTCCATGACCCTGTAAAGCTCTGTGCATTTAAAATACAATTCTACTACTTTCCGCATGTGCTGGACGTCTAAAATGTTATTTCCCCAGATTACAATAGAGCTAAAAAAACATATCGAAAATCCCAGTTAACAAATTAACTTCGTGAAACAAGTTCTAATGGTGCATTATTGTTTTTAATTGTATGCATGAATATTTCTTTATTCCTCTTGAGGACATTTATGGTCATTTGTGTTCACCTTCCAGATATCTGGATCTGTAGGCGTCCTCCGGGAAAATCCCCCTGAGGTAGGTGATGGAGGAGACCGCCACGGCCATCATCCTCTTAACAAAGACAAGCGACTCTTGCTGTGTTTTCAAGTCCTTGAGGAACAAGCCGGCCCACTTATAAAAATGAACAGATCAACAAAGACGTTAAGAAACAGGAGAACACATCTGGACTAAATCTGACTTGTTAAGTTGAAGACCACACGATGGCGCAGTTATCCACGCCGAGTGTCCTCCAGAGCCGACTCGGAAATCATGAGAAACGTGGACTTATAAACGCAGAGATCGATTAAATAAAACCATAAACAGCTTATTGTTTGCTGGTACGTGGTGTAGTCAAACCTCGGCAGTTTCCTCCTTGCTCTTCTTGGGGCACATCTTCCCAGCCGCCATGTTCTCCTCTTCGGGGGCGGAGGGCTCTCCGATGCTAACGATTAGCGTTAATTAGCTAATCAACTTTATAACTGTAGGCTACACCGACAACAAGCTAATGGGGAAAATGCTAAAACTACACCGTTCGCAACAGCACCTTTCCTCAAATAACTATAGTAATATCTGCTCTCTTGAAGAATCTCTTAAGTATTAACAGTTTACACGTAAGTTAAAGTTTGGGTTATAGTTTCTCAAACGGTATAATAATAGCCAGGATGTATGGAAGTAGCTTAACGTTAATTTAGCGTTAGTCAGTCTTTCCCGCCGAAAGTAGATGACCGGAAGTACATTTGTGAATACTAAACATTTATATGAAGTGAGCGTCAGGGTGGAATATATGAAATATGAATATTACCTTTCCATGTAAAACTTAATCCTACTACAAATTCAAATACTCAATTAAGAGTTTATTTAATGGCATGCCAAACCAGAGGTGCCCTTCCTTATCAGTTCTTTAGAAGCAAAAAACACAGGTGTAATAAATAGCATAATAACGATAACCCCTTAAGGGTGTAACTATAAACAGTCCACGGCCACGAAGGGAACACAGCCATGATTTATGATGAGTCATTGTCGACCCAGTCAGCAAACGCTTCTGCTGGGAAGTTGTAGAAACAAGAAGGAAGGCTGATACAGTAGCTGATAAGACGTTCAGGTGGAGGTGAGGGTGGAGCTCACTAAATGTCTTCAAAAAGAGACCAAGTGCACCTGTGTGGCAAAGTGTGCAGGAGCATTTAACAAACAACTAATCGCCTGGTTCGGGAAAGCTTGTTTATTTTGAACTTTCCTCAAGTGTTGAAACGTTAAACATGGAAATCATTTCCACATAAACATAACGTCAGTCTCATACTATGCAAACAGACATCCAGCTCAGCCTGACGGTGAAGATAGCACACATTACCACAACATAATTACACAACTATATGCTTTGGCCATAATTGCACTATTCACACTACAGATGACTGAACACACACAGCATGTAGACAAAACACCAGCTCCTAACTACTCCTCCACAGGCCTTCTTCCTTTAAATATAATGTCCTATAGCAGGTGGCACACCCTGGGCCTGTTACTGCTTGGAGAAGAAGTCTTTGCTCTTCTGGACGTCGGGTTTGATGGTGTCACTTCCTGGTTTCCAGCCGGCTGGGCAGACTGAAAAGAAAAGACGCCTCTAATGAGCCTTCTACCAATATGACGCACATATAGAGTAATGTTATATATATATATATATATATGCATGAGTGTCCCTTGAGGTCTGCAGAGTGTTACAGCAGAAACTTACCTTCTCCGTGTTTGTCAGTGAACTGAAAGGCTTGGACCAGACGAAGGGTCTCCTCAACGGAGCGTCCAACCGGGAGGTCGTTGATGGTGATCTGCCTCAGGATGCCCTTGTCGTCAATGATGAACAGACCTCTGAAGTAGAGCGAAAGAGCGGTTCGTGGACGCAGGAAAGTTTAAGTTCTGCAAGTTGCTGCCTAAAACTTCAGTTCGGTGCATTTAATGATGTCATAAGAAAAAGAATGTAGAATCTCACTGCAGCAGCAAATGGAAGACGTTTTCTAACCTTTATCAAAGCAGAAAGAAACTCCACCATTGTTAAACCAACCTGTAGGCAATGCCTTCATCCTCCTTCAGGACACCATAATCTGTGGAGATGGTGCGCCGCGTGTCTGAAACCATGGGAATCTTCATGGTACCCAGACCGCCCTGCTTTCGAGGCATGTTGACCCTTTGAGAGCGTTCATCAAAATAAAAAAAAGGGAACAACGTGAGACGTTTGCAAGAGATGAATCCACGCGATGGACGCGTAAAGGGTATATCTTGAAACTACCATGCAAAGTGGGAGAAGTGAGAGTCCACAGAGGCGGCGATGACCTCACAGCCGATCTTCTTGAAGTCGTCTGCAGCGTCACTGAAAGCGATGATCTCGGTAGGACAAACGAAGGTGAAGTCCAGTGGATAGAAGAAAAAGACGACATATTTCCCTGCAGCAAAATAAAAAATAAAAACGATGCATCTGTTGCGTTTGGGAATTACAGGCTATTTTATTCTAGTTTTCAGAAGTGTAATTGGATGTCTATTCAATGATTTGTGGGATAACACAGCAAATCGATGTCATTGAGCGAGTCATCAAAGCGGGGCCACGGTGGCGGCGTACCTCTGTAGCTGGAAAGCTTCAGGTCGCTGAACTGCCCGTCTGGCATCACCGCCTTCGCTGTGAAGTCCGGAGCCGGCTTTCCGATCTGTGCTTTGCCTGCAGCCATCTTCAGTTTAGCTGAAGAACAGAAGATGGAAATCTCCACTGACATTTACACTTGTCAATCATGATTTACTTAAAACAACTTATCTGATGATTGTTACCTGGATAGATTAAGTAATTCAGAAGCTGTTGCCTCAAATTGCTTACAACTTTGATCAATAAATTCATTGTTCGTGGTTGGTTAATTAATTATTTGTCAGGCATCATATCTTCAGAGCGAAGCCATCATTGCCTATAGAACAAGGAAATGTAAAATATTTCCTACAATAGCTTTCATTTAACCAGAAGAGATTTTTTTTAACTAAAAATTGTTGCTTAAACTCCGGATTAAAATGCACAAACTGGCACAAGTGGACTCAATTCCACTTCTCTCTTCTTTTTTTTTTTTAAATGAACAGGTGTTTCCTCATATGGATATCAACAATGTTTTTTTCTTGATACATATTACCAGTAAATTAGTCAGCTAAAGAGCAGGTAAAATACTAAATGGCTAAAGACCAGGCGCGTGTTGGTTGTCATTAACTGAATCACTGCAACATTTCTCCTGAGATTTAACTGTAATTTATAGTCATTTTTGGTCTTCCAGGTAGCAAAAAACAAACAAATTATCGGATTTCAGTAACGTCAAGTTAACCCTCAAAACCACGAATTATAAAACCCGTTTCCGCTTTATGCGGGTGAACAAGGAAATAACGTTGTGAAAACCCACTTGTTGAACTAAAATCCAGCAAACGCTGCGAAACCACAAAACCTTCATAAACGGTGTGAAGAAAGCAACAAATAAACCGCGTGAAAAACAAACAAAGGAAAAGAGAGTAATACAAATATTTAAATGCATGGTATAAAAAAACAAACATACCTCAGTTCTTTTCACGCCAGATGAGGAGACACAAGAGAGAACGAGAACCGGCAGCCTCGAATGAAGAATATATACGAGGGCTCACTTCTCGCGATAACCCCGTCAGAACGAGACTACACGGCGCTCGGGGGCTCCAGTCTTCACCAACCTCCCACTACACAGCATGACTTTGCACTTTTCCTTATGACTTTTCTGGGAAATGTCATGCTCATGTGAAACCCCATGAAATCAAGAGGATGAAGAGACCGACAGAAAGGAGTTACTCATAGGAAACATTCTTCAGGCTTCGTCTTTCAAAGTCTCACACTATTAACTCATTGGTCCCTGTGGCATACGTGACCTCTATGTTTCATCCAACTTCAGTAATCAAGGCAACCTGAATTCGTTCTACAGCCAGTTTTGAGGCAGAACACTGACTCTATTAATCATAAATGGAATTTAAACAGCAGGTTTTTAATGGCTTGCCGTTTCCTAATCCCAGTTAACCATCCACGCAGGAGTCATGAGGTTTCATTGTATGACTAGAACTCTTTTAGGATGCAGCACGTAGTCATCATGATTAGACACGAAGCAACTCCTTCACATTGGTGTGCATCCGAGTGCCTAAACAAGGATTTCCCGCTCGGAAAATAAACCACAACCCCATAAAAACCTGCATTCTTTTATTTAGCCTGTGTACTGACCCCCCCGACATATATGAATACAACCTCACATCTTACATTGAAGTGTTTTTTACACTATGCTAGTGTAATATCATCACCAGAGTACTTTTCAGAGGAAACTGAGGGACATATTTTCCATACTAGAAACAGATGTTTTCCATAACAAATACAATCAACAACCAATTCAGAGTATTCATTCTAAATTAATTAGAGACAGTGACCATCACACATTTATGTTCATTCTATTAAGCTCCAAAAAAAAACATGTGCTGGCCTGTTTCCTCCATGTTTCGTGAATTTTCTCATACTACTGAGCTCTTAGTATTTTGCTCTTCTGTATTTAAAGAAGCCCAAGGCGGTGCACTGTTGCAACACCTTGTACTTTCCTGTGGGCCGCAGAAGGCCTTCTTCATTTCCATTTCCTTATTGCCACTAAGGCTGAGGAACACCAGCCTCTTCACACGCATTGTTAGTTTAACAAACATCGCTTTATGTTGTTCATGTTATGTAAGACAATCCTTAAAATGATTGGCCTGATGTCTACCTGATAAATGCTATGTTAACTCCACATGACAGTTATTAAGACCGTAATTTTATTTTATCAATCCTGGTTTTATAGTTTATTCATAATCAAAAGCATTTGCCAGTTAATTGGGATATTCCACGTATCCTTAAGATATCGTTGGATAAAAGCGTATGTCTCTGACAGTTAACACGTCCAACCAAGCATAACATCCTTTACTTTACAACAAGCCTGGGACAATTATTGTACTCTGAGCAGTGGAAACATGATGAAAGGGGAGTGAACCGTGGTTTCATAGCGCTGCATAATGTAGGCCGCAGTGTCAAACTGCGGCTGATAATGAATACTCTTTAGTGACCCTTAAAACAAATCAAATATGTGATTAGAGACTCTGGGATTTTTAGGCAAATTATGTTCTGTTTGCAAACAATCATCTGAAGAAACCGGTGTTGTTTACACCCGAGTCTATAACCTAAAGAGACAGGGGATGTTATCTGCTCAAACAGCCCCTGCACCATCCCTCCCTTCTCCGCTGTCACCAATTGATGTCTTTGCATGCCGTTGCCATGGGCACTGCATCAAGGGCGAGATAAGAGGAGGACACACAATAACCTTCTGTTAGAAGCTCCATAGTAGGCTAGTGATCAAACCATATCCCTGTGTTCAACAGCCGTTTCACATTATGCTCAGAAATAGTGCATCCACTTCACTGCTTGTTGCAAATATGGTTGAAAGGCATCAATGTGTCCATCATCCTGGTCACAAAGGGCCATGCAAAGTATCAAAACACTTTAAATGGAATAATGAATCATGCAAAATACTGGTGCCGATATTAGTTATTTGGCATATTTCTGTGTCCTCTCTCAGAAATTCTCCAAATGAATTTGCACGAGGGCACACAACATCAAAGGTGTATTTTTATAAGCTCTAACAAATCCAATAACAAATCTCTGAGTGTCGCAAAGTTGATCATTTCCTTTTGGAGTAAAATTGAACAAATTAAATGAAAAACTTGAAACGGTTGAAAATGTTTTACTATTGAAATGTCCCTCTGTTGTGTCATTATCATGGAATTAAATCATCTTTTCAATCATCTTATCCAACACTGCGAGAAAGAAATAGCAGCCCTATAGCAACCCAAATTCCATTTAAAAGGTACAAATACACTTTTGCTTTCTTTACCAGAATTTCTTTTTTTTAATTTTTTTTAATGGTGTCACCAGACAGAGTGAGTACATACTCTGTGGCCAAAAATAACACATGTTTTGTAAAGCCTTCAATGATTAGCAAAATTGACTCATACAGACAATAAATTCTCTAAATATTGTATTTCAAACTGATTTCCTCTGGATTGGAAGAAATATAAGATAAACAGGCAATTTTTTCACTCATGATGTTTGCTGCGTTGTTAGATTTTACCGGGACATTATAGCAGTTATCCAGGATGATGATGACAATGTGAGGAGGGTGCAGTACAATTTTCTCAGTGTGGGGTTTATTGGATGCCAGGCCCAGACTTGTCATGACGAGGCAGGGACACAGCGGAGCCAGCAGGAGGTGTTGAGTGGGGAGCTGGCGGATCCATGTCCCTCACAGCAGGACGTGACAGCAGCCTTGTGTAGGTTAACACATGCACACTGCTGTGTTCAAAAATGAAGAAACGCCGGACAGACAGAGGGCATCGCAGATCTAAAGGTTCAAATCAAATGTATTTAATAAAAGAGATGGTGTTGTGGTAAAAAGAACATCTCAGCTGAGGAGCCGCTGGTCTTTGCAACCAACAGGCCCCAGGTCAGTCCTTTGACCATCCCTAGTGCCCGTCTGCTGCCTCCACCAGCGAACTCGAGAACAATCGTTGCCTATAGGTATTTATACCAATACGTAAAGGAGTGAAAGTTAGTGTCCACACCTCTGGGAGTGGTCTTCTGGTGAGTTCAATGTAACTCGGATTTCGGAAGGCCCTCATTCAATATAAGTTGTTGTTCAAGTATTACATGCATGCATTCCAGTTGATTACATTACATCAAATACAATCATAACTGTACATTGGTATTATTCTATTACAGTTGCAGAATTACAGTGGTTTTACAATATTGTCATTACTTTATTGATTACACAGTTTCAGAATCATGGCTGTATTCTGGTGTACACTATAGGTATTTTATTAATTTTATGAACCGGGTCGTCAGCTTATTTCTAATATCCTACACACACACACAAGCACACATACAGACATACGTACCTACATATACAGTACCCCCGAACCGCTTTAATGAACCCGTGTTATGCAATTAAACACAGTAGTTATGGATCCCCCAAATATTCGATATCAAATTAGATACACAATACATAAGAAAATATGAAGAAAATGATTGTTGCATCAGTTACGTGAACTCAAACCTAATATTTTCCTACTCCAAACGTCTCTTGAGCAACACTCCACGTGTTGTACGTCTACCTGCGCTCTGTGTCTTTAAGAATGATCCCGCGCCGGTTTACGAACACGGAAATTAGCCGGAAACGGAAAGAACATTTCGCGCCAAATTGAAACAATGGAGCAGGAGCTCTTCAGTCTTCTTACGCACCAGCCGGCGAGCCGCAAGCCAACGCACCTCTTCAAACGTCTCAGTCGCCACCTCTCGGACAAGGTAAACCACATTTAATATACACGTTTGCTCTCACTTAGACGTTTAAACCTTCACCAAGATTAACGGGCCCAACTAATCGGTTTTTGGTTTGTAAAGTTGTTTTTCTGTTCGTCCAGTTGAGCGAACATGGAGGAGGCCAACAAGCTAATCGGCTCGGGCAAGAAGCACCTGGTGATGGGTAAAGTGGTGGAGGCGGTGAGCGCCCTGCAAGAGGCCTGCGGCATGCTGTGAGTTTTCACTGTGCGAAGTTACAGATCCAGCCTACAAGCTTTTTACCAACAACAAAGAGAATGATCGAGAGATACATAAAATCAAGCCCCATTGCTAATCTAGTTGAAGTAAATCGATTGAAGCCAGAGCAGGTATTTTCGGATACAAATGTAGTGAGCACAGTTTGAGACTTTTATTAAAATGGGAACCTTGAAGTACGATATGTTAGCTTTTAGAGGTGTGTTGATGATGCGGTCATGGGAACAGCTTGCAGCTGCTGGGTCGATGCAATAAGCAGTGGTTGCCAGCTGTGCTTTCATACAGATTTTACAATCTGACATATCACTTTTTTTTTCTCTCGGTTTTTCCCAGAGCTCAAAAGTACGGAGACACTGCAGACGAGTGTGGAGAGGCCTTCTTCTGGTGTGGCAAAGCGCTGCTGGATTTGGCACGGTAAAGTATTTAGTCCTGCACCGTGCCGCGGTGGTCTTTTTTGTATATGTGTGAAAAAATGCCGACCTAACTGACCCCGTTGTTGCAGGATGGAGAACTCCGTCCTCGGTAATGCTCTGGAAGGAGTACCGGAAGATGGAGAGGAGGATGACGAGAAACCCAAGGACTCTAATGTTGACAGTACGGAAACCATTGATGGTGAGGGAATTTATATGTAGAGAGAACCTGGTTTTGTTTTTGTGGGAAGCTGCTACACTGCTCCTCTTCACTCCCAACAGAGCAGACCAGAGATGAGCTGAGGGTGCAGGTGTACGACGCCATGGCAGAGAAGAGCGACGAAGCCGCTGCCGAGGTGAAGAGCGACGAAGCCGCTGCCGAGGTGAAGAAGAGCGACGAAGCCGGCGCCGAGGTGAAGAAGCGCGACGAAGCCGGCGCCGAGGTGAAGAAGCGCGACGAAGCCTCCGGCGCCGAGGTGAAGAAGGGCGACGAAGCCTCCGGCGCCGAGGTGAAGAAGGGCGACGAAGCCTCCGGCGCCGAGGTGAAGAAGGGCGACGAAGCCTCCGGCGCCGAGGTGAAGAAGGGCGACGAAGCCTCCGGCGCCGAGGTGAAGAAGGGCGACGAAGCCTCCGGCGCCGAGGTGAAGAAGGGCGACGAAGCCTCCGGCGCCGAGGTGAAGAAGGGCGACGACAAAGAGAGAGGTGATGAGCAACAAGAATCTGCAGAGAAAGATGAGGAGAAAAACGGCAACTGTGCTAAAAATGAAGACAAGGAGGCAGAGGAAAAGTCATCGGATGAGGAAAAGGAAAAAAGGTGGGTTTTCTGTTCAATATAGACCGTTGGTTGCAAATGGCGTACTGGTGGTTGTAATCATAAATTTCCCAGTTTATCTTAACGCGTTTTATTGACACTGATGTTTCAGACGTTGAGGAGGAAGATGAGGAAATGGAGGCGGAGGAGCAAGGCGAAGAAGATGGAGCTGCCGAAAAAGTACGTGAGCAGTGGCTGTGACGCACATCGAATGACGCTGCCGGGTGATTTTAGGGGTTGAGTGTAAGTACACATGTGTGTTTTCAGGAAAGCGAGGAGGAGGAGGAGGAGGAGGAGGAGGTGGGGAACCTGCAGCTTGCCTGGGAGATGTTGGAAGTTGCTAAAGTCATCTACAAAAGGTAATGGACCCCCCCCCCGCAATGCCCAATGGTGACTATCTGAGCTGCAGCCTCCACGTTAACTGATTCCTTTGTTTAACAAGGAAAGAGAACAAGGAGGATCAGCTGATGGCGGCCCAGGCTCACTCAAAACTGGGTGAAGTTTCTTCTGAATCAGGTACTAAGATTACTGCACCATTCCATGCAAAGATGGTTACCTAATAAATAAATAAATAAATAAATAAATAAATTGTTTTAAGATGCAACTAAAATAAAACATGCATGCCTGAAAGAGTTGGCTTGGTTTGTATTTCCCTGAGAAAAGTGAGTTGCTGCTTGTCTTCCAGGAAATTACACTCAGGCGTTGGAGGATTTCCAGGAGTGTCTGAAGCTGCAGGTGAAGCACCTGGACGCGGACAGCCGCCTGCTGGCTGAGACTCACTACCAGCTCGGCCTGACCTACAGCCTGGACGTCCAGTACGGCCGGGCCATCGAGGAGCTCAAGAGCTCCATCTCAGTCATAAAGAGCCGACTGGGTAAGCATGCGCCCCCCCTTACCCGTCGGGGTAAGAAGGCCCCCCCCCCCCCCCCCCAACTCGGACGGTTTCCATGCCAACGTTGTGCATCATTTACCTCCCCCACGGCAGACAAGCTGCAGGAGCTGCTCAACAAAGCCGAGGGGCCCGACGCGCTGCCAGATGAGAGGAAGGAGATGGAAGAGCTGAAGGCTCTGCTGCCAGAGATTCAGGAGAAGGTGGAGGACGCCACGGAGGGCCTGAAGATGACCAACGCTGCTGCTGAGGACGGGACGGGTGCAGCGGTAAGTCGGGGGTCTGAAGAGGGCTGCTTGGGCACTTCATAACGACAGCGAGGGGGAACGTGGAGATGTTTCTGACATGTATTAAAGGCTTTTAATTCATGTCAATTCATATTCATGGAGGGTCTTTTTGCTGATTCTTTCGACAAACTGGTTTTGAGTGGCAAGAACTTGCGTTTTCAGTATTTACTGCTCATTGAGTGTTCAACTGGGTAAAAAGATTTTTCACAGTAAGCTTTACTTTTTTTTTTTTTTTTTGCATTCAATGCTCGGAAACATTTCAACTGACACCTGCTAGTGTTTTGTTTTTTTTGTTTTTTTTTAAGCTAGAAGATCCACTTTAGACCCAATCTCCGCCTTACTATGAGTGTAAATCAACAAGACCAATTGTGTTGATTGTGACGTAATTTGAAATTTGCCTGTCAGGACGGAGGCTCTACCTCTTCCGCGTTCCCCGTCTCCGTTATGAAGAGCGCCGACTCGTCGTCCAGCTCAACGGTAGGTCTCGTCCTGTTGTAGGAATATTAGACGGCTGTACCTGCTACGGGGGAATGAGCAGTTTGGTGTGATCGCTTTGAACCCTCGCTGAGTAGTGACACGTCTGGAACCATTGTCCTCCACCCAGTTTGCCGTCACGTCGACCAGCGCTGTCGGCTCCACCAATGGACACGCCTCCAAAGCACCGGTGTCAGACATCTCCCACCTGGTCAGGAAGAAGGTGAGAGCCGTTTTCTTGGGATTAAGATGAATCGCACAACAGATTTGTCTTGCTTGAACCAATGCCTGTGTATTTCAGAGGAAACCCGAGGAGAGTCCGGTGAAGGAGGGCGCTGTGAAGAAGGCGAAGCAAAGCGATGGCGAGTCCAGCGACGTTCACAAGGCCAACCGAGACACGAACGGACACGCCGACAGCACGGAAGTCGAGAGGTAGGAGACTACACAGAAATAAAACAAATCTACGTGCTTTGAGTGGCGGAGCCGTCTAACTCATCATCTTCTCCTCCAGTCAGTGAAATCGGTGATCTTTGCCTCCACCCAAGAAGAGATTCACACACACACACGACGGCCGCCAACTGTCGCTCCACCTGTTTGCTGCTGTAGATATGAGCCTTTTTTCTATGACTGTTGTGATGTCAGTGTTTAACATGTGTAACCTTAAGTTCAATAAAGCGTGATTTGATAAATCTTTGTCTTACTTTGGCATTTTCAAAATTAAACTGTTCTGCTCCAGAAGGTGTGAATATCACCCTGATGTGTTCAGAGAGAACTGGTCTGTGGACTAGTTGGGATGCAGTTTAAATATCATTATGAACACTTGTGGGTATTTCCTTTTTAATTCGGGATTCAACATGACGACCCAGTTACTGTTTGTAAAATCGACTTAATTGTTGCATAAACCAAGTAAATTGTACTGAACTCACATGTGCCGCTTTGGTTTACATCTTGTACGACATACTGCACACTACAGGAGTCTGAAGTCTGCAAAAGAAGCAAACACTTAATCTGAGGAACCGAAGCAGTGATCAAAGATTTATTTAAACATTACATATTGTCATCGAAGCATGCGTTTATATTGTAATTGCCTGGAAGGAGTTTGAATCAAGGGGTAAAAATATAAAACACCTGGAACTCTTCATTGCCATAAGTTGAAGTGTTCCGTATTTACACCTACCAGGTGACCAGTCAAAAGCCGTGGAATCTTTATAAAACGTAGATTTAGCATCACATTAAGCGGTGAACTGTCATATGGATCCATCAGTTCTGCAAGTAGATTTTCTTGGATAACCGGATTTCTGCAGTAACTTAAGTCCAAACTCAGGAAAAGTTCTACGTCAGGCTCTTGAGAATTTGTTCCTGCATTACCCCCCTAAACATCGTTGGTCTGCTCGCACACTGAGCTCCATTCCTCATGAAGCAAGTCAAATATAGGCACCGTTTCAGGGGAAACTAGAGCCTTTGTTCTTGGCAGTGGACGACGTGCCCGCGTCTTCACGAAGCATTTTAGTGAACATCCATGATCTCACCACACGAGGCGGTGTGGATTCAAACACCACAGTAGCCAGATTCATATTGAAACATATCAGCTTGTCAGGAACCAATTTTTATTAATATCATTAATAATGTGTCATCAGCATCATCAATGAAATGAGTTAGTCCGTTTAAAGAAGAATCAAGTGTGCATTCATTGCCCTTCTTTTCTTGATGAACACATCAGTTCCACAAAGCGAGGAAGAAAAAGGAAGAACGGGTGGGGGTGTGAGTGTGAGGGGGGGGAACTGGGTCGGATACGACCGAGACTGCAGTGAAGGAGGAAACGCAGGGAAAACGACGTCTGGCGGAGCAGGAATCTCCCCCTTCACTGGGATATGATTGGTTTTTCCCTTGTGCAAGAATGACAAAAAAAAAACAAGAATTCAAAATGGTGCTCTAAAAAACAAAGATGAGAGGAAGAGGGGGATTTGCTTGCTGGGATGTTTTGTTGGCATTTGTGTTGTTGGAGGTTTTGTTCCGTGAAGCCACGTTAGGATCTGATGCAGTCGTCGTCGTCGGAGGTCTGGCTGCTGCTACTGGTTTCGGACTCTGAGCCCTCCTCGACGTTCGCCTCGGCCACACTCCTCCAGGGGGTGAAGTGGAGGGTCACGCCTCGCGCCCTCGGCAGGAGCGCCCCGTTCCTCTGCATGCCGTTCCTCTTCAGCTGGTCAAACAAAAAACGGTTGGTGAGGACCAGAAAACCGACACGAGGGCGTTGCAGTGACACGGGTGGGTTTTTTTTTCCCCCCTCAGCTCACCTGTTCGGTTTTAGTCTGGAACTCTCGCAGCTCGTCCTCGGTCAGAGGCAGGAAGTTGTCGTCATTTTCTGGGTACTCCTGCCAGCCCATGGCCTTCAGCAACCTTCAAGAGCAACGAGACGTTCTGCTTAGTTGATTATGATGAGAGCGTGGGTGTGTGTGTGTGCGTGCGTGGAGGCCTGTGACCTACCTGTGCTCCGCCTCCAGGGAACTCGACAGGTGCTCAGTGTCAGAGTCACTGAGCGAGTAGGACAGACCATTCTCGTGGCACACTTCCTCGCTGTAGGCTTTGGGCTCCGGGGTGCTGCTTTCACCCTGAGACAGTTCACACAACACAATCAGTCATTTCCAAATGCAACACGATACAAAAAATGAATCATTTGGCCGTTGGATTTTGCAGACCTTTATATACCAACGGCCTTTATGTGTGGGGGGAAAAACAAAAAACTTCTCATTGTGGACAGAAATGACAGAAAGAAGTGAAGTTGCGGCCTACTTCTCCCGATGTTCCCGGGCTGCTGCTCGTCACCAGCTCTCCGGTGCCCTCGTCCTTCAAAGCTCGCAAGAACTCACTCTTGCGGTCCGGACCGCGCCGCATTAGCTTCAGCCTCGACGGGGCGATGTCTATGGGAGGAGTCGTGCTGGAAGGGTGCTGCGGGAGTGAAGGGGGCGCAGGAAGGGAGAGAGAAAGTTAAAATGAGTGCGTACAGTGTTACGTTCTGATGGTTTTGCTCATTAGTGCTCTTCGAGGGAGGAAAGGTTTGCAAGCCGCCAAAGGGACTCAGGAGGAGCCGGCAATGTTAAAGCCTCAGAGATGACAGCGCACTTGAAATGCACAATGTTTTCGGTCATGCTTACGTGCTGAGCCAACTTGCTTACATGTGGTTATTGGAATCAATGCTTTTCATATTAAAAGACTTATTTAAAATGAAAAGAGGAGTGTGTTCAACTTGTTGACGGATGAGTCAGAACTTAATGAAATATTAAGATCCACCAACTCCCTGAGTTGCCAACATGTTAAATAAAAACGTGTGATGTTACTCAACATTGCTAATCTTGAACTTCACAGGTTTGCTTGCTGTGTAGTTTTAAAAATCGCGTTTTAGGTTTGGAAGTTCCCTTAACGCCTGCTGTAATGGCAGGAAAAGTCCAGTCGTCCGTCCCCTCTTTTCTACCTCTTTCGAGTTGAAGTGCTGTGGTGCACTGACTGGGGGGCTGGGTTTGGCTGCAGAGACGGGGCTGGTGAACACGGAATCTCGGCCCGGCATGTGAAGGCCAGACTTTGTGATCTCTCTCCCACCGGATTTCCACTGGGTGCTCTGGGGAAAAAAACAAAACAAACAGGAGACACACAAAGATGAGCGTCCATCGCGTCATGGCAGCCACTTGAAAACAGTCATTTGACACGTCACAGCAAGTCCTACCTTGGTGGGGGCCACAGCAGGCTTTGGGACCAGGTTCTTGTAGATGCTGGAGCCGGAAATGGGAACTTTGCTGCCATTGGTGGGCAAGGGGCCGGCAGTGGCGAACCCGGCAGAGAAGGCCGTGCCGGAGTCCTCCTTGGAAAGCTTCTTGATAACCAGCATTTTGGACACCATCTGTTTGCCACTAGGGGGGTTTTCTGGAACATCACGAGTGAAGAAAAGTTTGTCAAGTTCAAAAGAAAGTTTCTGCCGGAGCTTAAATATTTTAACGGTCGGTTGTTTTTTTTACCCCAAACTCCAGCATGGGGAGCCACTGCTCGCATCGGAGTTGCAGGCTTTCCAGTTGCTTCAGGGTTGAGGGAAGGCTAAAAGAAATTTAAATATATTCAAAAAAAAAAAGTCAACATAAAATATTCTGAGCATTTTGTTGTCGACAGGTGAGCTTGATGAAGGGAAACACTTTGCATCACGCAGTAAATGCGAGGTCTTTTAAAAAAAAAAGAATTTTTATTTTATTTTATTCAGAAATGACTGAATTCCGAAACCCCTTCATTAAACAATCTAACCGGTTAAGCCACCGACTGTGTATCCCATCAGGCATCAAGGCCCCGTCTGAGGCGTCTACTTACAAAGTCCTCTTCCACAAACTTCAGCTTGTCGTCCTTGCCGTCCTTGCGTTCCTCGTTGGGGAACTTGTCCTGGTACGAGGGGCCCTTGCGGGGATGAAAGTTGCCGTTGCGCTGCCGGTGCCCCACCTGCCTGTCCCTCTCGACCCCTACCCGTTTGGGGTGGCGTCCCTGGTGGTGGTGGCCGTGGTGGCCGTGGTGGTGGTGGCCGTCCTGGGCCCCCCGTGGCGCTCCATGCCAGCTGGGCGTTTCCTTCCAACAGGAGCCCCCCGCCAGCCCCCCGTGCCCTCCTTTGGCCACCCCCGAGTCCACCGAGTCATGCCTCAGAAGCAGAGAGGGCTGCTGCCATCCGTCGCCTCGAGAGAGAGAGAGAGAGAACAGACAGGGTATGTGAGAACGCTGCCAAAGGGCTGAATACCAGCAAACTACGGCTTCAGAAATGAAACAGAAAAAAATAAATAATTTCATATCTTATTGCTTTTCTAAAAGACTCTTGTTTTGCAGATAACATGAAAACAAAAAAACTTTCTGCTTCTACAGGGAGGAAAGCCAAGTGAAGAGAGGGGCAAGTCCTGGAGGACAAATGGACGAGGAACCTGTAAAACAGGAAGCTTAACTCATTAACTCCTGCCTGGAAACAGAATTTTACCACTGCACCTGAATGCATCCTGGTTGTACAACCGATCAACAAAACAAAACCGTTCATCCGGAACAGCAATGCTGCAGAAACGGAGACAAAATATAAGTGAATGGAAATATGAGATTTCACCAAACCACAAAGGAGGATCGTCAGCGGACTGATGACTACCGAGGCGTCACCCACCGGGTAGACGCTTCAGTAAGGGAAAGCATTCCAGCGCAGTCGGCAAAACTACCGTTTGAATCGTTATTTCCATCCTGAAGGCTCAATGAAAGGATCCTTGTATTAACTTAAAGTGGAGACCATTCAAGGTCTCTCAACTCTACTCGTTCACACCACCAATTCAGCCGATGTAATAACCTTTAACTATGAACAGCTGCGACAAATAGATCAATAAAGTATCTTTATCATCCACGAGTTCAGCTGGCGGCTTGAGACATTCCGGCCGAACGCTGAAAAGTTGCAAATGTGCCTCTCTCCCTCCGTCCTCGTGAGAACTAAAGTTACAATGAAAATAGCCAAAAGATCAAAAACACCCCGAGTCATTTCTACACATAGAAATATACACAAAGCGCGTTGATCTGCTGATAAGACGTCTTGTCTCGAATGGATCTGAAAAAGTAACAACTAGTTGATAACTAGCAAGCTAAAATGTTACTGCTGCGACAGAAAGCATTTTTTGGGCAGTGAGCAAACAGCTCCAGCTGGTGCACCACCACCACCACAACAGGTGGAGAGCGGCCCTGATTCGCATATTGATGGGATACGCAAGCTGGATCGTAATCACACTTGTAATCCGTCCCACAGACACACTGCTGAAAAGCCTGGCGTGGAGTTTATCCTGGTGATTGACCGACTTGGTCGCTGACAGGCTTTAATCCAAACATACATTTAAAAAAGGGCCTCCACCCCCCCCACACACAGGCGTTTCCACTTATGAATCTGACTGCGCCTCTTCTCAGGACGGTGTTGATGTGCACAAACTGCACTCGGTCGGCGTTTTCCCTTCATCTCTTTCACGGATATTAAACCGTATCGTTTTGGTGACATCACACATTTCCCGCTTCAGTATTTCTGTACCAACTGTAGCGGCGCTTTGACTGCCGGAGCCTCTGATGCGTTCACTACCTGCTGGAGCGCGCAGGGCGCCGTTGTTGAAGAAGCCATCGGAGGAGTTGTGGCGGCGGCGGCTCACAGCGGGTCTGCCGTCTCTGTGGTGGTGGGGATCCCCTTGTTTGTCAAGGTTGGCAGCAGGGGACTGGAGGGAGAGGGGGGGGGGGGAGTGGTGGTCAGTCAGAGAGGGACCGATCACTGGGACAATGAATGGCAAAACTGCACTTATCCCTCAACGGCATTTCAGGGAGTTGCTTGTTTTCGCTCTGCATAGTACGCGAGCAGAAATACGCTCCATACTTAGGAGTTCCTCTCTTACTACCTCAGAGACCTTGAACAACTCCAAAGGAAAGAGTCACTATGGGGATCTATTCTTGGTGAACCAGAGGAAAAACCGTAGGAGCTGAAAGCAACCTGGGAAGGCTCCGTCGTGAGACGTGTGCGGCCATGAAAGCAGTGTGGCGTAATAATCTCGACTCTATCTGGATCATATCCTTGGCATGAGCCGGGGTTCAAAGATTAAATTAGACGGTGCCCTTCGGCCTATCTCTGCCAGGCGTCATGTCAACGAGGTTTTCTTCGAACAAAAAAAATAAAAAATAAAAGGACATTGAACTCTGGCAAGTGAATGTAGGTTAATCCCCGAAGACCATTGACGCTGAGCTGAAGTCGTCCGTCAGCAGGACAAACTGAGCGCTAGTTTCTTCGACTCCTCTCTTGGCTGAGCGACTTCCTTATTTACAGTTTACACTGAACACTGACAGTTCAGACAGATTGGCCGAGTCAACTCTATACAATTATTCCACAATACATTTAAAATGTGTCAACATAAATTTGGATGTATTGTGTTTTTGTACATTATTCAGTTAAATGTGTCAAATACATCCGAGTTGCAGCCACATCCCAAATGACGCCCGGCAATTTAAAATAACTGGTGTGATTGTGGTTTTCTCGTTACTCAATCAGAGCCTTCGTGGGTGAGAATAAAGTTTGGGGGCAAGTAAGTCTAAAACAAACGGAACCATATTGGTTGAATCAACTCTAATCAGTGCTCATTATATTTGGTTAAATAGCCTCTGAAGAAAAAAAAAAAAGCTATCTCACAAATGTTAAACAGCGAGGCTCCTCGTCAGCTACCAAACATCTGAATGGATAACACAATAACTGGCGTGAGCGCTCAGTCGCCAATAAACCTCCCATTTGCTTCATCGTCAGTCACCGTGCTCGTCATACTTTGGCCTTCCTGCCTCTTATTTCGTCGTGTCAGGACATCTCACCTTGCATTAAGTAAGATTTAACCTTCATTGCAGTTTGTGGTTTTTACTTAGTCAACGTTCCACTGCTGTGCTAGTCACCTGTTATTACTTTAATATTAACGTGCTGTGCCAACAAAGCAGTCAGAATGAATAAAGGGATGGCAACATAATTGTAATTTAGTTGTATTAGTGGCCTATCAGAAGGATAGAAAGATTAATCTCTGAAAATGTCAATCTGACCTCAAAAATCGGTGCAGAATTTATTCTTCATTTTAGTCAGCTGCAGGAATCAAGCAGTTTGGAAAAAAACAACTAATTTGTTTGCAACATTTGGTCAGACATCATTGGGATACAGTCTGCATACTACCATATCAAGTTGTGAATTTAATACCATTATTATGTTTAAAACTCAACATCTAAAGTTAGACCTACCAGGTATTAAATATGTTCCTTGTTTTTCTCCTTAGCAGTAACAGAGCAAGTAAAGCTCCGAAGCAAGAAACCCCAAAACCTTCCATCATCATCATCAGTCTATTTCATTGGCGTCCTCAATGCCTCGGTGACACAGTGCTGAATGTGTCACTCAGGTGTAGAGAAACACACTTGCATCTGGTGTTTGAGCACAGACACTGGGAATTACAACTTCACGCTCAATTTTAAATATCCACCCCAATGACAAACTGGCCCACAGTGGTTCATACAGCACTACACACCTTGGCAGGCTGGGGCGTGGAGAAGTTAAGCCAGGCAGGGACAAAGTCATGCTGCGCCATTTAGGTCCAGTGTTTCCGGTCAGTGGATCGAGGCATCAAACCTCATGGCCAGGATCTAACAAGAGGGACACGTAAAGAAGGACATCTTTAAAACAGATACGGCTAATTCGAGCCCAGACACAGGAATTGTGTCCCCCCCCCAACAGCAGTTCTTTAAAAATTATGTGGATATTAAAAGTCTCCTGCAAGAGCATAAAAGAGTTCTATTCTTAGCAGAAAACAACAAAGCTCAACTTGCTGCAGCTTTTAAGCTGATAACTGGTGACAGCCTGGATGGAAAATATTTTTACAGCATAGTTCTATTCTTCAACATATGTGATAAAAAAAGGTTTTAAAAGTACATAGCTCTTTCCTCTAAAGCCATTGTGCACCAAGGCGGCGGAAATAAACACCTGCTACCCGCAAAGTGTTGACAAAATGACCACAGCAAGTCATGATTACCCCAGAGTCTGTGGCTCTGAAGTCCTCTGCCTCCTCGCTCGGTCCGGCTGGGCTCGGTTCCTCGGGCTGCTGGCACTGATCACAGAGCGACAGACGGGGAGCAGCACAGTGACACCCCCCTCTCCAACTCCTGCAGGACAGCGCAGCCCTTTTCCCAGAGGCAGATCCCTTTCGTCCAGGATGAAACACTGAACGATGGGTCAACAGGTTGCAACCCATGGGAAAAAAAAAAAAATGATGTGGCGATCCGGAAAACTGTCCGGGCAAAGTAGTGGGGCAGTGCTCTGCGAGAGGACCGATACAACCCGAATCAGAGTTCCAAACTGCTCGTGTGGAGGTCACGTCTCGGATGATTTCTGTGTGCCACTTTGTCCAATCCAGGTATTTCTCCCCCCTCCAACCCCCCCACAGGCAGACTCCTTCCTTCACCAATTCATTCGAGCCATTATCGGTTATTATCAGGAGACTCAAAGCCTGATTGGATTTTATGCTGGATGGTTAAATTAGTTGAGTTTGAAAGGTGATGCGCGCACCCCCCCCCCCCTCCCCTCCCGCACCACGATCAGAAAGACCCGGGTTGTTTGATTACTGAAATAAGGAAGTAGTCCGAAAGTTGTTCGCCCTGGATAGCGGACACCAGATGGAAGGAAACCGACAGGCGTTATCCTGCCAGAATGCTTTTGCGTCGACTCCCCTTTAACGAATCATTTTAAGATCTACCAAAACACATGCAGAAAAGAAAAATGAGCTACGAGTATTTTATTGGCAATGGAGGTCACTGAGAACCACTGCTCACCTCATTAAACTGATGAAAAAGACTGACCGGGTTTGAAAAAAATAATGCTCAATGGTTTAAAGTCACATGACAGTGAAGGAAGTAAATCGCTATGTTACATCGCCGTCATTGTCGGTTTGGGTTAGTGAAATAGGGATGCCGCTGGAGGATACATTATTATGCCAATTTTATCTTTATAGGTTTTAATATCACATTTGTAAGACGCCCATTTAATTATATGCCGTTTTCTGATTGAAGCAGGTAAAGGGTATAGCGCCGATTTCATAGGTATGGAAGCAGAAAGCTCAAAAGCTTAACAAAAACCTTCCACAAGTCCAAAGATCTTTGTGTCTTATGACAAAAGTTCCTCAGCAAAAATCAGACGCGTCAAAAAAAATTATTCCTCAAGGAAGCTCAATCAACTTCTTTTTTCCATATGAAGATCCAAGATGGTCAAGTGAGTCTCTCCTTTCCTTCTTCAATGAGCTTTTTCCTCCCACGCGAAAGGTGCAGTGCGGTGAATTTCAGTTTTCTTGCTGACGGTTCACTGGTATTTGCTCCTAAACACACTGGACCTGCAATAAAGAATAACAAGCCGAATTAAGAAAAGAAAAAAAATCTCAAAGCAACAGGTGTATTTACACTGCCGGCCTATTTGGTACACCTGGCTTACTAATACCAGTCAAGTCCTCCAAAGAAAAAAAATAAATTAAGTCGTACATTCAAGAAAATGTCAATGATTCGACTGTACACTTATTTGGGATTTTGTTATAAAAAATAAAATAAAAAAATAAAAAAAAAGGAGTCCATAACCTAATAAGAAGGTTCCAAAATAACTATTCCATTACATTCACATCTCTCTGTAAAAGATGAACTGCATGGATTTGGTATTAGACCGTTATGTTAATATTAAGTTAGACTTCTATTTATTCAGTTTTACCTGCGCAACGGCCAAAGATCTGTCAGATGTGTCAGACATTGAACCCCAAAATAGCTTCAAGACACAACAAGACATGTAAATTAACTACCTTTGACACAAAATACGTTGAGAGAAATGTTTAAAAAAAACAATCTTGCAACCATTTTGAGCTGAATGCATGCGGTCTTTTGCAAAAAAATTGCTTCGACTTTAAGTGAATTATTTATAAGAATGTAAAAATAACTCGAACACTTCTCCCCGGGGTACTGGCAGTGAGTGCAATGAAAGATGAAAACGAAGTTTACAATCTCTGAGAAGATTATATTCAATCTCAGTATAGAATTGACCTAAAACACCTAAAACAAAATCAATCTCCGTGTGCACAAACAGCTACCGTGCACATTCCTCCGGACACAGCAGCTCAACACCACAGACATCTAACACTCGTCTCAGAGGAATGACAGCGACACGATACTTGGGGCAGAGCACCCAGTTTGACGTTGTTATCCCACGTGGACATGTGCAAAACGTTGCAGTTAGATCAATCCAACGCACAGGAACGTTACATGCACGTTTACCAAGCTAACTGACGTTAGCCGAGTGATGCTATACCACAAACTGCATGGAAATCAATGAACAGTTTACGACTCAACACGGTAGTGGTGTTATATAGTCGACGTTAATCTGGAACTACGCACGTTAACGTTATCAGATCTTTCCCCACTTTGCTGTGGGCCAACTCTGCTTAGTTAGCTAAGGTTAACGTTAGCGTAGCATTTGTTAGCTAGTAGATAGCGTTACCCAGCAAGTAACGTCCACCAGCTAAAACTGCTAGGTAGTTGAAATCAATCAATACGGTTCGAGGGCTTAGCATTGTAGCAACGTACTCGATATGCTCGCGGGGGTTGAAACCGTATATTTAAGTAGCTGTCACGTACATACAATAGAGGTAAACAGACCTGGCTTCGTTGGAACAACACAATTTCAAAATGGCTACCCTAGCAGCGGCAGCACACATTTATCAGCTTGCTAAGTGCTAGCGAGCTAACTTGCAGTGTTTCATGACGATACCGCGTACCTTCTCCTAGGCAGCATAACCTCCGATGGATATTGACTGTAGCATATATAGAATCTGAATACATTAACCAGACTGCGCCTCTTGGGCAACTACACACTTCTTTACCAACAGGCGATTGATGTTTGTTTGGATTTTCGGAGGGCTTACCACTGGCGCTGCCACTATGGGACTGAACAACCTCAATGAAGCTACGTTCAAGATCCGTCGGGATTATGCAGCCTAACGAGGTTTCATAGTGTTTTTAAAGGGAAACAGGATTAGGAGTTTGCGTCTTTAAAACATTTCTGTTCAAATAAAACAACGTTTTCTTAGGCGAAAAATGACATTTAAAAAGAAACAATGATATACATTCTAAAACACGTTGTTGGTAGAACACGTTCGTGGGTTTTGTCATCTTGAACACAACGTAATACCATCACAGACAGCCCTACTAGTCGATTTACTTTTTGGCTTCATTCAGTATGCTTTTAGGCAGGCATTTAGTAGAGTGCCGATAGAATGGTAGCTTGCAAACGACCTTTAGCTAAGTTTGTTAACTTTAACTGTGCCTACTTACTCCATGCAATTGTGCGTACAGTGACTGTGCCATACCATCGATTGAAAAGCAATTACGGCGGTACGGCTTTGATAATTGCAACGCTATGTTTAAATGGTTGTTACAGTTGTATAGCTCTGTATTGCATCAGGTTGAGATTATGTATGCTAGCTGTTATTAGCTCCACCGGCAGTCTGGTTTGTGCTTTACGGGGTATTTTTTTATAACCAATGAATATCGTCTCTTTTTCAGGTTGAGGATGATTAGATTTGCATCTGAAAGCCGCGTAATACTTTCTGGGGTAAGAAAGATACGTTGACTGATCAATGCAGCATATTTTCTCACGAGTACAGATAAATACTGTGTGTGCCAGTATCATAACAAGACGTTCATCATGTTTATGTCTGGGTCCAGACAACTAAATAGGCCCACTCGCGTCACAAATGAAGAATTCTGTCTGACATCAGCCAATAATGTTTATGTCTGATTATTCATTTCTCAGGTCCCAGTATGGAGATGTCTTCAGCAGACCGTCAGAGCGCCAAACATCGAGTTAAACGCTCAGCTGCCCTTTCAGTCCAGGCCCTCCTCGAGGTTAATGCCTTCCACGATAACTGCCACCAACATGTTGCGCATCAGGCCAGTGAGCTGGCGAGTCACGCGTCTCTGCCACAGGGACCCACGAGGCACCTCGGATAGAGGCGACCTTAAGGAGGGTTTCAGCTTGAGGGCCCTCGGCCAGGCCCCAAAACCGGCCCTCTACCTCGGTGTTTCGGGGCTCATCCCTTTCCTGTTTGCACCTCTCTCTATGGCTGCCACACAGTCCTTCTACCCTGAACTGGCATGTGCTCAAGTGGTCTATGGAGCCTGTATCGTCTCCTTTCTGGGAGGCGCCCGCTGGGGGTTCGCCCTCCCCGCCGGTAGTCCCGCTCAACCTGACTGGATGAACTTGGGCAACAGTGTGGTGCCTTCCCTTCTGGCCTGGCTGGCACTGCTCTGCAGGGACAATTTTGCAGAGGGAGCGTTGGTAGTAATTATGGGACTGGGTCTCTCTCTGCACTATGACCTGACCCTGCTGCCGGGATACCCTTCCTGGTTCAAAGCCATGCGAACTGTCCTCACTCTGGTGGCCACCTTCTCACTGGTTGCCACCCTTGTAATTAAAGAATTCTACCCCGAGAAGAAGATCAAAGACATTCAGAACTGAGTGGAGGAAAGTAGTGAGCCATTGGGACACAAATATTGGGAATACGAATGTGGAGTTAGATGCAGATGTGCAGCATGGTTGGTTTATACAGTACGCAACAGCGCAGCAGTAGTTTTATCTACAATACTTTTTAATATATTTTGGAAGACATGTACAGATGTAGAATACCATTTAGAAAGTGAAGAACAGATGCAAAATAGGCACAGAAATGTCCTGCTAGTTTAAAAACAAAGAAACCGTAGAACAGGACAGACTTTGAAACGAAAGAATCGTCAGAAAACATTTGTAAAATCACTTTTTGCCACAACACTAACCCTTACTGAAATGTCATTTTTCATGTGCAAACTAGGAAAAATAAACATTGGACTATTTGCAAACCCTTCTTTCGTCAGTAGTGTGGCTCTAATAATAATGTTAACTAATCCAAAACATCCTCGTCGATCGGTTTAATTGGTCACATAAAGATGTTTATATCTTCACACATCACAAGCTGAGGGTAGAAATGTATCTCAATGAGTTTTACCGTAGAGCGAAAGAGTAAATGTCCTGTGTACATTGTGAGGATGGACTTACGCACAAATCAATGAAATGTTACAGCGGAAGTCTTGAGCCTTCTCTTCAATTTTTAAAATGTGAACATTTGTAAATAAGGAGGAGAGGTAACATAGATTACCTTTAAACCCAGCAAGAACATGACACCTTTATGGAGTTTATTAAGCTTGTAAACAATGTTAGAAAGATATTACCATTGACTCAATTGACTGTAAATGTTCAATAGCTTCAGTCAGCTTGCAATTTTGATAAACTCCCAAGATCTAGAGGAAACATGATATACCTTCCATAAAAAAAGGTAAACATATCTCTACATACCGGTATGGACACAGTCCTACAGAAATGTTGCAAATCTCAACATCAGAAGGTTGAAATCTAAATTTTAGTAATGTCTGGTGACACTGAGTGAAATGACAAGACACAACTGAGAGTAAAAAGTGGTTAAGAGGCACTATTATATACAGTATCATTTATATATATATATACACAAAAATAATCCAGTGGAAACTACTGTGTGATAACTGCACTGGTGTGAAAACTGTTCAAGTTTAGAATTGTTCACAGTAACCACTTACCATGAAACTTTGGTTCCATTATTAAGCTCAAGTGGTTCGATAAATCTTTCAAGTAGCAACGCACTCACTTCAAACATTTCTTTAAGAAAAAAATCAAGAGAAAACAAACAATAACTGTGCTTTCACGTCTGTTCCCAAAAGGAGTCTACTTAAGAAGCAGAACCCCCCAAAAATAAATCCTCTGCTATGAACAATGTCCTTATTGCAAGGATCACTTTGTCTTCCAATAGGAGCTTCTTTTCCACTGATATTCCTGCAAAGGTATTTAGTGAGTTGAAAATAGAGACACTGATAAGTCTTATAGCAGTCTACGGTGTTTTGGCAGTTTCAGATCTGCTGTCGAACGTTCTGGACAGATAAAACGGAAAGACACGTCTAACCCATTTATAAATAACATCTATGATCGAGTGAAAGCCTCCAGGGACAAAATCACCATTATGTGTTAAGGTGCAGCTTTTTTTTCTGCTTTTTTTAGTCAATGCAGTTTTGGTATGATTCAAGTGCTGATATGGATGTCCACGACTGGAATATTCCCGGCTATCAGAGCACGGCTAACCCGCCGTCACAGCGGCTGGTGATCATGTTGCCAACTTCGGTCCAGGTATCCAGGTGAGGGTCGTAGATCTCCACCGAGTCCACTGTCACCGGGGCTGAGAAGTCGCTGCTGGCGGCCCGCCCGCCGACGGCGTAAAGCAGCCCGTTGACAGCTGACACCGACACGCCCGCACGAGCAGTGGACATCGGAGCCACCTCGACCCACTTCTCCTGTAGAAAGAGCAGCACGGCGGTGAGGAGACTGTACGGCGGCGCGGATACGACAGGAAACGTGAATTAGGTGAGGTAGGTGAGTGTCCCACTTCACCTCTTCTGGACAGTACTTCTCCACCGTCTCCAGGGACCCGAGGGCCTCGTTCCAGCCGCCCACCGCGTAAATGCAGTTGCTGAGGCAGGCGACGCCCACGTATGCTCGCCGTGTGTCCATAACGGGCAGAGCGCTCCAGCGGCGGGAGATGGGGTCGTACACCTCGGCTGAACGCAGCTCCATCCCTTCGTCGCTGATTCCCCCGATTACGTATACAAACCCTGGAGAGGGACGACGTCGTTACTCATCAGTAAAGAAATGCAGGGAACCAAAGTGAGAAGTGCAGTTCAGTGGAATTTGGAAGTGTAAAACTAGCTGGAGAAAAGCACTTCACTTCCCTTATCACTTGCATTGTACACATGGCATTTTCAAACAAAAAACGGGAGGAACCCACCTTGCAGCTCACAGCAGCCGAAATAATAACGAGGAACTGCCATGCTGCCGATTACCTCCCACTTGTTCTCCTCTGGGTCGTATCGCTCCATGGTCTTCCCAATCTCGGAGCCAATCCAACCTCCTACGGAGACACAGCGCGATGATCAGCTTATCCTCGCCACAGAACATGTTACCGGCTCTCACAGAATGAATAGCACAAACCGGCAAACTGAGCGTCACGTGTCAAAAATCAGTGCTTTTAAAATGGTGATGTGGTGTCATTTACCGAGTGCATACAGAGCCCCGTGGCAGGGGCAGACACCGACCCCACAGCGCGGAAAGTTCAGCGACGCCACAGCGGCCCACTGCTTGGTCACTGGGTCGTATCGCTCAGTGCAGTCAAAAATCATGGAGTCTTTCTCCCCTGGGGCAGAAAAAAAGGGATTCCTTGTCAGACTGAAGATGGATGACACCATTTTACTTTTACACAAACGAAAGACGACCTCGTCTCTCTCACCTCCCACCACGTAGATCATGCCCTCCAGCACGGCGACCCCCACGCCGCTGCGGGCCTGGTGCAGGGACGACACGGTGGTCCAGTACTGGTTGAAGGTGTCGAAGCGCTCCACGCAACTCAGCGCCCGGCTGTCGCTCCAGCGGCCGCCCTGCAGCCGCGTGTAGCCCCCTGCCACCGGGAAATCCAGTAAAAGTCCAAGATTGAATGGCATTTCATATCGCAGCGGGTTACTTTTCCACGTTGATACAAGGTTTGAAACGAACCAATGGCATAGAGGTATTTCCTGGCCTTCCTTCGGGGTCTCATCTTGGCAGGTTGGAGCTGACTGTACATCTTGTTTTCTTTGGGAGACTTTGTAACTTCAGTGTATTCCTTCAGCAGCGTCTGCAGTGCCACCCGCAGGCTGAAGTCCGAAATACCTTTGATAATAGTCAAAATGTCATACACCTCAAGATGTTGTTTACCATACTGAGCAAATCAATTATATAGCAATATTGTGAATATAAATAATATAAAAAAGGTATGTCAGGTATGTGAAACATGATGTTTCCTTCACCCTCTATGTACTTGAAGAGCCTCTGTGGAGAAAGCAGAGGGAAGCGCACTGGTTCCAACACCTCCACGACATGTTTTTTCCTTTTTGCCACATCTTGGAGGACCCAGTCCATGGCTATTGTGAATACCTGGTACTCATCCTCAATCCTCAGCTCTTCACTTCTCAGCAGCCTCACCAGCTGCTCCTTTGACAAGCCCTTGAACTCATCGGTGACACACACCTAAAAGGAGGCAGTTGATGGAGGAGGTCTGTAAGTATCAAACTTGAACAAAATCAGTGGGATTTGGAGCATTTTTGGCAAAATAAATGGTGAAATTTTGATCAAATGCTGACTGCGTTCACTAAGGACATACTAAGAGAAGATTTCATGTTTATCTAGAAGACCACCATGTACATATACCCCTGGGGGTAAGTATTGTCATGCAGTATGCAGTACCTCTTACTGTTTCATACCTCCAGAAAGTGAACATGAATGTAGTTCTCAGTAAACTCTAACATGTCCATGCAGGCGATCTGCTCCAGGAACTGAAAGATGCCCACACAGTTGGACGGGTCCATGTCCATGTCCGGGGTCGTCGTGGCGCAGGGGTTAGAGGGGGTGTGCTGGGAAGCACAAGGTTGGTGGTTCGATTACAGGCTGCCCCATGTTCCATGCCGAAGTGTCCCTGAGCAAGACACCTAACCCCTAATTGCTCCCCAGGCATAAATGTGAAAAGCCATGGGTTTAAAGTGTAATGTAAGTCGCTTTGGATAAAAGCGTCTGCTAAATGACATGTAATGTAATGTAATGTAATGTAATGTGGCCCTTGAGGAACTCTCCACAGATAGACACCACCTCGTTCAACTGCAGCATGTCTGCTGCCACCATCAACTCCTGGACGTTGTCCACCGTCACACTGATCACGCCTGATAGGAAAGGGTACATGTAGGCGCTCAGCAAAAATGCTATGAAATATATATCGTCGTGGGGGTGTGGGGAATAATTGGATCATTATAATGGACACGGACCTGTGTATATGAAGTCCAGCAAAACCTCAAAGACTTCCGTCTCCACTCCGAGGAGCCGCACCTCCTCCTTATCCGCCTCCCTCATCCCCCCGGAGAACAGCGCGGAGAAGTAAGGGCTGCAAGCAGCGAGCACCAGCCGGTGGACCCTGAAGACCCGGCTGCCGACCCTCAGCCCCACGTCACAGAAATCGGTGCGGAGCCGCATCTTGTTCATCTGGGCCAGGATGAGTCTGGCGTAGCGGTCTGAGGCCAGCAGAGCCTGCTCGGACGCCGGGGTTGCCATGGCAGCGGATGCATCACCACCGAAGCCGCAAGATGTTGACATTGAGGCGTAGGACATAGCGGCTGGGGGTCGGTCTGTGTTAACATGGAGGTCCACCTCCTTAGAGAGTCTCAGCATGGAGCAGACCTGCAAGACACACCAACTGATGCACCAACGCCAACAAAACAAGACAAAGAAATGGAGTCCCAGCTTTATCGGTCATTTAACAAGCCACGGGGCTCCTGAGTGTATCATGGTTTAGCACACTGGTGAAGTCAAAGTTACTGTTCGTCCCAATTTTGCTCCAGGGTTTATAAAATAAAATAAAAACATCGTTAGCAAGACATGCTAGCCAACAGACATCTCTCCGGGGTGGATTCAAACAAATTGCCATTAACGAGACAACTTTACAACTCGACCAATCCCTTCTTCAGACGGGTGTCAACTTAAATAAAATGTTGTACAACCAAAAATGTTGGGAATTCAGCTTGTGAGCTGCGACTTACCCATAAGTTTACTGATGAGGATGCAACTTCCGCCGCCCTCCAGACCGTCAACACGTCTCTCTGGATCGACTGCATTGGTCTTGCAGTTGAATCTCCAGCCCAGGCGTAACTAATCAATCCTCGTGATCGTTATTGCGTTTCACTATTTTTGCGGCACGTTTGTATTCGCGGTGGCAGTTGGTGTCTCGCCTTTTTTTTTCTTTTTCTTTTTTCGTCTGTTTAACCAAATCATTCTCCAGAATTATGGCCCGGTCTGTTATACAACACGACACCAGGTGGCAGCGTCGCCTTTGAACAGGCCTTTAAACAACTGGAAGTCCTTGACAACAAAAAGCGACCATGTCAATTATTATAATGTTCTCAGCATGAAAATCCCGCAGCAGAAGTGTTATTTTAAATATAGCCCTCTTCCACTGTATTAGCTGTAACCTCTTCCACTGAAGACCAGGTTTTAGACAACAGGCAACGGATATTCAAGTTGGTTTCAATCAGTAACTTGACATGAAATTCATTTAAATAATATGTTGGAAACTGTTATCACTTACACAACTTCAGCATTGCCAGGACACATTAGACCTGTTTCGGAGTTGAGGGGGAAAAAAAAGGGAAAAAAACACTTGTGACAGTTAGAGCTACAGGAAAAAGTATTTTAACTGTTGCTTAACTTGTATTTCCTGCTGTTTCAATGTGTCACCCAGAAACGAACAGACAGTTTTGAACTAGAGAATATGAGGTGGCACCAACGCAAACCAATTAAAACTTAAAAGTGCCAACCTGGCAACACTTTGTGCGACACGTCTGGTTTGGTCGGCCCTGCACTGTTAAATTTCCAGTGTGCTCTGTTTCCCTAAAGGGCATCCATCATTGCCATTGTCTCAACGGAACAATTAGCTTATTTTTTTAAAGCATTAATGGACTCTGGATAAGTAAATATAACGCAAAGCAAACCCTCTGAAGTGAGCAAGCTTAAACAAATTCAAACTGTCCCTGTTAGTTTAATTTTCACCCTGTTTGCAGCCAAAACGACACTTAATATGTTACTTGTCTGCTGTGAAAAACAAACAAAGAATTGGCCATGAAAAGTACTTGTTTGCCAAGTAAACCTGTGAGCAGAGTCCAACTCTGAGCAAATTATTGGAGACTTTATAGCCTTTATGCACGATAATTACTAATAAACTCTTGTTATAATATACTTTCAGTATTTCCATAAATGTTTCCATAAATAAACTTTATCCTTCACACTGTTTTAGCGTGATATGCTTGGTTAACTTATTCCATTGAAATGCTGAACAAAATACCGGTAGTGTTCATTTGGCAAAATGTTTATAGGAGCCATGAACACATTTGGAAGGAGACTATAACCTTTCATCTGAAATATAATAATTTATTTGTCAATGGACACAGAACTGACACTTTCCATATAAGCCTGAATAGTGTTAATCACAATACATACTCATAGAGCAGTCAAGTGAATTGCTGCTGACTTGTAATTCAAGAGCATCAGCAGCTTTTTATAAGTTGAAAAACTGCCTCTTTTCAATGAACGGATGATGCATGAGAGACACACATGTTCTCTACAGGTTTGTAGTCATTTTTTGTTGGTTGTTTGTATAAACTGACTTCATCAATGCATAAAACCCTTGGTTAAATCCTCTAAATTAATCTTGATTGCAGAATTAATGCGTTATCCTCGGTTGATTTGTCATCTGAATGTTTTTCTTTTCCCTTTTGTTCTACATGCTGCCCGGGCAGGTGTCTCCTGTAAAACAGGTTTTAATAAGTAGGTGCTAAAATAAATATATATGTGGTGACGTAGACTTTTTTTCTTGAAATGGGTTTCTGTTGCAGTGTGTGATTATGCTTTTATTTTTTTTAGGAATGGTTCTTGTCTCACTTTTTTCTTCTTTTATAAACAAGTTTTTTTTTATTTTCATTACTTTCACCAATCCCCACGTCTCTCCGTCGCGGCGATGGGAGGTGTGCTTGACTTGCTCCCAGAATCTCCCATGTAGTGAGGAAAAAAAGTAAATAGTGTGAGGGTCATCCTATGGAAACTTCTCACCATAATTACCATCCTGTTTTAAGTGCAGGGTATGTCTGTCTTTTTCATCAGGGTTCTGTCTGCTGGCTATAGACGTTGCTTTCAGCAAAAAAGAAAAAACATCACGAGATGAGGCTGACGGCCAAAGGGTTCTCACAGAAGTAGAGTTCAGCATTTACAGAGTACTTGGCTTGAAATCGAACCAAATGATGCAGAACAAGTACTAAAAGTGTTCTGTGGCAGTTTATGTAAAAATATGTGAGCAGGGTGTTTTATTTTGTAGATCTCATCTGCATGTTTTCGTTTGGTATTGACAATGGCTCCTCTGTTCACCTGACAGGACCCGTGAGTTGCGTAATTTTGTCTTTATCTTGATTGAGTTCACCGCCTACAATGTACATAGAGCCTCGTGCTTTCAGGCCAAGATGGATGACCTTCATTTATTACGGTGGTGAGAAACGAGGAACAGAAGGGCCTGCAAGCTGTAGTGCATTTATCCAAAAAGGAAATTTAAAAGTTTGTAGGTGAGTCAGTGTCGTGCTCTTGTTGTCGAGGAGCTGGGATCATCTTTGATTTGAAGATCGTGTATGCAAATCTGATTTGGTTGTGGATATGGATATGCAGTTCTCCTGAACGGTTTGCCAGCATGCAGCATTTTCTTCCCCCAATATGAGCTCAGTTTCTTCTCTTAGTGCGATCTGAGCCCCTACTTTAATCACTGTTACCAGAGGTCACAGAGATTGAACAGATGAAGCATCAATGAGTTTCATGGAATCTTCTACTTAAGATACAAGCAAAAGGTTAATTCATACTGTTTTGATTGAGGGTAACTGGGTGGAATTTTCTTTTTATGCTCTTATTGTTTTAACAGATCAGTGAAGCAAGGGGACCAGGATTTATTGGGCCAATATTAAAAATAGACTATTCACTGTAGCGTTCACTATATTGTTCAGCCACTATTGTTCAATTTATTCTATATAGCCAACATATCATATTTGCCTCAGAGGGCTTTACAATCTGCACACACGCAGTAACCTGCGTCCTGGTAATTTAAAATGATGGCTGACATATCGAGGACTCACAAACAAACTTTCCCAACAACATATACATAATTTTCCCATAATCCAGCCATGCCTGGAATTGTTTTCCATCTTCATATTTTAGCCATTTCCTGACCTCAACAACAGAGATCATCACGGAATTGTTAGTTTATGCACATGAGATACATTCATACACACACATAAACAATATACAGACGGAGAGAAAGTGTGGTGCTGGTATTGTTTAAGGGTTCGGTCGGCAGCCGAAATGCAGTTTGGCAAGCAACAGGATCTCTTTCCTTCAGCCAGTAAACCAGCTATAACGTGAGCCAGTATGAAAAAGGGGAGAAAAAAAATTGCCTCTTATCGATTCTGCCTCCAACATAGCAACTGCTCGCTGATTGGTCGCCACCCGGCGCGTTCCCGCTCTCCCATTGGCCCGTCGGGCAGCGTGAAAGGCTGGAATCGGACGGAGACAGAGGGGAGGAGTGACGCGATTGGCTGCTGCCGAACTGAAAGCGAAAACCTCTTTTCCCCAGAGCCTGAGAGTTGATGGCGTGTGTATATTTTAGGCGTGACTCCAAAGGTAATTCGTCCCCCCCTACACACACACACCCCTCTCCAACCCCTCCAGCCAGGACTTATTTAAATTGAGAACTATAAAGCACAATGACTGTGAATTTAAACGAGGGAGTTTCGCGACTGAGGCGTACCGATAAGGGAAGAGAAAGGGAGGGTAGGGGGAGATAAGTGCCGTGTGTGTGGACGAGGAAAAAGACGTGGGGGCCGGCTTCTACATAGATTAAACTTTGATTCAGGGAAGCTGCGGGAAAGTGCGACTGGGCAGTAAATGCTGAAGTGCTGTGAAAGCAAACAGCTTTAGGGGGGGGGGTAGTTTCAGGTCGGAGGAAACCTAACCTAACCTTTGCGGCCTTCGCTTCATACCATCCTGTGCAGGAGGTAGAAACACGCACTCTTTTCCTGTTCCTACGCCTGCGTCCTCCACACGCACTTACTCCACACGCACATGTTTTCCGTGGCCCCCGGTGTGACTCCCGTGTCGGTACAGTCTGTCCGGGCACGCAGGCCCCGGGCCGGCTCTCTCCGGCGGCGACACACACAGGTAAGAGGCGGTAATCCGTGGAAGTGACGCTCCACCCCGGTGCGTCCCTGCCCTCTGCGCCTCATTAATCCCTCCCTAACGACACACTTGATGATGTGATAGTTGAAACGAGGCCACCTGTTGCCCCCCCGGGAGGACCAGCGGTGGTGTCACCGGGGGTGGGGGGGTTGGAGGGTGTGCTCGTCATTCGCTGGTGACCCCGTCCCGCATCTTTATGTATGTCGCTGAAGTATTCACGAAAAAAAAAAAACGACAAACGACAAACGACGACAACGCGTGTTATTGATACGACAGTGAGTGAAGTCAAAGCGTTGCTTTCACATGAGCTTCAGAAAAAGTTGTATTTAACAGCATAGGAAATTCCTGGTGAAGTAGGTGTGATAAATTGTTTTCTAGTGACGCAACGGAGGCCAGGCAGAGCAGGGAAAGGGCCCGCACATATCCTGCTATTGTCTTATCGCTTCCTTTCTCTTCCATCTGTCCACAGCGTGTCCTCCAGTGCTCTCGCTGCCTCCTATCTCCGCTGACCCGAGGATAAGTGCTCGAAAGGACGACAGCGGCTCAACTAGGGACACACGGTACATTTTATGGAACAAGTTATCTCATTTAGTCAGTCTAAGCTTTGTATTTGATATTTCTGCCCATGTCAAAGAAATAGCACCTTGAATGAAAGTAAATGTATAGTAAACAGAGTTGTTTGTAGACCACGAAAGAAAGCAATGGATTACTTAAGTTGACAAAACCCTCATCAGTTTATTGTCTTTCAGCAAGAAAAAGGTCAGGATCTCACATTGCTTAGCTTCACCCGAGGAGTTTCTTCAATCCCCCCCAGTGGAGTTATATTTTTAAACAACCTCGGAAATACATTTTACAGTTTTCTCTGTACAGAGTATCTATTGTCCTCAAACTGGAAAAATGCGCCAAGTTCAACACGGATTCCTTTCCTCTTAAGCTATGTAGGCTGCATGTCATGAAAAAAACATTCATAGCTCGAGCAATGCCACAGTTCAAGTAATGGAGGCAGGATACTTCCGGACCTCTGGCAGTTCACACAAACATCGGAGGCCACATCACACCGACACCACCAAAGAGAGTGCATTTTTGTGGCAAATGTCAACCTCTCATAACAGCATTACCTTCCCCACCATCATCATCATCGTCGTCGTCGTCGTCGTCGTCATACATTGCAACAGTAGAAATACTATTGGATTGCACTTTCTTCAAGCTTTCATCTTGTGGCATGTTTATAGAAAAAATATATATAGAATACAAAAAGGTTATACTTCTTTGAGTAACAGAATATAACATACAGTACTTCAGATTATGTTTTGATCAGCACATCAGCAGGTGTACATTAATTACCCTCCCCTTGCCCAAATGCAATAACCAGACTTAACAGGGATGTAGTTTTGTTCACTATTAAGTGCTTTGGTCATTGGGTATAACATTGAGTATGCTCGTACAATGGTATTCTACAGGATGTTAATGCTACATAATTGTCCACTGTATATGAATGTCTATCGGGGAAAGGGGCAAATTGTCAAGATGCACCACGACTTTTCACATATTCACACGTGGCATTTACCCAAAAAACGGTTTGGTCCACCAAACCAGTATGACGGAAACAGGCTGCCCACAGCACCATTCTCCCCCTAGCGAATGCACTAAGTAGTAGGAACGCATTTCTCATTCAGGAGAACACAATGGGACTTTTTGAGCACAGAAAAATATATTTTACAATCAGAAATGTGTGTCTTTTAGAGTGTCATGCAAAGAAGTGTTTCGTCTGAGTGAACTAAAATCTATTTTGCGCTCCAGATACTGGAGTGTTTCCTATTATCCACACGAGTGCACCTCAGGTTTTACTCATTTACACCATCAATGTGTGATTTGACACTCGTTCATTGTTTCTCGTTCTCAAAAAAATCTCTCGATGTGTAAAGACGCCTGGACGGGAGAAGCAGTGTAGAGTTCATTCCTATGAATTTTGCTCACCGATGTAGTCTTAATCACTATGAAGCAAAAAAAAAAAAAAGAGTCTCCTTCCCACTGTAAGTCTATGGGAAACTATATTTCTCGGCCTCACGGCATAACGTGACGTAACTGGAAATTGTAATTCCCTCATTTGGCCACTAAGGAGATTTGCTTTGAAGCCTGGCGGTCTTTGGGTTCACTGTGCACTCGACACAATGTCACCGTACGCGCAAGCGTCGGTCAATCACGCAACTAGGGGAGGTCTTTTCTGTGTCTGATTGTTAGTAATACATGTTTCAAGGCGAGTGCGCTAGCACTAGAAGATAACGTGAGCTCCACAAGCCCCACATAATTCTTTTAAGAGGTTTTGGTGACATATGTAGTTGGCTGCTCTTTCCTTTATCAGCTTACCGCCTCGCTATAACGTTGGGTTGCTGGCTTAACGTCTGCCACGTAGGAAGTCGCTTCCTTTGTGATGGCCAGCTGCCAAAGGAACTCCGAAACCCAAAGCATTATATAAAGCACTTAATGGATCATTTAACTATAAATCAAACAAAGTTATGGCATTCTTATATAATGAGATGACGCAGCCTCTGCCTAACACAAGCTATGTTTGATATGAAATGTACACATCAAAAGGGCAAATGTAAGCGAGGTTATTGTTTGGTGCGTTTGTGGATATTAGCAAACGGGTAAATACATTTGTTGCGGGGGAAAAAAAGGTATTTCTTTTTTCTCCTAATTAACCTGTTCCTTCCACAATAAATCATTTCTCTACTTAATATAATTTGAGTTCTCTAACTTGAGTTCTCTTTCTTCTGTGCTCACAATAGTCCATTACACGCTCAGGAATGAGGCACAAATATATAACTCCATAGCAACCAAGTAAGTCTAAGCTATAGGTCAAATTTTCAGAACTGAATACAATTTAACTAGAGAAATGGACATCTCCAGCTACATCAACTCTGGTTGTAAAAGTCAAAGTCAAACAAAGGTGCAGCACCTGATGTCAGTGAGCAATTTTCTGGTTGTCAACATCCCTACCGAAAAGATGTCCATTAAACAAACGGCAATAAAATGAAGTACAACGACAACAAAAAAAAAAAGCTTAAACAGTCTTTCGGAAACAAAAATTAAAAAAAAGTTCAAGCTGACATTCAAGTTCCAGTCCCATTGAACTCTGTGAAATCCCGTTCACAGAAACGATGGGAGTCACTGTAGTGCAAAACTCAACGCAATGCACCATGATGCAGTCATTCTCGCGGGATACAGTAAACATGTCCCTTTGTCTCTATCCCTCGACGTTACATTTCCGGAGCGGTGGGTGGGAGCCCCGCCGTGTGTTTTGGTGTCTGTAAGAGTTTGCGCTCCTCCGCGTGCTGAGAAGGCGTGACCGCGGCGGGTTCGGCGTGCACGGGGTGCGACAGCCGGACGTCCAGCGCGTCGTTGTGTTGCGCTAGGGAGTGCAGGCGATAGTGCAGGACGAGGTCTTTCAGCGAGCAGTGGGCGTCGTACGGCTCCGCGAAGCCGTACCCCTGTGGCGTGCTGTAGATCATGCAATGCTTCACTTCTTCATTCACGCTGTGATAAATGAAGAAGAAAAGGATCAGAAATCCCACTAGTTGTGCCACGCATAACCATGACGGTCGTCCAGATACTGCTTTTACCCCCCCTAAAACGTTATACTCACACGACAGAACAGGCGTAGCATCCCTGCTTGCTGCTCTCGCGGATCAGGAACGTTCCGGGCGCCTTATCCTGAAGCATCTCCTCGGCCTGCGTCCGGCTCAGCTCACCCACGAACCAGTTGGCCTCTTCCTGGTGTGGCAGATTCTTCTCGTCCCCCTTCAACACGTACGTGCTGAAGAAGAAAAGGACAGAAAGAAATTGTATTGCAACACCTTCTGTAGCGATCGCGACGTATTTTCGTATGTCAAATGTTGTTAAGCGTTTCCACGCGGGACCTTTTCGTACTCACTCATCAAGGCTGTCGCTCAGTATCCCCAGCCAGTCATTTATGCGTTTCTGTCTGACGCCTTTGTGATTGAGCCAGCTGGGAGGAGAAGTGCAAAGAAAGGTTTCGTTGAGTCACACGAAATGTTTTCCAGGGATTCCGCGGAACAACATCGTGACAGCACACTCACTTGAGGTACAGGTCTCGGATGTTGCGCAGCTGGATGATGTCGGGCCGCAGGCTGTTGATCTTCCTGTCCGTCTCCCTGTAGTCCTCCACCTGCGTTCTCAAGTCATCCTCGAGATGGATTTTGCTCTCGTATATCTCCCCGAGACGGCACTTCAGCTTCTCGTAATTTATCAGAAAGCTAACAAGGGGAGGTAAAGGTCACAGGTCTGAATGCCGCTCACGGAAAAGGGTTCTGCATCGCAGCCAAATGAAACCACATCACGGGGCAATCTTTTCGACCGTGCTTGAAGTACCTCTCCAGGTCTTTGTCGGCTCCCTCGGAGTGATTGTTCATCTCGAACTTCTCCCCGTAGCGCTCCTGTTCGCGGCACTGCTCCTCGAAAATCAGCATGGTCTCGTTAAAGGCCTCGATTGCCGTTCGCTTCATCTGAATCTCCTGTATCACAGACAAATACATCCACTTAGAAAAGACTTAAGGGACGGATGACTGTAAATCCGACTGTTTAGAAGAGTACTAATGCCCCCGAGCACAGCCGGTAGAGAACATCACAGCTCAATGAGGCGATTGTTTTTACCTGTGAGGTCTTTGTGAAAGCTTCATAAAGGCGATCAAACTCTTTTGACCTCTCCTGATAGTGACAGTGAACCTCCTTAAGCTTTCGTCCAGCGACATCGACACTGTCTTCTTTGACCTGAGGTAAGAAGCAAGGGAGGAACACAACACTTAAATAGCGTCGCGTTCGTTGTCCTCCGTATTAAAAAACATGCTTCACCGTGTCGGACTCCTGAAAAATATGAAATAGCGGCGCTCACTGACCTGCTGGAAGCGGGACACGGGATGGGTGAGCATCAGGTCCAGCGTGGCGTTGTACTCCACCAACGGGTGGTGCTGATAGTGCCAGATGAGCTCCACCACCGAAGTGAACGTGAGGGGGTCGGAGAAGCCGTACTTCCCATCGCAGTGGTAGATCTTTATCAGCTTGTTGTGCCCGTCCTTCCTGAGAAAAGCCAAACGTCACGTCGCAAAATTAGGATTGGTAATGTCAAAAAAAAAACAGGACGTCCCCCGGCCCCCGTCTGTCGGCACCGGGTCCCGCTGCGGCTCACCTCAACGTCAGCGTGAAGTCCCCCTGTAGCTTCGTGGATGCGTCACGCACCATGAACGAGCCGTCAGGTGTGTCTCGGAGCTTCTCGTTCACCTCATCCCTGTGAGAGGGGGGACGGGGGGAAAGATCAGTAAACGGTCCACGGATCTAACGTGGACCCGCGCTTGTAGGGGCGACGGTGCTTTACCTGGTTATGTCTCCCCAGTACCACTTGGCGTCCTGCAGGGAATGCGTAGGTGGCGAAAGGCAGTTGTTGTTGGTGGTGGACGACGCTGGCTTTGTGGACCTGGGGGGGAGAGCTGCAAGCAGAAGGAAAACAATGGGGAAGGTTAGAAAAAGCAAACGCAAAGGATCGCGATGGCTGCACAGCGTTGATCCTTGGTTGATCGAGGGAGTGTAAGCATGACTCTTTCAATAATGTACTATTGCATTGAAGGATATCTGTGTGTATGCGTGCTTAGGAAATGCAGTATGAATGTATACCCCCCCCCTGACACACACACACTGTCACACCCTCTCTTGATGGAGCCTGTCAAGATCTCAGGACAAGCCCAGGCATGTCTCCAAGAGATATCACTTGCCAAATCATTGCTAAGTGTGGTCGGCACTAAAAAGGGAAACTGTTGGTCCTCACTTTTGAGCCCTGTCAAGTCAACAAATGTGAAAAATGTTCTTTTTATATTTTTGGAAACTCTGTAAGATGTACAGCATGTGTTCAGCTGCCTGCAAGTCTTTCCAAGCGGATGAAAGTCTGACTCTGTTTGCAGCACTCTGGCACTGCCCTGAAGTGCATGAAAGGCCCTGAACAAACCAATGAATTACATTTGGAGTTTCTTGGACGAGCCTTCACTTTGAAAAAAAAAGAAAAAGGAAAAAAAGCACTGCACGCTAACAGATACGCTTTAAGTTTTTCCACCAACCTTCAAGGAATATTAAGTGCGAGTCTGGCTGAAAACTAAGCGTTTTCCTAAAAATGAGGGCAGACCGCATCAAGAGGAGGTGAAGGGCGATATGTTTCACTGCAGGACAAAAGTGCCTTTCATGGGGCAGTTGGGGAGAATACAAGAGCACCCTCAGAGAGGAGAAAATGTGGGTTTCTCCCACCATCCGCTCTCCTCTTTTTCTGACCTTAAAATCAACAAAAGGCAGGTGCAGCAGCACAGGGGCAGGCGCAAAAACGTGGAAATGCTGAAGCTCCTGAACTCAGCAAAAAATGCCCCCCCCCACACCACCACCACCACCACCACCACCGTCTCCTGCCAAGAAACTCCAAAACCCCACACAAGCATACCAGTACAGACAAGAGCGACGCAATAATAACAAAATATAATCAAATCATATCACGCACTTGTGCGCCATTTGGGTCACTGAAAGTTCCCATCAGCACGCACCGTTTAGGAGCAATAAAAGCCTCTCCGCGTTGTTATTATGGCGGGTCAGTAGCGATCACTTTCAAGTCCATACTCTGATTTGGTCATATCAAGTGTGGTTATTAATACAACAAAACTATAACCGCCTCGTGGAGGTATTTAGAAGAAGCCTTTATTGCGGCTGAATCCAGGCGTCGTGCAGCGCGCAGGCGGCGCAACATCGCGCGGGTCAAGCCGACGAACGCGGAATGAGAAACGACGTGTTCCGCGAGTCGCCGGAGCTCGGTCATGAGACCCGAGCCGTGTCCGCTCCGCTCGCCCTGCAGCCCCCCCTCCACGGCTACAAGCCCCCCCACACATGGACCACGGCCGGCTGCGGACGAGAACAAAGCGCTCGTTTCATGCTGCGCGTATTAACGCACAACTACGTTCCCTTTTTTTTTTTTTTAAACAAAGAAAAAGTCAAGTCCCCCCCCACCTCCCCGCTTTCACATTGTCGCACTCTTGCGGTTATGTGTGTTTTTTTTCATTTCTTCTCCCTTTTCTTTTTAAAAATCACGGGTGAGATGACACGAACTGTCACGCGCTTCGGTCGTCCCAAGTTTGACACACGGCGCGCGGGACAAAAGAAAAGCCACACTGCGCCTGTTCTCCGCCGAAAGGTATTACGTAATTGGCAAGTGAATTGCGCTATGCATGCCTGAGCAATGCCACTGGGGGAGCGCAGCGCCGAGGAGCCGGCCATTAGAACGCGTTTACTACCACATGCACAGCGTTTGTTCAAATGTCAGCTTGGTAAATCCCTTACGCGAAAGGATGCATGAAAATGAGACAGCAAAAAGCATTAATTCAATTCGTTTTATGACCCCCCCCCCCCTCTCCTCCGACCGCAGAACAGACAATGGCTGCCTTTAACCCTAACTTACCTGGCGGCGCTTGATCCATTTCGATGTAGAATAAACCTTCGGAAGGATAAACCATTCCTGATTCAAAAGAGTATTCCAGGTTGATGTTGCTGTCTTTGCGGCAAAATATATTTGAAAAAAAAAGAAAAGAAAACACGCGTTTCTTTTGCCTGAAATTTAAGACTACTTCAGTGCTGCCGCAAACGCCACGTCCTACATAGATTTGCACAAAAATCAAACTCCTTCGATTCCGAGACCATGAAAAATCCCAAAGTCCAGCCGTGTGTCCTCAACATATCCTGTCTAGCTGGAGTTATTTCGGACGGATAGATTGTCAGTTGTTCCCTCCTGGCTGCGCGGCGGAGCTCTACTTAACTTCATCTCGGAAGTACAGCGACTTTAAAGGGCTGTTGGTAACATCATCTTGGCGCAGTCCAAACCACAGCAGGGGTTTCGTTTTTTGCCTTGAAGGTCTCGTGGTTATGTAAAACATTCCCAATCAAGTTTTTGTTTCATAGGTCATCTTAAGACGACGTTGCATGCGCATAATTTACAAAACAATATTTGAATATGTATATTGTACTCACAAGTGGTTTGTGTGTGTTGCACATTGTAACCCCATGAGTCGTAATGGTTCATTCCAGACCGTTTCATTCAGCTCTCCCCAGCCTACACAGTTAACAGCTGAAAAATTCCTTTTAGAGCATGAATGGAAATTTAAAAACCCTTGTTTATTATCTTGAATAGTTTAATGATCGCATCACCTAACATTTAGCTAATATCTTCAAATCGGAATGAAAGGATACTCTGACACCAGCTCTGCCCTGATTTACTGGTCAATGAATAGGTTTCAATAGAATGACATCATGCAATAGATTTCATGATGATAAAAGCGCTCTCAGCTGCTCTGCATCGAGACAGCACCGGACTCAAAGCCTTTTTGTCTGAGACGTGACGGAGACGCCTGCCTATTTGACAAGTGTCTATTATATTCTTGTTGAGCTTGTCAAACACGTTCAGCAGAAGAACAAAAAAAATGAAACAAGAGGATGGAATTATTATGGAATTATTGCTGCTGTGACATCTTCCAGTGGAAGACGGGTAATAGCAGGTGTTTATATCAGTTCCTTAAAAATCGATTTTGGGGTATAACGAGTTTATAATTTCATCATGGGAAATTTGTGATGTTCCTGTCTTAGTGTGGTATGAAGTACCCACTGGATACTGGATTCACCCAACATGCATCCACTATGCATCTTCAGGGAGAGTGAAACACGGCCTGCATGGTCAGAGTCTCTGTTGGTGTCCAAGCGTTTATGGCCGGCCCCCTTTTGACCCGGGGACAGAGAGTCGGGGAGGTAATTGCCTCCAGCATCCCTTTAAGCATCCAGTAAGACAATTCTTGCCTGTGCCAGTGCCCATGAAACATCCTAAGCTGACTGCCATTATGGAGCGTTGTTCTCGGGCAAGAGAGCGTTTACACGTGTGCTGCACTCACCGACAGACATGAAAACCTTACATCAAGATATAACAATAAGATGTAATCCAGATGTGATAACTGAACTGTGCGTGATTTGCATGCGGTACTCAAATGCTGTTTATCTTTCCAAAAGGTAGTTGTGGGACATTAACAGGTTTCTATTTGGCATTACACCCACCGCTCGACAGGTATTGGGTGTGTGCACACGCTGAATCAACCGTAGTACACGGTGAGCCCGCTCTACCAGTTCAGTGGACCACAGCGCCAATGCATGAGTGGCTGTGTGTTTTACATGTGTTGCTACTTTAAGCCTTGAGGCCTGTTACGGCTTGTCACCCCCCCCCCCCCCCCCGGAACTCCCGAAGTGTCGGCGGGAGGGCAGCGACGCCCTCTCTATTTTTAGTTTTAAAAAAAAAGTTTGCTGCAGTATTTGCATGGGCGCCCTCGTTCCCGTTGTGTCCGTGCAGTGGCCAGGATGAGGGACGGCTGAACTTGAGGATACACCTTTCTGCTTTGCACCCCAGATCACCCCAGGCAGTCCTGATGGGATCAGTGAAGGCTAATCATAAGATTATCGGGATAGGCTGATACTGCAAGCCTGCCAGCTGCCTGCTTCGGCCGATGTGACTCATCTTGATATCCACCATCGCAATATACCACTGGACCGAGGGAGTGCTGGGAAATGTGGCATCAGTTTTAAATTAATAGACAGATGTTACTCTGTGTTAAATGCAGATAGCAGCTCGACTCTAATTCTGTTGCAGTTATGATTTGACAGTGATTTGATAAGTAACTTGTAAAAGAATGACTGGAGAGGAACCGTTACGAGCAACAACTAATAGGAAGGGTTATCTTTAAAGTCAGGAAGAGGAGGAAGACTCAAGTAGGATGGCAAACTTGTTTATCTGTGTCCTTGAGGTTAGTAGGTCAGTGAGGTTCAGTGTGTTGTACATGCACTCTGGTGAAAATATAGAAAGTGCTTTAATCCCCATATTTAAGAGTGTTAAATGTGTACATGATAGGCCTCCTGCTGTCATTCACTCAGCCACCCAACAACACAACAACCGGTATTGGTAGAATAGCTGGAATAATCTCCTGGCTTTACAGACTAATGCTTGTTTAGACTTTGTTCACTAACTGTGTCAAGGAATATTATTCATCTACTGTTCATCACATGCGTTACAACCACGATGCAACGCATCTATTTTTTGTTATCTGAAAAAAAAGAAAGGCTCAAAGACACAACACAGAGAAATATCAGGAATGATTGTTTTTGTGTTGGTATCGGCGTCATGGTAGCCCAGGGCGGATTTCACATCCCTCCAACCGTCTGTACTGCAGTGTGCTGCTTTTCACGACCATTGGAGGCACGCATAATGGTTTTGGCAGCGCGTTCGACATCCACCGTGGAGAGACTCTGGGGTTTTCCTTACAGCCGGCCAGAACCAGCACACAAAGCACGCAGGAGTCCTGCCAGAGACAACTCAACTGTGGGCAGAGTTTAGGGCGGCTATGGTCTGGCCCCCAGGACCCTGCCATTGTGGAAATGTAAGTGGGGACAGTGTCTGAACGGCTTGAGTTGGAACAGAAAACTTTGGACGACCAAAACTATGAGCTTCAAATAGCTGGGCCCTGGGAAACATTGCTTGTTCCTTTAAGGAGGTCAAAGAGAAGCCAGAAAGAAGGAAAAAAAACAGAAAACTGATGTTTGGTGAGTGTCAAATTGGAGGCTACTGTTACTATAGACATCAGCAAAACTGATATACCATTTTTTTTTAACCAGTGGCTGTCAGCCTCTTTGTTTGCCAAGTCCACCCCCCCCCCCTTTCTGTCTCTGTCCTTTTCCCCGAGGTCATATCCCATACTCATCATCCGTCACTCCATTCCGCCAAAGCCTAATCTTACCAACAGAGGTGACAACGGAGGTGCTCGCGGCACGCCACTACATAACGTTTACCAGCCGAGGGTCTGAGTAATGTCAGGGCGATGATCCTGTGGTTTCACCAGCCTCTGTCCTCTTACAAACTTTCCCCACCTCTCTGCCTAAGTGGTGTCTCGCGTAAAGGCCCGACCGTGAAGAGTGGAAGTAGTGGGGAAAAAAATCCATGCAGCGCTGCCTGTTTTTGACTTATTGTATTAGGTGTGGATTAAATTAGGTTATAGAAATATATTTCCCTGTTGCTGGATTATTGATAGACATTTTGAAATGCATCATTTCAGGTCACGGCACAAATAAATTGTGAAATTCCCAACGGCTCAAGAACTAAAACGGTATCATTTTTCTGAATCACACAGCCCACCTGCACATCACCATCACAATAACTTCTACAATGCATCTTCAAGTATGATTCAACTATGAGCCTCTGCAGAGAAGATGTGTGCGTCACTGAGCACAGGATTCATGTCTGAGAGCTCCATGCAGTTAAGCTGGTAACCTAACCCTCTCCCTCTCTCCCTCTCTCTCTCTCACACACACAGGCACACACATACACTAATGCCCGCACACACAATCCCTGGCTTCCATGCAAAGCAAAAGCCGTGGACTCCTTCTAGCTCCTCGGCAGTTGCCTCCTTTGTGAGAAAAGACACTTCTCTCCTCGGCTACACAGCCATCACATCAGCACTATAACTCTATTAGGCACAGCTCCAGGACACACTAAGCAACCCGTAGCCCACAATGGTATCATTGTCTGCCGGGATCGCAGCCATTGTCGTCCAAGCTACAGGATTTATTCCCCTCCCCCGGTATTGTGACCTTCACCTCTGACCCCTGTTGCTATCTGATATGCTCTGGGACTGAGAGCCTTAGAGGCTTTATGCCTGAAATGCTCCTTTATAATGACCCAAGCCCGCTAAGTGGCTTCTCTCTCCACAGCACCAGTGTTGAGATGATTCAGGTTGGTGTCAGCAAGTAGAGAGAGAGGGAGAGTGAGAAAGGGAGGGGGGGGGGGGGGGGGGGGGGGGGGGTCAGTACTGTGGTCTCAGTAGGGAGTTGTGGTTGAACTGATTGACCCTTGGAAAAGGTCAGTTGGAAGGCATGAGAGGAGCTACCTAAATGGCTCTTTTCTCTCTTTCCTCCCCTTGGCCAGGGCAAGGACTCTGTATGGTTATTTATGAGCGTGTGGGAGAGAGGGAGAGGGAGAGAGAGAGAGAGAGAGAGAGAGAGAGAGGGGCTGCAGTGAGACCCCACCAGCCCCCTTTGTTTTGCGAGGGCTGGGCCGAGGTCCCTGTCATTGGTCTGGTTCTGTCACATATACATGCACATGCACGCTCACACACCATTGAGTACCCCTCCCGGAGCTGCAAGGGAGAAGGAGAAGATTCTGTTGCACGGCAGATTTGGAAAATGAGGTGTGCTTCACACAATGGCTGTCAGCAGTTTGATAGATGCCTCTTAGGCGTCTAAACCCCATGAAACTTGCAGAAACTGGAGACCATCGACGTGGCTGATATGTTAGTATAACCTCTATACTGTACAGCCGTCAAGGTGAAAGAATATTTAGCTGTTGTTTTGTTGCTGGTCAATAGTCAAATTCTATGATCATTTAATCTTGTCACATCGCTGAAGATTTACTTTTTAAAGTTCATATTACATGTTATTTAAAGGTGTCATTTAATTATGTTACGGTATTGGTGCCAATGTAGACAGTCAAAATAGGACTGCACTTGACCTGCTCTGTCCATGCACGAGCTCAGTCAAACCATTTTTTTCAGTGCATACGTGATGTGTGAGATTATCTTGAGTCAAATATCCCCCTTGAGTGTGATATTCTAGCGAATAAATTATCAGTGCCTTGCCAGAAATGCATGCAAGTTACTGTTCACACTAGAACAGCACTCTGACAGTGTAACATACACCATTTCTCTCCCCCCTGACAAAGTTAAATTAAGCTTGATTTC